TATATAGCTGATTATAGCGTATTTTTAAATGTATTCTTATAAAATTTACTGTAACAAATTTATTTGTTATTGCAACAAATTGTCATTGTTATTATTACAAATTCTCTCTATTACTTCAACAAATTGTCTTTGTTACTCCAACAAATCCTCTTTGTTATTTTAATAGAATAATTTTGATATTTCAACAAAAAATCACAAAAAGTGTAAAATGATGTTTATAATTACGTTTACATAATTCTGAAATACAAAATTTGTCACATTTTCTATGAGATGTTTTGTCTGCTCTGCTACTACGTAGTAGTAAAATCATTATTTATTTTATTATTTAATTAAGTGTTATATTATAATGAAATTCGGTAAGATGAATAAATTATGAATTATGACTGTCCAAATATATTATAAAATCAAATTTTATATTATATTTATGATAAATTCATATGATACATTAAGTAGATTATAGAATCATTATTGTCTAAGATAGCAGCACAGCAGACAGAAACTTCAAGACGCACGGAGATCACCACAGTTAAGCAGCATTGAGTAGGGTTATTAGTTGGATGGGTGACCGCTGGTGTTATAGCCATAAAATTAGATCTAGATATTTTTTTTGCATTTTGATCAGTTATACAGAATTGCGTAGGACCATATTAAATACTCTATCCATAAAATTAACCCAATAATTAATTAGATGTAATAAATCTATAATTAAATATTGTTATATATAATTATATATAGTTATATATAATTATACATAATTATATATAATTAGATATGATTATATTTGGCCATTTTTCATATATAATCATATATAACCAATTTATATATAAATATATATAATTATATATAAATATTTTTTCTCGGGTAACTTATTAATTTTCCACTTTATATTTTATATTGTAGTCACCAGTTATTAAAATAAAGGAAGAAAATTGTCCAGACCCAATGGAGCTATTGCAAAATGAGCTGAATTTGCTAAAAGGTAAAAGCAATTTTCATTTCAATAACATGAGCAAAATAATAGAAGAAGAATTTTATCACAATAAAACATGCCTTTATCAATTCACTGGAGCGGTAAGCTATTCATAATAAATAACTAATCTCTAAATTGGTTGGAATCTTAATTAGCAATAAATATTTTTTTAATTAATCAGATAAAATCTGATAATTCCATGGACTTGCCTTCTTTTCTGGGTTTCGACCCAGCGGATATAGCAATATGGCCGGCAAATTCTCCGGTACTAGAATTTATAATAAATTTCGGCAGCTGTTTTCCGATAAGTAAAATTACTATTGTAAATTAATATTGAAGAAAATTCTACACATGTGTTTTGCAATTGATTTATAATAAATATGAAAATATTTTTTGCAGAAAGTCATCGTACCTCAACAGAATCAGTAAAAAAGCTTATGGCTTGTATAAATGCGAATAGTGAGTTATATCAATGTCCAAAAGGTTTCGAAAGAATGGCCTTTAATTAACTTAACAACTAAAGATGTACAAGACTCGATATCATTTGAAGAATATTCAAATTTTTGGAAATTTAAAAAAATGTATACATTATTCAAAAAAGAGCAGCCGATAAATAAGAATTTTTAATACTGTGGTATAAAAAATACAAAATAACATTGCAAAGTGTCAATTTTGTTCCACACAGTAAAAAATTTTGCGTCATTGCGACAAAAATTTTTGTGTTAAATATTTAACACTTTTAGGTGTAAATTTAACATTTATTTTGTTAAATCAATACAAAAAAGTGTAAAACATTTAACATAAAAATTTCTAACACAAAATTTTTTATTGTTCAAACAAGAATATATTAATGAGTTTCACTGGATTCAAAAAATTCCAAGTTGTGATAATATTTTTACATATATTTTATAATGCAATACAGTATTTTCAATATTATTGAGATTGGATAATTTATCAAATGTAAATTTCTTATTAGTACAATAAAATTTACGGGTAACAATATTAGTAGAGTGAATTTGTAAAATTTATTAAACTCATAGCAATTTGAGAGCCAGTAATTTAACTTTAAGGGGATATTCTAGTCTAAAAGCATGAGTTTCAGGTAATTTTTTGAAGTGCCGTAAAAAAAAGGCAATCAATATTTTTACTATCCATTTTTTTATAAGTTATTTATTAACATTACAAGAATACAGAAAAAAATAAAAAAATAAGAAAAGGTTAAAATTCAAAAAATTACCAGCTGATGAAGTGGGGGAGGGGGGGTCTCAAAAAATTGGCACGTGACCATGCCCACAATTCCAACCCTCCTAGCAATCGGAAATGAAAAAATAAAAAAGATTATTAATCTAGAGTAATGACGCTATGGCATCAACTAGGGAAAAGTTGAAAAAAAATTTTTTCACAAAATGGCGACTGCTTGAAAAAAAAAATTTTTTTTATACTTTTTTTTTTGACTACTTTTTCGAATTTTTTAAAAATAGTAAAAATTGAAATTTGGGGATGATCATAGTTCATACCATAGCAGCATTACTCTAGATTAATAATCTTATTTATTTTTTCATTTCCGATTGCTAGGAGGGTTGGAATCGTGGGCATGGTCACGTGCCAATTTTTTGAGACCCCCCCACTTCATCAGCTGGTAATTTTTTGAATTTTCACCTTTTTTTATTTTGTTATTTTTTTCTGTATTCTTGTAATGTTAATAAATAACTTATAAAAAAATGGATGGTAAAAATATTGATTGCCTTTTTTTTACAGCATTTCAAAAAAGTACCTGAAATTCATGCTTCTAGACTAGAATACCCCCTTAATAAAAAACTTTACCATTATGCAGGTATAAAGTTCATTTTTTTTTTTAACTTGATTAAAATGCTTAGTTTTATCTATCTGTGATTTTTAACGATACCAGCACTTAAAAAGTAAGATAAAAAAAACACATTAAAGTAATTCTTGGAATTAAAAAAATTCTTTTGTTCGAAAAATAAAAAACAGAGTAAGTGATGTTTGAAGTAAAAAAAAAAAAAATTCCTCAGTCTGAAGACAAAAAAAAACTGCTATATAAATACAATCAAAACCGTCATACGATCATTTGAAGTTATATTGTCAACTAGACGTCTTTAATATAAAAAAATTTAACTATGAAGAAACTAATGGGATTGGTGACATTCCTTTTAATAGAACTATCAAGTTCTGAAGAGTTAAGAATCTACGTTAAGTGGGAAATGAATATTTATGTTCCATTTCATAGTACTATTTGCGATGGCATGCTACTCAAACCACGCTTATTCATTGCAGATGGGAACTGTGTCAATAAGTAAGCGAAACTTTTTCTGTAAGATTTGACATATTGTGATTATTAATTATTTTTCAGAGCACTGATAAGTGAAAGTAACAGAACTTACTATGATATTTATGTTAATCGTGGTAGTGGATTCACTACTTACATGAGATTAGCTGAAGTAGAGAAAAAAAATATTTTTTACAACGAAGACTTGGCAATTGAATTCGACAAATCTAAACGAAATGTCGCAGTACTAATTACCAATCAGCCGTTGGTTTCTGATAATAATCGAACATTACTTAAGTTTCTGACGCAGTATGTTTATGACCATGTTTGGAACTACAATGAGCAATCTCAACTGGTGAATTTAACAGATATTCAAGAAATAAAATATTCAAATTGCATAGTACCAGTTAGCGGAAGAATGAATTATTTCGTAGATCCTTGTACAGTGAAACCTGTATAAGTGAGACTTGAAGGGACTAAGATTTTTTTTCTCACTTATAGAGGTTTCTCACTTACCCGAGTTTCTCATACAGAGAGGGAAACTTAGATAGACAAGGTAAGAGAATAATAAATAGAAATAGAGAATATACATTACTATACTGTATAATAGAATATGAAATAATACAATATGAAATACAGTAATTCACTTATAAAATTCGGTCATTTTAGTTTGCTTTAAGTTACAATCAGCAGTCAACAATTTTTCAATGGCAAATAATTTGTCAAAAATAGTTCTATCATTAATATTGGAAAATTCAAAATATTTATGCAATGTCCACAATGCTTTTTCCGCGTCAGATTTGTATACTTTCTCAACTGGTGCTTCTTCTTCTTCTTCTTCCTCTTCTGTTTCTATACATGAGATTGCAGCAGAAACGATATCATTACCCGAGTCGAAATTTAAGTCGTAGATTCAACGTATTGAACGTTCAAATCGTACATTCGACGTATTGAACGTTGAAAACGTAAGTTCAACGTATTGGACGTTGAAATCGTAATTTGAACGTATTGAACGTTAAAAACGTTAGTTGAACGTATTCAACGTATTGTGAGCGTAAATCGATTTTAAATTTTGCTGGTGCAGCATGCATGCAAGTATATTTTACAAATTCATTCCACTGAAGTGAAAATTTTAATTATTAATGAAATTTTAGGTATATTGAAGCTTTATGCTTGAAAATCTAACTATAAATCGGTCAATGAGCTCCTCAAATCTTCAAAATATTTTTGAAATGCAAACAAAAATCAATCTAAGAGTTTTCAAAGATCTCAAAATATCGAGATTGAATGAGAATTTGGCTCTCAAAAATCAATCTTAATTTAATAACTTCCTTAATTCCAATCAACCGTAATTTTATTAGTTGATTAAATATGCAAGTAGCTAAAAATTAACTCAATCAAATCTTTGGGAAAAGCTTTTAAATAAATTTAGCCTATAGGTTATTTTTTACGGATTGGTATATGACATTTGTAACTTTTAATTTTTACTACGGATCATATATTCTTCTTAAAACAGTTGAATCTATATTTTTTACGTTCAATACGTTCACATTACGATTTCAACGTCCAATACGTTGAACTTACGTTTTCAACGTTCAATAAGTTGAATCTACGACTTAAATTTTACGTCGAATTTATGGTTTAAACGTTCAATACGTTGAATCTACGACTTAAATTTTGACTCGGGTATCGGTCAATTCCCCTGAAGTCATTACATCCTCATCAATATTGACATATTCGTTGAATTGCAGTTGCTGGTTGTCATCATTTATTACTTGAGCCCAAACATCGTCACTAATTGTAGTTGTTTCTTTTTCTTGTTCATTACCTTGTGAATCAAACGCATGTAACTTGAAACCTGATTTTCTAAAACAATTTGCGATTGTAGTCTTACTGACAGAAAACCAAGCTTTTCTAGCGAATCTCATAGCTTGTAAAATGTTTATTCCAGCGCTTACATTGTCTTCTATAAATGTCACAATATGATGAACGACTTCTTTTCTATAAAAAACGCATACTAAAAGAATGTTGCCAATACAATGGGATAAATAGCTTCAAATACGAGAGAAAAGAACTAGTAAGTCCTGAAAAAATGTCTCACTTATAGAGGTTCATCAATATCACTAAAAGAGGTTTTTCAGTGCAGAGGTACCGGGACCTGAGAAAAAGTCTCGCTTACAGAGGTTTCTCACTTATTCAGGTCCCACTTATCTAGGTTTCACTATATCTTCTTGAACAATTCTTTCTGGTGCAGATATGACTCAATTGTAAGTTGAATTTAGTTTTTATTTAAAATATATCACATAGAAAAAAAGGCTCATCTGAGCCAAAAAAATATTTTTCTTTCTAATTATTTTCTTGAGCGAAAAAAATTTTTTTTTTTGACAAGAAATTTCACTTATTCCAACAAAATTAATTCTCTTGCTTTAAGAAATACGCATCTTGATCCAAGAAAATTTATTTAAGTCAAAAAAATCTTGTTGTTTTGAGAAAATTCAGCCTCTTGCTCCAAAAAATTTAGTTCTTCATAGAAGTAAATATTCTTGTCTTGAGAAAATTTCTCTCTTGCTCCAAAAAATTAAATATAAAGATAGAAGTAAATTTTCATTAATATTATTATTGATTAACATGTCAAATGGGAAGATCAAATAATATTTCATCATTTTTTTTCATTCAATATGTATAATTGCACGCTAAAATAATATAAAATGGGTATCAAATATTCAAGAGAAAAATTTTTTCAAGGTGAGAAAATTTTTTTCTCAGCTGAAGTAGGTAGCGCTGCTTCCCTAAAGTATCTAAAAATCTTGTGATCAAATGTAAAAATTTATTGTATCAAGTATTTATGATCTGAATTAAGAAGAAATGACTTCTACCAAGAATAGAATTTAAAGAAAAATTTTTACTTCGGCCAACATAACTTCGGTCTTCCTTCAGGCACCCGACAAATTTTCTTGAGCCAAAAATTTTGTTCTCCAGCAAATAAATTTTTCTTTCTGTGCACTTTTCTTATTTTTTTCATTTTGTTATAGTTTTTTTGATCTATACTGGGAAAAAAAAATTTATTTTGAAAAAAAATGGGCATTTTGGTGACAGGAAATTAATTTGTTGAAAATTTTATTTTTTAGCCGAAGAAATAAAAATTTTTTTACAGTAAATTTCTTGATGGAAAAAAAATTTTATAGATTTGGGAAAAAACAATTTTGAGTGAAATTAAGCAAGTTGTCTATCTGAAATTGTTTTTTTTTTTTTTTTTTTTCCAAATCAAAAAAACTTTTTTTGAACAAGAAAGTTGCTGTGCGAAAAATTTTTATTTCTTCAGCTAAGAAATAAAATTGTTTAAAATTTTAAATAAATTACTTTTTCCCCAGTGCAGTATATAATAAACAAATTATGATCATTGCAGAGAAACAGTGATTGGGACGGAAGCCGGATCAACTTTGTTGTCTGCAGTCTGAAAGAAACTAACAAAGATGTTTTGGTTGGAATTTTACCGGAATCTAATCGCCGGGAGAATAAAACTATCGGCTCTGATAGTTATGTTAAAATTGACTATATAGGAGACTTAGGTAATGCAATTGATAAAAAGTACAATGATTGGTTAGCGGAGAACCCTAATCAGTTAACCTATAAACCCTATCAAAATGTAAGTGGATTTATTTATCGGATGTGATTTAATCAACAATTTTGTTGTGTGAATTTCGCTCTCTTTTTATTTTTAATTGTTTTACCTCAAATTCGTTCTAGGATTAAAGTTTTTCAGTAGAACATAAACAAATAAATTATTAACTAATTGTAACCTTTATTCATGTGAACAATGGCTACAACCACTACAAATAAATTAGATGGAGCAGAGTGGAATTTTATGAAAAACTTCTGAGAAGAGCTATGTAACTTCCTGTTGTTTTAAAAATCTGAAATTAAAATAAACATTATCACTTTCGTGGAAGTATCTTATAGTTAATTTAAGGAAGAAATACAAACTCTTGTCATTTGTTCGCGATCAAGAATTAAAAGTCCGTAGGCCATAAATTTGTACTCTTTATTGGCCCGCATCGTCGTGATCATCAGCAATTTTTTTATTTTTCTATCACATTTCATCCACGGAGAATTATAAATTGAAGTTGTTATACTTTTTGTCTTTTAAAAGTATCACTTGTAAGAAAATGATAATATTTATGGTGGATTATCTTCAGTTATAAGTTTTAAAAGTAGTTACCATCTCAGTGGCGCGATGAGCAAAATTACAGTAGATTATTATTTGTATCAACAGTGTCATTGCATGAGCGATACTTCTCGCAAATTTTGGCCAGTGTCCTTCTGATGCTTCCTAAAAAAATAATAATAATTGACAAAATGTTCTGAATCACCTCTGACTATTTTGTACTTTGTCTAGTGTGAATATACAGCAGCAGAGATCTATCCCGTTGAATAGCACCGTAAAGAAAATAATTGGATTAAATAAAATCTCTATTTGTTTGCACAATCCTAAAATGTGGCGGTGTCTCTTGATAAGACTAATGATAGCATTAAAATCGGTATAACTTTTAATATTTTTTTCGTTGTATGCTTCTAGTTTGAAATCGTCAGCTAGTACCTAAGATAATGAAGTTTTTTTTAGTAATATTTTGTTTACAATTATGAGAGAATAAATTACCAGCGTATGAATGCAAATATGGGTAGTAAGTTGAATAAATATGGTGTCGCATGTAATCCAGTAGAAAACGGCGAAGTAATTTACGCATTGCTCGTAAATTATACAAAAATTGTAGGTAACAAGTGAGTTATAAGGAAACGGGTACAACAAAGGATACACCGTTGCCGAGTAATCGAGTGTTTCGTTACTATTTATCAAATAATGGCTGACTAATAGACTGATTTACCGGCGAAAGACATAAAGACATTATTAATAGAGTTGATAGATTGATTTATTGATTCACGAAAAAAAGTAAACTGTAATAATAATAGTCGATTTATAATAAGTAATGATAAACTGCTGAAAATTACCATTTCAAACAGTAAAATCGTGATTTTAATAATCACTATATAATATTTATCATTTAAATACTACAATTTATTCTATACATGGAAGAAAATACTATTTCAAACAGTAATATTCGCTATGAGAATGTCTAAAATGTTAAAGTATAATAATTAAGAATTTTGACTTTGATATTTATCATTTCGTACCTAAAAAATGATCACATGATATATAAAAAGTATAAAAAATTCGGAGTTTTTTCTAAAAATTTTAAAAATAACGATGAAGATAGCTTTAAAGAATTTTTTTATATTTTTTTCCATAAAGAACATTTAATAACAAAAATTTTGAAAAAAAAAACGTCCCGATAAGCCAATTTTTGAAAAAGTTATGGCAATTTAAAAATAAAAAAGCGGTTTTTTTGAAAAATTCGGAACTTTTTTTGGTTGGGTAAAAAAATTTGAAAAAATTATGAGAGACGTTTTTGATAGGGTAGAAAAGGATGGTAAACTTTCAGCCAAATCAAAAGGGGTCAGGGTCAAAAGTGGTCGATTTGGCGTGGAATGCCCCATACATAAATATATAAACTTTTGAACCAATGCTAATTTTGAGCTTTACTCGACTACACAAGAGATAAAATGACAAAATTCCGTGTGAATTCCGACACAAGGTCCAATGCAATAGACAGATTTCTACGAAATCCACTCTTATAATTTAGATGAAAAATATGAAAATATATCATGTAAGAGCAAACTATTCGTAACGCGATTGGTCAAATATATCATAAGCATGAAAATATAGATAATTCCATACCAACATTCACACGCGCGCTTGCGCGCGCAACGTATACTAGTCTACCTAAAAATGAAACTATAATTATTGACCTGCTTGGACTGGTAAAAAGTATATTTTAAAAGTAGAATTTTTACTTTTTCAAATGTTAAATTCTCCCAGAGTGAGACCCCCTTCTCCTCATCTGACTTCCCCTTCTCTTCATAGTATGTTATGGACTATATATTGAAATGGCAATTTTTACTGTTTGAAACTATAATTTTTTAAGATGAGAGAGTAGTTATTTACTAGAGTGACAGCTACTAATCACTCATTTTCGATATTAAATTATAAATTGTGGCTTTTACACTTTCTACATTAAGTTCTGTAATATTTATATTTTTGCCACCCCGATGTCCGCTTTACTGTTTGAAACTATAAAAATTAATTGGAATCCGAGTAAATTTTACAGTTTACTTTTTTCCGTGTTAATATTCTGTATTAGTCTTACTAATACGGACGCAATCCGTAGCTGAGGCCCACTGAAATCGCAGCAAACATATAACAATATCGTGCTGGCTTGGAACTATTTATCAGCTCATCTATTTGAGGACGCAAATTCTTACGAGTTTTCGCATTTTTCCACAATATATGGAAGTCCCGGAGTATGTTGAATAATTGACGACGATGCAATGACAATGTCAAACCCTATTAAAATAATTTTTTTAATAATTTGATGATTATTCAATCGCTAAAATTTCTTCGCATGTGCCAATTTTGATCAACATTTGTATCGTATCCAAAATTTTAAAAAAGTATATTTTATTTTAAGCTTATTGAAAACATAAGAAAATTTTTTTAAAGTTAAAACAGCAATCATTAATTACGTAAGGGTATTGAGGGGGCGGAGGGTTAAGAAAATTTCTACATTATCGTATTTTTATTATTTAAAAAATATAAAACATTTTTTGTTAAAAAACATTATTACTTGTTAAAGAATAAAAATGATGGATCCACGTTGACCTGTAAGTTTTAATAAAACTGATCCTTTCCTAACATAACAGTTTATTATTTAGAAGATCAAGATAAAATCTTACTTAAGAAAGGGGAGGAGAGGGATTCAAGAAATCTTACATATACTTACATGGTGGTAGGGGGGGGGGGGTCAAAAGTCACCAAAATTGTCCTTACGTAATTAATGAATGGCCCCTAAAGTATTTATTTAAAAAAACACACTGAGAAATAAATATGGATCTTTAACCTAGGAAAATCTAGTTAAATAGCATTACCACTATTTAATTGAAGTTTTTACATCTAAAATTATTTATTATATTGAATATCTTGGTTAATTTTAACTCAGAAAATAGAAACAATAATTCGGATAACCTGGACCGGGAATCGAACCTGGATCTCTTGGTTACGCATCAAGGGCTCTTCTAGTTAAGCTATCTGAGAAATTGTCCGTAACAACTTTTCAGTCACCTAATAATTTTTTGTTTAACACGATAACAGAAAAATAATTATTAAAATATGGTCGATATAAATATTTAACACCAGTTACTTAAACTAATACATAGTTCGAGTAACTACAAAATAAAAAGTTCAGAAAACTATTTTTTTATACTTGTGAGGTTATTATTCAGCTAACTATCCACTTTTCTCTCAAAGTTAACGAATTTAAAATTTTAAAAACTTATATTTCATTAAAAAATCATTGAAAACATGTGATGATTTGTGTAAATTTAAAAAAAAAAACAATCTAAATTGACAAACACTCTTATTGTAAAGAGTTTGACACCTTGATCATGCACATAGAGGCTGACAATATCACTGTAATAACTTCCGCTGCGAAACTAATATCATCATACCCCACCAAATGAAGTGTCCAAAAACCAGAATAAACATATAACATAAAAACACTAACGCCTAGACTACTAATAAAACCTTCTTTATAAGAAGACGTAATATATATTTCAATGTTATCACGGAAGGCATTTCGCATAGACTTAAGGCCTATTAGTTGAAGTACTATCAGTTCAATGTTTAACAACCGTTCACAAGTATCTCCGACGTCTTCAGCTCTGTCAATCATTTCGACGTATGACTCCTCAATTCAATTTTTTGTCATGCGCAAAAGTTTTTCGAATCAAAACTAGTTATTTTAAATTCTCAATATTAAAGAGGAGGAAAATAAAATCGACAATTCTTATAAAACTTCGAGGGTTGCTATTTTTCTAGAAAAACTCATAAATAAATAATAGAATCGATAATAAATGAGAGGGAATAATTTTATTCGCAATACTTTGTCTGAAGTAATAAAAAAAACGCTATGGAAGGTATTTTTTTCAAAGGGTAAATATTAAATGTCTTGTTATCTTCCTATTGAATAGAGACAGTTTTATTGGCGACTACCGTAGAATAAAAATGCTCATATTGTCAATTGTATAAGGCGACTCTCGGTCTGCAATCAGACTTTGTGTAAAGTTTTCACTACAAAATAGATATTTTCCCTCGTAAATGAAAAAAAGGGGAGAGAACTAGGGTTGACAATTGTTAGAAAAATTAACTAACGAGATTCTTTATCTTGGAACTCCTGTGAATAAATAATAGAATCGATATCGAATGAATGGAAATAATATTTTTAAAAAAATATTATCTTTGGTAAGAAATAATTTTATAAAAATTTCGTTCAGAAGGGTGAATATTCGATGCCTCGTTTTTCTTTCGTTTATCAAGTTATTCTGACTAATCCTACAATTTTTTTTAAACTTCCTTACACTGGAAAAAATTGCATAGTTAGTTGAATTATATAATGTAACAAGTATAAAAATATAGTTTTCTGAACTTTTTTTTTTGTAGTTACTCGAACTTTGCATTAGTTTAAGTATAACTATTGATAAATATAGTTATGTAACTATACTTTAATAAATATTTTTATAGCACTGCGTGTCCTAAATTCGTATTTAGGACCCGCTCAACTGTTGACAATTATGAAACAAGTAGAGAGGAATTTTTTAGGCTACGGGATCATATTTACGATCAATCCATAAATTTCTGCTCTAAAAATTTGACTTTCACAGCAAAAAAAAATAAAAAAATATATTTATAAACATTCAAAGCCCCGAAAAAATAGAAAATAATAAATAATTAATAATTAAAATAACATCTTTTTGTCGGTTATGATTCAATCTGAAGTATGCTAAAACCTCAATTAATGATTCTCAAATGTTTCTTATTAACGAGTTCGCTCAGTCGTAAACATTATTCTGGTGTGAAATATTTTCTGAACGTTATTTAATTTAACAAAAATTTTACTCCGTAATAAATATGGACAGTGATAATGATTTAGACGATGATTATAATGATTTTGTTCCTGACGAGATAAAAAAAAAAGGGGAAGAATATAGCTTTAATGCAATTTTTTATGAATAATTTTTTGGAATAAATTTGTTTGTTGAAGAAAATTAAAAAATTATAAAGTGACAGCTAAATTTAATATTATTTAATATCATACATATATTGTTTCAATGTGTGAATTTATTTTTTGTTAATTCAATCTAATCACTTTGGATTTATTATTTGATATATATTTGTTTCTTTTTTTTAACTTTTTATTTGTTTTTTGAGCCCACATATATCGCCGCATTTGTAATAAAAAAATTTTCCTTAATTAATTTTTATATTTAAATTTGAATAAAACTGGAGACGAATTTAGGACACTAGTGCTACAAAATAGTGTAAGATACTCGTGGCTTAAATGAGCGATCATTCACGGCGTGTTAGCGCACTCGCTTCGCTCGTGCGCTAACTTCACGCCGTGTCATAATCGCTCATTTAAGCAACTCGTATCTTAATGTACTATTTTGTTATCGTGTAAAACAAAAAATAATTAAGTGACTGAAAGGTTGTTACGGACGATATCTCAAATAGCTTAACTGGAAAAGCGCTTATTGCGTAACCAAAAGATCCGGGTTTGAATACCGGTCCGGGCTGTCCGAATTATTTTTTCAGTTTCCTGAGTTAAAGTTAATCAATATGATTATTGAGCCGATATTTAACTAAAAATAGTTTAAATAACTATCTTTTGCGGTTCACTGTAATATATAATTTTGGGTAAAAGAAATTTAATTAAATATTGGTGATGTTATTTAACTAGATTTTCCTAATTCAAAAAACCATATTTTTCTCTTAGTGTATATTTAACGTTGAATGTCAATAATTATTAATTTACAATGAAATAATAATACATATGTATGATTTAACTTGCTATATTTTGATATACAACATTTATATATATTTAAAATGTTATCATTTGGTTATTTGATCCTAATACTTATGACAATCTCTTTTCTTGACACATCCTCCGTTAGTACTTCTTACAAAATTATTAGCCAAGTCGCATCGGCACAAAAGAGGTAACCCACATCTCTAAAATAAGTTTTTATTTCAATAAATTGTTATATAGTTCATATTAGTTATCTTTACTTAAAGACTTACAATCAGCGCACATTTCTTGGGTTCATAAGGCGCAGCACAAGTTCCTTCGCACGTTATTCCACATGCTAACTTTTTTTCACCATAAGCACACGTTGAACAATGTGCGGCATCCACACACTGCATAGTTTCTTCATCTCGGAAATAATTTTTCAGACAACGGCAGCCTTGCGTATATTTATTACATGTCTAAAAAATAGAAAATTGAAAGAAAATCAGTTTAAGATTACTGCTCTTTATAATTACTTACACTGCAAAGGGCGGCACTAAAATCTCTCATTTTACAAGAGGGTTCACATGATCTGCCACAAATGTTATATTCTTCATTCGGGCCACAACAATAACATTCTAAAAATGAAAGTTTTTCGAGAATTAGTAAAGCAATTAATTACATTAACACATCTACAAATTCACTAACTTATAAATGTTAGTAGTGACAAAAAAATACTGAGCGCTAAAATTTGTTTCATTGCTGCGCAAGTTCGGTATCAACTAATTGGCGGACAAGTAGATAATACTCATATACTTATAAATATATTATTTTAAGTACACTGGACTTTCCTGTTTGTCGCAATATTTATCTTGTGACTAATGCACCGACACACGCTATATGACACAAGGACATCTTAATTATTTCATAATATATATGATTTATCAGATTTATTGCTTGTTCATTTTTCCTTGTTTTTAATCGCACTTGGGTAAATTTTATTATCAGTTAATTATATATTAGCGCAATCGTTAATAAAATATTTCTTCATGTTAAGTATAGAATTTTTGAATTAGTCATGTAGAATATTTTGATGAATTTAAAAATATATAAATCATCCGTAGTTTTAGTTGATCTGTTGAAATTTCTTATTGATTCTGTTGTGTATTCGCTAAGGAATAAAATTGTGATGTTAAGCATAAAAAATATTGATACAGCCGCATCGGAGTTCAATTAACATCATTGAGTATTGGCACATAAAAATTATTTTTAGAAGTTTTCAGTAAAGCTTCGGTATCTTCAAATTTTTCCAGGTTGCGTTTTGGTTTATGAATACTATAGATGACTTTGCCTGACCAATATTGTATATTGATATATTAATCGATGACGCGACATCGCAATATGATAATGTCCTTACCTTTATTTGAAATATCTAAAAAATTAATTATAAAAATCATCATTATCATCATCATTGGATGATGATCAGAATCTATATCAAAAAGAGGATATAGAAAATACTATAGTATTATAGTACTATAATAAACTGAGAGAAAAGTGTAGAGTTGTTTTATGAATTAAAAATGTATTATATTTTTAGTTTCATAATTTTTTAATTTTTCATTTTAGATATTTTTAATTAATTATTCACAAAAAAAATTGAAACAGAAAAATAAAATAAAAAACAAAACTTTCGGTCGCGGGCTAATCAGAGTTCGTAAGCTCTGCCTCGCAAGTATTACCCGCCGCTCCGGTTTACAATGGTTTTGTAGCGAGTGGAGAGGGAAAGTCGTTCTTCACGGTCCGCGCGAATACAGGCTCCTATGAGAGACTCTCTTCAAGGTCCGTGCTTATTGATGAGGGTAATCTGTAATTGCCCTTTCGGAAACTTAAAACATTTTTTAACTATAAATTATCTTAGGAAAAAATTTTAAAGACTAGTCTAATTGAAATAATAAAGTTTACTTGACTTAATTTCTAAAATAATTCTTAAATTCTTAATTCACGTCGGATGAGTTTTCAACTCTTGAATTTTATTATTCGAGCCTTTAGGCTTATAATGCAGGCTTACAACACTTCAACAATCTGCAGACCATCAACAACAATAAAAAGATAATGGAGTTCTCATTCAGTCATATATATAAATTTGTTAAAACATGTACAGCGACGGAACCTTTTTGAAACGATCCATCTATTATCGGCTGGATGAAAGTAATTTGGACCCGCCTAAGGTGCGGTAATTAAGGAAAGGCACACAAAAAGAGTTACCGTAACACTAATTGCAGGATATGTACAGTAGGACCAGTAGAACCAGAGAGTTGATCATTTGTTTATCTGCGCCGAGGCCGGAAAACTGTGCTCTGATAAAGTAAGAACTTCACTCCAAAATCTTACAGAAAGAAATTATGAAGCAAACCTCGACGCATGTATAAGACAACTACCGAGAGGACCTCTAATGAAGGAAATTTGTGTTTTTTTCAAGGAGATAGAACGAAGAAAGGATACTAAAGCATAATATCTGAAAAATACAGGTGAAATATCCATAAGAGATACAACCAAAGAAGATAAATACACTAAAAGTGACCTGTAAATGTCTAGTTAACTATTAAAAATTACTTTTATGAATATATATGTATATAAATATATGTTCAATGTTTTCTTTTAAAAAAATATTAGATTTAAGAGAAAAATGTACAAGAGTTTGTTAACATCAAACTGTACCACTGTTATTAATAAATAATAATATTATTTGAGCCTTTTTTTTTCTGTTGTTACATTTCCTTTTTTCTTTTTTTTTTTTATTGTGCAACTTCATCCTCTTATTTATTTCTCGGAAGCACTTTTCATCGTCTACTTTGTAGGCCATCTTTCCTTCTGACGTCCACAACTACGGATTTATAGGGTCGACCATTAATGCCTCACGCAGGCCTGTTATCCTCCTTTCTTTATGTAGCCTGCCGACACTTATCCGTGATTGTGGTCCAAGTCTTGATGTCGCCGGTGATGGTGTTCCTGATCTCGAGCTTTTCGATGATGAAGTTCGGGATCCTGACGGCGCTGGTAACAATGTTCGCAATGGTGCGTCGATCGAGCGTCCAACGTTCAATGGTCCTGCCAAATCTCTTTGTCAGATCTTTTCTTGTAGTTCCTTATTCAATGCGGAAATCTTATCGTCACGATTAATAAGTTTTTTCTTCAGATCCTCTTGTTTTAGAATCTTCCTCATTTTTCGGAGTGGCTAAAGCGGTTCTACAGACTATATTTTAATAAATATTTCTCTGTAATCGTAGTTAAACAAAAAATTATAAAGTAACTAAAAGGTTGTCACGTATGATGTCTCAGATACTTTAACTACTTCAGATTTTATCATAAAACAAAGACCAAAATATTTCAATAAAAATAATCTATCAGGAAACGAGTGCTGATAACACCAGCCATTTTCACTAAAAATAAAAAAGTTTTTTTATTTAGTTTATTTAGACTAAAGAAAAAAATGTAAGATTGTTACTAATAATAATTAAACTTTAAACACAAAAACAAAAAAAAAAAAGATACCTTAACTGGAAGAGCCCTTGCTCCGTAACCATAAGATCCGGGTTCGATTCCCGGTTCGGGCTGTCCGAATTATTTTTTCTGTTTTCTGAGTTAAAGTTAATCAAGATGACTATCAAGCTGATATTTAACTAAAAATAACTATCTATCGAGGTTCAATGTAACAAATAATTTTAAGTATAAGAACTTCAATTAAATAGTGGTGATGTTATATAACTAAATTTCCTGAGTTCAAAGAACCATATTTTTTTCTTAGTGTGATTTCGATTGTTCAATATTTTATTTAATCTTCACCACATTTGCTTTGTCCGAAATATAATTGATATCCATTAAAAAAAGTCATTACGATAGCTCGTCAGAAATAGATAAGGAAAATGTATTTCGTTAAATAGTAGTTTCCAATTACACATCTAAAAAACCTGAGCAAGTGATCGAATTTTTTTATTTCTTCGAGAAATAATCAATATGCTTTTAAATTTGAATTGGAAATTTATTGGGATTCTTAGCTTTCTTTCTTTGGTTTATTCCTTTTCGGTAAGTTTATATAATCAATTTATTATTTGACACTAATGAATTAAATTTAGTTCGAGGAACGTGAGACTCTATACCGTAAACATGACTGCAAAGGTAATTAAAATTTTTACAAATTTGCGAGTTCTTTTAAGATGACCAGCAATTAAATTTTAGAAAAAGAATGCGACATAGCTGAAATAAAATTTTTGCGTCTTCGGAAGAGATCGACGGAACCAACAATTTCTTTTCTTCTTAAAGCATTTAAAACTGAGAAAATAATAAATCTTCGACCATCTTCTGGCGTTCTTATTGGCCCGAATACTCCCGTTTACTTTGCAACTTCTACACCATCGAGCATTGATATTGAAAAAAAACTTGGAGTAAGTCAATTTTAATATGTGATTTTAAATTTCAATAATAATAATTATTAATTATTTATGATCATCTCAGTTGTTTAAATCAAAGTATCAGGCTTACGAGGACAAAGCAAATTTAGCGGCTTTTACAATAAATACGAACTTTACTGAAATAAAAATTGAGGTAATTTTAAATACACTCAATTGTTCACTTAATGGCTTCTTTATTAATGATAAATTTTTAGTCAGGATTCTTGGGGCATGATAATTTAATAATTACAAAGCTATTAAATGCTGAAGGTTCTGGAAATCAATATTTAGCGAAAATTATACCAAAAGATACTTTTGATGCAATAAAAAATTGTAAGTACGTTAATTCAATTCAAATTCGGTAAATATAAATCTTGTTATTTTTTTAGACATGAATGTTATAGTTAGTCTTCCCGTTGGTAATTATTCAAGTAAATCAATTCCTGAGGTTATTTTTCCGGAAATTCTGGTGATTATCGACTACGAATTTTATTTAAATTTCCAAGGAATTACAATATTCTCATACTTGTTCCAATTTTGGAATGGAGTTAATTTATACTTTAGTACTTTGGAGAAACCTCAGTATCACTTGAGCATTGCTGGAGTTGTGATCCCATTAGTAATTATTAATCAAATCCGATAGAAAGATTGTTTAAAAATAATTTTTGTATTTTATCACAAATTATTATTTTAAATAACTCAAGTTTCACATTAAATAATGATAATTAGCTAAATTTTAAAAATAGGATAATCAAGTCTTTGATTTTATGAATCCGACGACGTCAATGAACACGAATCAACAGTTGGTTAACTATGAATTGGCTTTATTCAACATGAACTCTTGGTTGAAGTTGGTTACCCGGTTAATTTCATATGATAGCTACGATACCTATATTCTAATGACATCGTAAGTAATATTAGATGATTTGGAATGAAATTTTGCTTTACACTGAGAAAAAAATATTTCTCTTTGAACTGGAAAAATCTAGTTAAATCGCACATCACTATTCAATTCAAGTTCTTGTACCTAAAATTATTTATTATATTGAACCCCAATAGATAGTTATTTAAACTTTTTTTGTTAAATATCGGCTTAGTAGGCATTGTGATTAACTTCAACTCAGAGAACAGAAAAAAATATTTCGGACAGCCCGGACCGGGAATCGAACTCGGATATTTTGGTTACGCACCAAGGGCTCTTTTAGTTAAGCTATCTGAGACGGTAAGACGGTGACATGATAACTGATCCACCCGATTATTTATCCTCACGACAATTGATCCAAGTGTCGAATAAAAGGGCAAAACACGGTAACATTATCCGAAAATTAATCATGAATCATTTGTCGTGCGGTTGAATTGTCGGGCGGATCAATTATCTGCGGATCAATTATTACGTAACCCTCTGAGACATCATCCGTAAAAACCTTTTAGTTACCTAATATTATAATTTTTTGTTTAACACCATAACAGAAAAATATTTAGTCAAATATAGTCGACATAACTATTTATTAATAGTTACTTAAACTAATGCATAGTTCGAGTAACTAAAAAAAAAAATCTGGAAAACGGTTGACCCTAAAGGCCATCCCTGCAACTTCCCGCCAATTCCACACCTAAACGCTTGAAATTGCACTTATGACGTTTCTGAGCTCTTCGAGCTCAAAAATACAATTTGTGTGTTATTTTGAACCCTCCAAGCTCAAAGAATTACCTCCTGTATGCTTTAGAGCTCTTCGAGCTCAAAAGCCTGATAGAAGTTTAATACAACAGTATTTTTTGAATTTTCAAACTACAATCATTTCTAAATTAATGAATCGATTTTCATGCGGTTGTCAGTAATCCACGCACTTTTTCAGAATCTAGGATAGACTATTTAACACAAACTGATCGAACCGAAATTCTTAGAGAAATTTGAAAAATTCACTTTTTCCGAATTTGTTCAAATTTTTTCGATAATAACTCACGAACCAATCAACCAATTTTCACGTTTTTGGTGGCGATCGACGTGATTTTTTGGGCTTTAATAATTATTTTATTTCGTCAAAAACGATCAGAAAAGAAATGTCGAAGTTATGTGAAAAAAACACTTTTTTCAAAATTTTTCGTTTTCGATAACTCTTGAACGAATTAACCGATTTTGATGGGACTGGTGGCAAACGACGTGGTTTTTCAAGGTTAAGAGCTGATTAGTTTTTGGAAGTGATCGGTGAAGCCATTTAAGAGATTTTTTGAAATTTTTCGTTTTCGATATCTCACGAACGAATCAACCGATTTTGACCGGTCCGACGGCGATCGACGTGGTTTTTCAAGGTTAAGAGCTGATTAGTTTTTGGAATCGATCGGTAAAGCCGTTTAAAAGTTATTCCAAAAAAACCATTTTTTGAAAATTTTGTTTTTGAGATTTCTAAAAATCTAGCGAACCGAATCGATTCAAATTTTCACGAAATTTAATAGCAATGATACTCTTTGGATCCCCATCGATTTCGATCCGATCGGCCAAGCCGTTCAAAAGTTATAAGAGGTTTACATACATACACACACACACACACACACATTCAGCCGCACGGACACCATCGCGGGAATAGTCAGGGAAGCTTCCTAGGACCTCAAAACGTCGAGATCTGATGAAAACTCGATTTTCGAAAAACGGGGTAAAAACAATAACTTCCCGATTTTTGAAAATTTTCAATTTTCTTAGCGGGAAGTTAAAAATTAGAAAAACGGTTGACCCTAAAGACCATCCCTGCAACTTCCCGCTAATTTCATACTTAAACGATTAAAATTGCACTTATGACGTTTTTGAGCTCTTCGAGCTCAAAAGTCTGATAGAAGTTTAATAAAACACTAATATTCTTTAAATTTTTAAACTGCAATTACTTTTGAATGAATAAACCAATTTTGACGCGGTTAGCAGTATTCGACGCAGTTTTTTGAATGCTATGATTTACTTTTAAACATAAATTAATCTGACTTCTTCTATCTTTTGATACTAACTTAACTTCATAACCAATTATCAGTTTTAAATAATATGAATTAGATGAAAAATATTAATTAGCTTACCATTATAGTCATCGAGATGGAATTTTTGAAGAATCAACTACTGCTGGATTATCTGCGATAAATAGCGCTTGTTCTGGTGTACTTGCCAGCGACCCCCATGGAGGGATTATTTACGACAAGGGTAACTATCGTGGAATTCTCACTGCAGCTCATGAACTCGGTCATGTGTAAGTTTTTTTTACCTAAAATCAAAAGATTCATTACATTTATTAACTTTTACTATTCAATACATTCATTAACATGTACATTTATAAGTTCCTCTCATAATTCTGCCTCTGTTGCAATCTGAAAGGATTTATCATTTATATAGTATTTATTTCAAGAAAGATTCGGCGCCAATCACGACAGCGACTCGTGTGCCATTGATTCAATAATGGCAGAAAGAGAGTCACCAAGTAAGAAGACATGGTCAGAGTGTTCAAAAAAACAATTCCAGGACGCACTTCAGTAAGTTAATCATTTATCACTTGATCCATTACTAAATGGTAATTTTCGGCTGAAAAATTGCAGGATAGAAAATTTTTCATGCATGTACAACAAACCCCTTTTGGGAAATTCTTCTTCGACGAAAGATCTAGAGGAATCCGTTGCTGACTCGAAAGTTTTGCTAATTACTCCAGATATTTTTAATCCTAACAAATTGATCGTAATCTCGCATAAAAAAAGTTTTATCAAAGTTTGGCAGATAGATCGAGACGTCGATGATGAAGAAGTGAAATATAATGATTTACATGTATCAATTCCCGGTACAACAAGCTTAATATTCGATCCAAGGATAATTGAGCCTACTAAAATGATTATTATTAATTATATTAAGAATAAAATTCATATTAATACTGTTGATTTATGAAAAAATATATGTTATTTGTTGAACTATATATTAAATAAAAATTCATCATAAATTCACATGTGGTTAAATTACTAAAAATTTTAAATTCATTATCATCAATTATTTTAAGAGATATAATTTAAATTTATAATCTATTTTTTTTTTATAATTCTAAATCTTATATTATTTTTATTTTAATTTGTTCAAGTTGTACAGTATTTTAACTGTTACCTCCCCAAAAATACGGTAAATAAATTCATTGAGATTTAAATAATTAAATAACAGGTTTTGACACCTTGGGTAGTCGATCGACCCCCGGTGTGTCGTCACAGATAAGCTTACTTTTTCAGGATTAATTATTATGGACTTACCATTTAATTATGGGCCCCATGAATCAGCCCAAAAAACCCCCTGGGTTTTCTAACCACTTAGCTTCAAAAGGATAGGTGTCGTAACCCGTCTTTCGTAAGTACTCCTCGGAATAATACCCGTATCTGGGGTCGTTGATCGGGATGACGCCTCCTGGAGGGTGAACCTCAGGAACCTCTACCAACTTCCAGGTTCTGGTGATGTCCGTCCAGAAGGCAGGGTGGTTGTTGCTGGCGAAGATGGACTGACCCTGTGGACCCTGGTAGGAAGGTGATTTGGGCGAGTCTTCCTCGGCGGTTCGTACTACCCTCACCCGGGGTTCCAAGAGTATCTCGTCGTCGACTATTTTCAACGAGGGTTTAGGCGCCTGAACTACTTCTACTCGCGGCTCAACTGGTTTTTCGTTGTTGATTAACGGCAACAAATGAAACAGCTCGGCTATGCGACGACGGCCTTCTTGTACCGCGCGACCTGATCGACGTGATCGACGTGATCGTCTTTTCCGAGGCATGAATCGAAGGAATTTGGTACTGGCTAACGTTCTCGCTGAAGGGTTTCCTTATATGGGGTGGAACAGCTTGTTAAGAGCTCACCCCTATAATAAGTGTAATGGACTATATATGTTCAGTATATTGGGTTTATTGGTTATTAGGATCTGGGGAGATTCAAGCCGATTGACAGGGCTCTCTGCACTAGAGAGTTTCGAGATTTACTGACTTGATCTGCTCCAGAACAGTGTTTATAAATCTTATTGTCAGCCATGTTGGTAGCTCAGGTTACTCCTGAGAGAATCGACGAGGCCCGAGTCCCATGCTGACGCAACATGTTTTGGTTATCCGCGGCCACGGCGACTCTCTGTTGACGCCTTATCACAAGAGATTTCCGTTGGTATATAACCACCAGCGAAGCAACAGATATCGCTTGTTATGCGTTCTGAGAATCTGATCAGTAAAAATAAGATCGTTTAAATAAAATAAAATAAGTCTTGAAAATTAAAAATTAAAAATTAAATTAAGGCGAAAATTCGTGGAACATAACTATTCTACATTCCCATCCCAAAAGGCCCTTTTCTTACGTTGTTATACATAAATTAGTTTAATTATTTACTTAAATACTTATATATGACTAGGAAACAGTTATACGGTCATAATAAAATCATATAAGTTACTTCAGAAGTTACATTCATATAAATATATATTTTATTTTAGTATTCATTGAACTGCGTCTGTTTATACTCTTTTTTTTTTCCGGCTCTCTCAATTGCTGCAAATTTTAAATCTTACATTTTTTCCTAGAATTAGAGTGCATCATAATTTATAAAGTAGTTTGGGAAATCCAAAAGTGCACGACTTATAATGCTTATTTAATTATCAAATAGTATAAAATAAAAAATTTGAAAATATTAATATACAACAGCTGTTATAGGATCATAATGTTTAGGCGCCCCAGTGGAATAAATGTACATAACATATATAAATATGTAATAAAAATAGTTGCCGAAATATAAAGGTAATGACTAATGCTTTTAATTTCACCGGCACACAAAAAAAAAAGTTGTCAGTACTTTTGACGGGACCCATATACCTTTATGTATTTCGACCCGCTGAATCCGAATTTGAGGTCAGTTTGACCCGTACACCGTCAAATTTTCGAGAAAACTTCGAAAAACCGAAAAAAATGACGAAAATCGGCAGTTTAGGCGATTTAAAATGATTTCAAAATTTTTTTTGTCCTAAACTAAGCATGATTTTCATGTATTTCGACCCGTTTAATACTGATCTATAGTTTATTTAGACCATAAGCCATTAAAAGTTTAAGTAAATTCCAAAAAACCCTGAAAAATTGCAAAAAAAGCAAAAAATTCCAGATATTGTGTTAAAAAAAATTTTATAAAATTAGATCAATCATGATTCTCATGTATTTCGATCCACCGAATATATATCTCGAATGTATATGGCTCAGACATCTCTAAAAATCTAAACAAATGGCAAAAAACCACTGAAAATTAAAATAAATCAAGTCAGTTATGATAAAAATTAATTTTCAAATAAAAATAAAAAATTTTTAACATGTTATTCGATCTGTGGAATATAAATTTTTAATTTTTTGACGATAATTTATTTTATACTAAAAAATTTATTGTTTTTTTTTTCTTTAATGACTTTAATAACTTATTTAAATTTGAATAGTACAATATTGTATCTAATTATCAAAATAATTATCTATACTTAGTGCTATTCAATATAATATGTAATGTGGAAAGGTTAGACTAGACACTAGTCAGCATTGATGCCTATTATCCTGCTTTGATTATTGATTAAAGCTTGTCAATAAAACTGGATAAAACATGTGATGCGAATGTAATTCGTCATAGGTATAATTTAAAAAATTTTGATAAGTCTAGTATAGTAACTGCTATATACGAAACTGACTAGTCTGATCTTTCTAACAGTTTTGAACCTGTGCAATCCTTTTCTATAACATTAAATTATCTAAGATCTCTAATGTGTCGCCAAGCTACTTATTTAACGTTAAAATTACGCATAAATATCATATTGAATAAATTAAATTTTTTGTTAAACATTATATTAGAATATTATATTCGATATTAAATATTGTACTAGTTATACGACATCTTGGTAAGCTTTGTAAATATATAAATTTATATTTACTTTATGTATAATTCTATTAAACCTGTTAATGGCGCAAGCTGTTGGGTTTGTTTTTTTTTTCAATAAAATAAAATAAATTGACTTTTGGTGAGAATGATATAAAACCTTGAAAAGGCGAAATTTCAAATCAAGACCTTTGCAATGACACTAAATTTTACTAAAAAAAAACCGATTTATCATATAACTATCTTGGAGACAAAATTTCTCTTATTCTCTTAATAATTAAGATTAATAAGTCATTTATGGAGAAATAATCAATTTAAATCTAGAAAATATTTTTAAATCATTTTGTAATTTTGAATGTTTTTTAAACTTAGTAAATATATGTATACTAAATATATAAACTTTTGAACCAATGCTAATTTTGAGCTTTACTCGACTACAGGAGAGATAAAATGACAAAATTCCATGTGAATTCCGACACAAGGTCCAATGTGTCCAATTTCTACGAAATCTACCTAAAAGATGGGTTGATTGTCCATGATATGCGATTTTCAGAATCGAACTTATGTACTCGGCAGTGCGGGTCACTTGTGAAAGTGTCGTACTAACTCTGGCCATCTAGCGGCAGCGTCGGTACTATTTTCTCTCGACCATTTAAATATTGCCTACAAGGTAAACTTTTCTTTAATTTTGCTTTTTTTTAAGATGATCTTTTTCTAAATTTTTTGATAATCAAATTAATTTTTTTTATCGTCAAAATTTTTGTCATAAGAAACTTTGCTTGATTCAAATGAATTTTGGCGTTAAAAAATTTTCCTGAATGATTAAAAACAAATAAATAATTTTCTAGATAGTTTAATGTATTTTGTTTTTTAATAAAATAAATTTTCTTATCGATGTACACACTGGAAAAAAAATTTCTTGACAATTTGACAAAATTGAAATTTTCAATTTTCTTAGCGGAAAGTTAAAAAAATGACGGATTTTCAATTAGTATAAGTATAGTAGTTGTCGGAACTAGAATGAAAAAAAAAAAAATATTTGACAAAATGGCGCGTAGTTAAAATTACGAATCTAAAATTCGTTTTCAAAAAATATTTTTAACTACGCGCCATTTTTTCAAATATTTTTTATACTTGTACTAATTAAAAATCCGTCATTTTTTTTTATTTCAGATCAGAGGGAGAGATCAATCGACACACGCACCAATCAGGTCCATTTTTTTTGGAGAGGGGAACTTCAGCGCCATTTTTCTAATTAAAAAAAAAATTTTTTTCTCTTAATTTTTATTTTTGTGTAGTTAATAAGTAATAGAATATGTGTGAAAAAAAATTTGAAAGCATAAATCATTACCTTCATATAGAAATAAAATTTTTAAAATAGCTTAAATTTTAGGCCACTAGACCACCGAGTCCCCTTAACTAACAAGAGTATAATAATAAAAATAGTTGCCGAAATGAAGCGAAAAAAAATTTTCGATTGTAAAGCACTCTCTGATGTTTCGCATCATGAGTCCTGCAATTTATTTATATTTTTGATGAATAAAATTTTACATCAACACTTGTTATTTTTATAAAAGATCTTAAATAAAAATGCAAAATCTCCTTTTATTTCTTTTTCATTTATTGTTCTTCCTTTGTTTGAAACATATAAATAATTTTTCAGAATTAGTCTATGATAAAGGTATTAATTAAAAAATACATTATCTACTTAGTCACACTAATTGTCTTTGTTTCTTTGTTACCGCAAAATTTCAAATAAAAAAATTAGTTCAAAAAAACCCAAAGTGGTTTTTACCATTCTTTATTTCCTCTGCCGCCTATATCTAACAAAAGAAGATATTAATCATATAAATAGAGTACTTATAGTTAGGAATCATTGGCATAAAATTTATCAAGGGATTAATTCTCTTCAATATGGGTAAGTTTATTATATTTCTTCATAATGCTCAATATTAATTAACATTTAATTTCATTAAAGATAAATTTCATTTAAAAATAATCTGGCTATTACTCAGCCTCTTTTCTTTGGCCAACTCTCTTTCGGTAAGTCAATTTAAATAATTATAATTTCAAGTTACTAATCAGTAGAATTTAGCTTGAAGAACGTGAAGCGATACTCGACGAGCATGGCTGCAAAGGTAATTAAATTATTGATACCTTTTCAATAATTAGAGGCAAAAATAAAATATAATACGAAACAAAAATTGTAGGAGATGAATGCGAAGTTATTGAAGTAGAATTCTCAAGTCGTCGCAAAAGATCAGTTGATTCAAGATTTTCTTTTCCACTCAAAGCTTTCGGGCGCGAAAGAACCCTAAATCTTCAGCTATCTTCGGGAATTCTTGTCGGCCAAAATACTCCCGTCTATTATGCACAATCAAGATCCAACATACAAAAAACGACATATCAAGTAAGTACTTATTTACAAATACTGGAAAATAGAGAAAATAATAATTATAATTATTTATTAGTCGGTTAGCTCATTAGTACGATCCCAATTTTATGAAGATAAAGTTAATTTGGCGGCTTTCACAATTGATACCGACTCTGACATACCAAAAATAAAGGTAATTATTTAATGATACTAAAATTAGCCGACGTTCAAAAATTGCACACCTCATAGCGCGAAGCGCGTGAGGTTGGGCTTTATACCCGACTCGTCAAAATTAAGCAATTTTGTGATCTTCAAATCTGCCTCTATCACAACCATATCGACGTTCTAATTAGCAAATTTGTACGAAAAAACAATTAGTTCAAAATTAATTATCACTTTAAAAAACAATTTAAAATATAATACTGGTATAATATTTTAGTTTGGATCATCCCAATAATTTATAATTAGACTATTGCTACACGAGAATATTAAAAAATCACCCTCTAAAAAATAAGGAGTTAGACTAATCGCTAATTAGACCGTCGCGATATTGCACACTGATAAAAAAACTATCTTCATTCAAGAAAAATATTCTTGATCCAAGAAAATTATTTTGAAGAGAACTAGTTGTCTTATTTTAAGAAATTCTTGTCTTGAATTCATGTTTCTTGGATTGAGAGGTCTAATCACTCCGATCGATAACATTTTTACTTGGTTCAAGACTTATATTATCTTCGATCGATACAAGTAAATTCTTTATTCAAAAACGATTCTCTTCAATAAAGAATAATTTTATTTCATTTCAAAAATTATTGATTATTGATTCAAGAACAAATTTTTTTATTTATAATGTTATAATAAGTTTGTCAGAAAAAAACTTTGAAGTAAAAAAATTTTTATTTCTCTATATGCCGAAAAATATTTATTAATACAGAAAATAGCAAATATACAAAAATTTACATGCTTAAAACAAGGAAAATAATATCTTAATCCAAGAGTCGCGCCATACTTAGAATAAGTCGGTAATATCTTGAACCAATGTTACCGTCTATCTTAATCCAAGAAAAAGAAATTCTTGGGCGAAGTTGTATATATATTATTTGAAAAAAAACCAAGTTAAGAGAATTGAACTACTTGAAACAAAGAATGACATTTTGAAGAAAAAATTTTTCTTGGATCATTTTTTTTTATTAATGCACTTATACAAGGATTTAAGTATACTTAAATCCTATCGGTGATCCACATATGGCACTTGTAATAAATTTATTGCAAATAATGGAAATTATTTTTGCTCCACGTGTTAATGAAAATTATTTGATACGTTTAAGAAATCTTAACAGGGATTTTAATGTTAAATTTCGCGCTCTTTTTTCGAATGTAAATCCAATTAATAAATTTCACCATTTATATCATTATGAAGAATTTATTCGGTGGGCTGGTCCTGCAGTTAATTACTGGTGCATGAGATATGAAGCTAAGCATGGTGGAGTCAAAGCTCGTGGTCAAGTCGTACACAACCATAAAAATTTGCCTAAAACTCTGATACGCGTTTATGTCAATCTGAACAAAGTGCTAAATGGGGAGGAAAAGATGTTAAATTGAATCGAATGATGACTACAAATGGACGAACTGTATTTGTGGAAGACACTGCCAGTAAAGAGGCTCTGTATGACTTTGATTATATTGATACTGATCGAGTGTTTCGTTGTAATTCTGCTAAAGTAAATGGAGTAGAATTTAGAGTAGGTTTATATGTATGCTTAGAAGCTTCACACCTTCGAGATGATAACTTACCTTCATTCGGATCAAAAATAAAAGAAATTATTATTTTGAGGAATACTGATGTTTATTTATTTATTTCAAAATATACGACAACAGAGTTTGATGAAGCAGTCAATGCATATCACATATTACTCACAATGATAATGACGCAGATGAAATTTTTATAAAAACCTCTATACTTGCTCATTTCAAGCCAATCTGTTGTTGGACTAAACAAAGTTCAGATAACTTGTACATCAGTCTTCGACATATTATTCTATGACAATTCATTCAGAATAACTTACTGCTGATTTGGGGTGAGATATACTAAAAGATCCAAATACTCTTTATTGAATATTACTTTGTTACTCCTTCTTCAAAATAATTCGTTCAGGCTTAATTTTTCAACTGAAATATCAGTTTTTTCTTTCCTTGTAAATGTTGCTTTATTCTTCAATACTCAGAGTTTTCGAACATCCATGTTATGTGCTTGAGTACTTCAATTTTCAAAAATTTAACTAATTTTTTATACAAATTTTCAAACACTCTCCTTTGCGCAATTTTAGATTTTAAAACTAGATGATTGACTTTTGAAGAGTTAAAACTTCAAAAACTATCCATAATATATTTAAACTAAATATAAAAATAATGTTTTTTTTTTAACAATTAATCCTGATTTTCATTATTATAAAATAAACTTGATTTATATTAAAAAAAATTATTTTACACTGAAAGAAAAGTTAACTTGATTCGAGAGAAAAATTCTTGAATCAAGAAAATAATTTTGAAGAGGGTAATTGTCTTCAATCAAGACGAAAAATCCTTGAATCAAGTAAAATTTTCTTAAATCAAGAAAAATTTATTAGTTCAGAATTTTTCTACTCAAATTAAGAAGATTAAGTTCTTCAAAATTATATACTTGATTCAATAACATTTTTTTTTTTCTGTGTATAAACGTATGCATTGCAACAATTCTTTTATAAACAAACAATGCAATAGACGTATTTGCTTAAAAATGCCATTTTCTATCTTACGGTCTTGTTCGTGCAAATAAAAATATTCAGTATATTTTTTTTATCACTACGAATGTGTTTTTATTCTTAAAATTAATAATATTAAAAATTTTAGATGAAGATATCGATGGTGCGGCGTTTCTTCAGCTAACAAATCAAGATTTGTCTCAATTAAAGATAAAAATGGGACCAAAAAAAAAGTTATTAGCTTTAATTGATTCATTGAATCAAGAAAAAATAACAGGATCTTACATTATTATTGACTCAAGTGGAGTACTGGAAAAACAGACACAAAATGAGACTGTTTGTTCAACTCTTCCGATAAATGTAAGTTTGTCAAGAGCATCAACTTCCGGCGTAACATCATCACTATCCAGTCCTAAACCTACTCCAGCTTCATGTACACTTTCAACAAGTGTCGTATCGTCAAATACTTTTTCAGTAAATATTTTATTGTTCGCAAATTTATTAAATTTTTTTATAAAAAAATTAATGTTTACCCTTATTATATTTACAGAGATATGGTACCGTTGAAAATACATTAAAAGAGCATCAACAAGGAAAAGAAATTCTATCAGCCATTCGTGGAATAACATGCAGTGAAGGAGATCGAAAATGTTTTGTTCGAATCCTAGTCGGTGAACTAGTCAAGACTCACAACGATAGTTGGTAAAATATTAATTTTCCATTATCAATCAAACTAAAAATATAAAGGTTATTTGAGAATTTCTTTCTTAAAAAAATTTTTGTTTTTTCATGTTAAATTAGCTACCCTCCAAAAGAAGCAAAAATCGCTTTGGCCAAAGCGATATCATTAAAGAATTCCCAAAACTTAAAGATAAGAAGCAACCTAATGGCTACGTAAGTAAAAAAATATTGCTTTAAATTGAAATTCTAGGCATTTATAAAACTGTGATAACTTTAAGAAGTTTATACATATCTTACTTGTTTCGGCTTGAATAGTTTTATGAGCTTGGAATGACACTATTTAGACTGACAGACGACATCAAAAGATCTGTTTAGCCTTAAAAAATAAAGGTTGTCAAGTTTTTTGATATCTATCTCAATTTAAAAGTCAGCTATATATAAGTTTTTCATTCTACAAACATTTCATGTGAGCCTATAGGATTTTCTCTCGAGAAATTATTTATATTAAATGAAAAACTGTCTGAGATCAATGTTATTTTTAGCCTATAGTATGAAAATGAAACGATCAATTACTTGTTTTATTTTAGTAAACGATAATTTTTCAAGATATTCTCAAAAAAGTATGACAAAAAACGATTAAAAAAAAAAATTTTTTTGTTAATTTCACAAAATATGTGCATTGAAAAAATTCAATAAATTGTGTCCTTGTCTATAATTAAATTAAAATTTTGAGAAAAAGCAATTGGTTTTTATTTTTATTAAAACAGTCGGTCTTGGATTAGCGTTAATGATTTATATTTACTATAAAATGAACAATATTAAATTGTTAGCTCTTTATTATTTCCATCAGGAATACTATTTTAATCCAAAATCTGGTAATGATCTGGTAATGGTTAAAAAAAAAAAATAAATTGTATTTGAATAAAAAAAAAAATTAAATAATTTCTGTCAGAATATTTTATATTTTTTTTTTAAATTATTAGCGCTGCTTTATTTAAAAAATTTTCAATTATCAAAAAAAATTATTATTATATTAGAACAGATAAACGATACTGATTCATTAACTTATCGTAGAGCTTGATTAGTCATTTAAAAACAGGCGATAAAATTCTCGAAATTTCTCTAATAAGTATGTTACAATTTACTCGAACATTTATCTGTCATAAATATGCTTTCGATGAAAATTCAATAAATACTCTTAAAGAAAATTTTAACATTTACTTGAATCGATTTTTAGCCTACATCAGAACCCACAAACCTGTACTAAATATTAAAGAAGAAATTCATTTTGCAATATTCTTAAAAACACTTTTTAAAATAGTGATTATAATTACACGACCAAATGAACCAGAGTCAATTTGCAATGAAATTGACAATATGAATTCTTCATATATCTGCTATACAATGCTTTATGATGAATGTAGAAAATTTTTTGATCTTTCGGAAAAAATTAACGAAGTTAAGCTCGAAACAGCGGACTGGACTCTCGATTCTTGGGGTAAACATTATTGGAATTTTCTCCATGCTCTCTCCATTCTTGTTCAATACTGCTACCAAACAAAATGTGATGAATTGCTTCACAATTATGTGGCTGCTCTTATTCTCAATTTTGATTTGATTTTACCGTGTAATACTTGTCGCGAAAATTATAAACTGAAGAAGCCACTGATTAATTTATCATTGCCTATTATCTACAGCAAAGACGTCATTTTCGTCTTATACAATTTGCACAACAATATTCGTGTGACAAATGGATTAGAAAAGTTTCCCTTTGATCAATTTCTTAATAGTTGGAATATAAAGTTATTGGATGCTGAAACAAAGACAGTAAATGCACGCTATTTATTGGAATAAAAATTTATAAATTGATAATTAATCTGAAGATTATAAATTGATATATTTTTTTTTTCGAAATTATTAAGATCTTTTAATAATATTAAACTGAGAAAAAAATTTTTTTAATTTCCCGCTAAGAAAATCGAAGATTTTCAAAAATCGGAAAGTTACTGGTTTTACCCCGAAAAAAGTGCTTTTTCGGAATTACTCCGAAATTTCTAGTTCGTTTAATTCAAATTTGAGAATTCTTTATGAGGCTGATAAAACTGCGTTGAATGCTGCCAACCGCGTGAAAATCGGTTAATTTATTCAAAAGTTATTGCGGTTTGAAAATTCCAAAAATAGTGTTCTATGAAACTTCTATCAGACTTTTGAGCTCGAAAAGCTCAAATGCATAGAAAAGCTATCTCTTTGAGCTCAGTGAGCTCAAAATAACCCATAAATTGTATTTTGAGCTCAAAAATGTCATAAGTGTAATTTCAAACGCCCAGATATAGAATTAGTGAGAAGTTGCCGGGATGGCCTTCAGGGTCAACCATTTTTCTAATTTTTCCCTCTAAAATTGTAGAAAATAACGTTAAAATATATTTTAGAAAACTAAAAGAGCTTTTTGGAAAAAAAAATTTTTTTACGAAATTTTAGGGGTTCCATTTGAAAAGTGACTAATAAATACACAGCCAGCACCATAAAATAATTCTAATCAGCCGCATTATTAATCTGTTGATGATTAATTTAGAAAATGTATCCTGTAAAATTAAAGATTAAAAATGTTTGAAACTTTTCAAGTATATAAGAAAAATAGGGTTCCTTTGAAGCATCTTCACGTCAAAACTACTGGACATATTGGGATAGGACTGCTACCATTTCACGCAGAATTTTCTGTAAATGGTTGTATAGGCTTTTTGTTTTTTGAATTCTATCGACCCTTTGCAATCAGATGATTATATTGAACGAGTTTGAAGATAAATAATATCGGACAATTATATATTTTAGATAGTGGCCATAATACTCTAACTTTTCAAAAATTTTTACCCTAAATCTATTCTAAGAAATCCACCTTCCATCTCGGGTGCGATCAAATGAGGTTATTTTTAACTTAATTTATTAAATGTTAAAAACAGGAAGAAATAGTGAGGCTGTACTTAACTTAAAAACTTTTGAAAAATGATTTTCGAAATAATTTAAATATTTTAAAATAAGTATACAATAATATTTTGCAATCGATTACTTTAATGTCACAAAATAGTATACAATAGATTTGGTTTAAAATACTAGTTAATTTACACTCTTAACACATTAAATCTTGTAAACTTAAAGTCATTTCCATAAAACATAACACGTTAATAATATTTCAATTAAAAATACTTTTATAGTTAACTAGGCACTGCTTAGGCGTACTAGGTACTCACTTGAGCCAAGAAAATTTTTAGCGCTCCACGTTTGATGGTGAGTATATAAACAATGCTGTGAAGCGGGAAAGAATAGGAGTTACGGATAATTATTACGTGAAGCGTTCCAACATTCACGTAACAGGATAATTGGTAGGAAAGGATTGAGAAAGGATTGTGGAGAGGAACTTCTTAATGTGAGTGTATAGAATATGTGAGAAAAAATTATTAGATAGCTCGGACTGGGATTCGAACCCAGAACCTTCCGAAGACATGTCGGCTACTCTACCATTTGAGCTATTACGTGAGATTATTACAGATGGAATTGATTGATAGATGTTTTGCAAATAATTCTAACCCACTGATAATATCTTCTGACTTGGTTGATGACCAAATAGCAAGCGGGAGTATTGATAATGGAAGTCCGCTGATTGTTATAAATGATGATCAGAGACGGAAGCAAATCGAAGGGCTTTTTTCCAGCTATCCTACGTACATCCTTAGATTTGAATCTATGGAGAAACTGGTACCACTCATTTTTGGGTTCATGGGCTCAACAATCTGGAACATAAAGTCGCCCATGTTCATTCTCGACATTTCTGAAGGGGCGCATGATAGAAACGCTTCTATGGTTCTTTCTTTCCTTGGAAGTCTCGATATTTTAATATCATACTATGTGTGTTATGATGACAAAAAAGATTCAACCATGGTCTACACTCTGAATCCTTACTCACAATACGCTCCGTCTCCTTGGAATCAAGTTAAATTTGCAAATGCCAATAGTAGTAGTAAAACAAAGTCAACACTATACAGTCTGCAATATCCAAAAGGTAATCTTCAAGTTTAATAATATCCCTATAAAAAAAATCCAAATGATTTTATATGGGAATCCACATGGGAAGTATGGATTCCTGTATAGGAAGTATCAATTTCTATAGGAATCCACTTAGGAACTTGTGGGTTCATAGTTTCCTGTATGGGAAATCCAAATCGGAAGTATGGATTCCTATAGTGAATTTATATAAGTGGAATAAACATACACCTTTTAAGAACGTGACTTAGGCCAGTAAGTAGCGTAGAGGTACTGTCAACCATGAGGTACCAGACGCGAGCAGTTTTTTCATTAGATAAAATTACAAAATCCATTTTTCACAATTTATTTCAATTAATAATTTATTAATAGCAATTACTTCATAATTGTTTTTAATTTTTTAAATAAATTTTTTTCTCCCCTGATTAATATGGGAATCTATATAGAATCATACCCTGGATTCCTATATAGGAAACCATATGGGAATCTATCCGAAAACGCTATGTGGGAATCTAGGTTGGTTTCCTATATGGATTTTTAACTTCCCGCTAAAAAAATTGAAAATTTTCAAAAATCGGGAAGTTATTGTTTTTACCCCGTTTTTCGAAAATCGAGTTTTCATCAGATCTCGACATTTTGAGGTCTTAGAAAGCTTTCCTAACTATTCCCGCGGTTTTTGATACTAGTTCAAAGAATTCGAGTCGATAAATTTTGAGAAATCTCAAAAATAAAATTTCCAAAAATTCGTTTTTATTTTTAATATCTTCTAAACAGCTCGACCGATTGATTCCAAAAACTAATCAACTCTTAACCTCGAAAAACCTCGTCGATCGCCAACGGCCCGGTCAAAATCGGTTGATTCGTTCGTGAGATATCGTTGTCGAAAAAAATTGAAAAAAATTTTTTTTTCAGAATTTCTATGAAATTTTCAGTCTGACCAGTTTGTGCTTAAAAATTCTTCAAAGAACTCGAAAAACTGCGTTAAATGCCGTGAACCGCGAGAAAATCGGTTGATTCATTCCAAAGTTATTGCGGTTTGAAAATTCAAAAAATAGTGTTCTATGAAACTGGAAGAGCTCATAAGTACAGAGCAGCTATCTATTTGAGCTCGCAGAGCTCAAAATAACACAAAAACTATATAAGAGCTCAAAAACAAGATAAGTGAAATGTTGAGCGCTTGAGTATGGAGTTAGCGGGAAGTTGCAGGAATGATTTTTAGGGTCAACCGTTTTCCTAATTTTTTTTTTTTAAATGCACATGTTTTTTCAAAAGATATTGATTTGTTGAAAATTATAAACAATTTTATTTTTTCTTAATTTAAGAAATAAAAATTTTTTTTTACAGTAATTTTTTTTTTTTTGAAAAAAAGTTGTATTGATTTGGAAAAAAAAAAATTTAGATAGACAAGTTGCGAATTTTTATTAAAAAAAATTTAGAAAACTTTTTTTTAACAAGAAGATTACTGTGAGAAAAATTTTTCTTTCTATATCTAAAAAATAAAATTATTTAAAATTTCCAACAAATTAATTTCTTGTCACAAAAAAATTCATTTTTTTTAAAAGAAATTTTTCCTCTCAGTGTTCTTTATTCGTTTCATTTTTTATTAGTTTTTTAACTTTCTACTTGATGAATAATGGCGAAAAAGATTCTTACTTCTTTCATAATTATAATGATTATTAAAAGACTTCAAGATAATGACCTGTGTTTTCCACCCGAACGCTAAAAACTGCAGAAAAATTTTTTTGAACCGTAAATGTTCTTCCGTTTTAATTTTTGCTATAATAGGAGTAAAATATATAACATAAAATTTTTATATACCTTCAATTAAAGATAGCCCTTATTATTAATTATAAATAATTACATTTGCTACTTATCCATACATATTTTGTTATGTAAATATTTATTTCAACTTGTAGACAGTTAAAATCTAGCACATTATAATTTATTAACAGAAATAGGTCAAGGATTCCAGTAGAATGAGGTGAAATTCTATCTTTTTGCTTTGTTGTAACTTAATTATTTTTATTTTCTAATTTTTCTATTATTTATCTTCTCTTGAAAATACTCTGCACAGTTTTATTTATTTTTTTTTTTTTTTTTCATAAATGCAATTTCCTTTTGATATTCATAAAGAACTTCATTCAGATATCACGTCCACATAGTTTGCTGGATAAAGTCCAACTCTTCCATCTTTTCTTCCCTTACACCATCCTTGCTCGTCTTCGTCTTCCAATTTTTCAAAAACTTCCCCTTTAAATTAAAAAAAAAAAAAAATTAATCAAAAAAAAAAATTCATGAAAAATATTTTATAAAAATAAAATACCTTGTTTAAAACTCAATTCGTCAGCTTCTGCGCCTTCATAATCATAGAGTGCTCGCACTGGGACTCCAGGCTCTCCAGTATCAACAAGTGCTTCACCAACATCTTCATCCCAGTCTTCCTCATCAAAAGGATTAGACTCTTGCTTTGCAGTCGTACCATTTCTAAAATTATTCATCCCATTAATTAAATTGAAGTGTTTTAAAAATAATTAAATAATTTACTTACGAAACTACTGAAGTTCTGTTGGTAGTATTATCATCAGGACCCTTTTCCGACGGCGACTGTGATTCAAATGTGTCCGTCTTTCCATCTGCATGATGCGCATCTGATGGAATCATTCGCGGTGATGCTCTTGCTCTTGCTTTATTAACGGGTGGAAAATCCTGTTTAATAATAGAAAATTTTTTTATTTTTATTTTTATCCATAAAGTTTAAAAAATGAAAAAATATTTTTTTCAGGCTGGCTTGATATAGAAATAAGCCTAATCAAAATTTATTAAAGCGTATCAAATTATATTTTGAGCTTAGAAAATTTTTTTTTGTTAAATTGAGTCTATGAATTTTTTTTTTAATTTTTTATGATATTAAAATTAGCAGTCACTTAACTGTTTTTTAATTTTATTTAGCAAAAAAATTATTTAAGAAAAATTGCATTTTTTTTTTTTTTATTTCTAAATGCCAATTTTTTTTTCTCATTTTTTTTTTACCATAATTTATTTGTTACAAAAATTTGTAAAATTATTAAATATCTGCCAAATTAATTTTCATACATTTTTTTTTTTAATTTTAATTTTTTTCAAAATTCGATATTTTTTTCATAAATTTGTAAAAAATTGATTTTTGAAAATTGAATTGAAATCAAGATCAGTTCAATTTTTTTAAATTTAATTTTTGCTATGCTTATCATTAAATTTGCTGTTAAAATTTCTGTGCAAGAGAATCTGTGAAAGTGACTGGAGTATTTAAATTATCAGTGTTGTAATATTATTTTAAAAGAAAATTTTATACTTTGGCTGCCGACACGAAAAGAACAAAATGATACTGGATATCATCCCAGACTATACTGAGTGAAAAAAAATTTCAGATAGTAGCTAGTATAATCCAGATTACAATGAGTATAATCTGGATTTTTCTAGCTACTAAGGTAAAAGACCCAGTTATTGACACTGGCCTAGTTGTTTGACACTTGCAATTTTATTGTAATTAAAACAATAAAATGTTCTCAAAAAATTAATTATCTTAAAATTCATAGTTCACAAATTATATTTATTAATTTATTAGAGTTGATTTGTTTTCTTTTTAATTAAAATAAAATTGCAAGTGTCAATAACTGGGTCTTTTATCTTATCTGAAATTTTTTTTCACCACAGATATCACTAAGTATAATCTGGGATGATATCCAGTGTCATCTTGTTGTTTCCGTGGAATGACACTATTTTTTTTTTTGTTCAAATATAAAAAAATTTTATTTTTAAGCGTGAAAGTAGCTTGCTTTCGTAAGACATGCAAAATAAATTGTTGAACATCCAAGATCTTTTTTTTAAGATTTTTGTGACATTAGCTGTGCGTTTTTATACTCACAACAAGATTCACGGTTAAATGAAGAAGCAACTACCTAAATGCTGACAAGATTTTCACAAGAGTTTTATATGGCTAAAATATTTTTTAGAAAATATATACAAATTTTTCTTTCAATTCTAATCGTAAAAGTTAAACTTGCATGAAATTTTAATACGTAAATTTTTTTTCCTTTTCAAAATTAAACTTGGAAAAATCTCTGTCATAAAAATTTTTATAAAATTGTAATTTTAAAAATAACTCGAATTTTTAATGCAATACTCTATGTATGCATAATATACTATAATATAATTATTTACAAAAATTTTTCTTTAAAATAGTAAATGCTAAATTTAAAAAATGAAATAAAATAAAACTTTACATGCAAATCTTCACCGACTGGTCTTTGATTGATGAGTGTAATTGACCCCACAGGTATAGCTTCTTTCGACTTGTTTCCTTTGGCGATCTCACGAAATTCTTCTGTGTAATCCTGTATAAGAAGTAACGACAACAAAGTCACAAGCATGCAATTCTAATTTAACTATAATAATTTAAAATATAGTAACTATTAATATTCTACTCAGCTGTTAACTTTAAGACTTTGTACTTTTTTATAACATAATTTTGCTAATCAGTTCAATCAATTGTTAAAAAAAAAAAAAAAAAAAGTTATCATTCCAATTTGTGAAAGCGAACTTTTTTTATTATGAATCATGCAATTGTTTTTTAATAACTTTAATTTAAATGAGATTTTTTTAATAGTATTACCTCGAATTGCGGCCAATTCATTGCCATGTTTACACCATGATTATTTGACCACCATTTAAGATCTTTCTCATAGTCCGCATTATTAATAGAGTGAAAGAATTCTTCGTAAATTTGAGGAAGACTGAAAAAAAAATATAAGTCGGTAATATTTTTAATCAAACATTTTTTTAGTGCATAAAATTTTTCTTTTCTTCTTTTAACTTTTTTGTGTTGTTGGTTTTTAATTAATCTTACGTTTTTATTTTTTGAAGTTAAAAAAATAAATTTTTTTTTGCATAAATTAATTTTTCAACATGTGAAAAATATGGTAGTAATTTTTTAAAAATTCCGATATTTTAACATTACTTCGCTTATTAAAAAAAAAAAAAAATAATTAAAAACAATTCAAAAATTGAGTTTGCACGGATTAAATAATTTTAAATTGTTTTAACTTAACAATAATTAAAACGAGTGTTTTCATGCCATCTAAGTCAAATAACTAGTAGATGTTGTTCAAGTCAAGAGATGGATACTTCCATCTTCCCTTATTGGTCAAGAGATATCCTCTCTTTACATAAGTTCGATGGAAATCCATCAAACTTGAATACCAGTAAAGCTGTAAGCTTGTAGTATCTATTCGAGTGAAGATGTTAATTAAATGAAAGAAATGAAAGAAAATTATTTTAATGAGAGTAAAGACAGACTTTGAAAAAATAAATGGGGTTGGTTGCCAAGCCAGGCAACTTTAAATACATTTTTCTCAAAAATGTGTTTTTTAAACTTTGCTCTATTTTCTAAAAAAAATAAACAGGTTGTCTTTAATGTTTAATAAATATAAAATTTAGATTTATGAAGAAATCTATAAAAAAAATTTTTCAAAAATAAAAAATGCAATTTATTAAAAATAATTTTTTTAGAACAAATTTATTGGTTAAAAAAAATAAAAAAAAATTATATAGTATTCCCAAAAACTTTTTTAAAATTAACTTTTGAAGATAAAATTGCAATAAATATTCTAAAATACTTACACTGGATCTTGTGAAATATTTAGGCACTTATGAATACCAAAAAGTACATCTTTGAAGAATTGAAGGCGTTGCGCTTCCATTTCCTGACATTTTTCATATACTTGTGTCATATCTTCCATGTATTTAGGGTTATACTGATTAATTTCTAGTAAAGCTGCTTCATATTTTTCTTTAGCCTTTTGTACTTCTTCTTTAGTTTTCTGAACTCGATCCTGCATTTTTTTCACCTGATAATTATAAAATAAAAATTATTATTACCATGCAAAAAAATAAAAAAAAAATGTATCAAGATTTTTCTGAACATAAATTTCCGCATAATTTGGCTTAATCCAGCCCAGTTGATTAAAAAAAAAAAGTATATGTATAATTCTCTGGAAATTACTTGAAATTACTGTGCTGATAAATTGCTGCATTAATTTCTGCTAAGTAAAATTTTTCGGTCAATTTATTAGAAGAAAAGGTATCGAGTCGCTCGATAAGATAAGGACAATTTATAATTTAAAGTTTCCTAATAAAATCTCAATTTTATAAGAAAAATGATCAATAATTCAGTATAAATCCTAATTTTGCTGGAAATCTAGTGAAGAAATTAAAAATCAAAAATTCAATGATAATTGTTGAGACATAACAAATGAACTACAACCAATTTCTTAAGAATACTTAAGGAAATTAAGCCGCATCTATTTATTCTTAGTCTTACTAGACTTTGATTAATCGATTAATCCGATAAAAAATTACAGAAATCCCACACACACACACACACACACTCACACATACGACACATCTGAAAAATGGACTGAGACAATATTTTCTCTAACTTTAATTAAAATTTAAAATTTTTTAAGAAATATTAGAAAGATGACAAATTAATAATTTTAGAATAATATTAGATTAAATAAGAATAAAATACAGAAAAATATTATTTAAAACTATAAAGAAGAAAAGGATCAATTAAATCAAAAATTTTTATAAATTTTTTTTTAATTAAATTAAAAAAAATATTTGACTAATTTTTTTTTTTTAATTGAATTAAAAAAAAAAAATAAATTTCTTTTCAAACAAACGATTGTAACTGTACAATTAAATTTTATCAAAGTAGAAATCATACAATATAAAGAGCTTAAAAAAATAATTATATTTTAAATTTAAATAAGCACAATCATTCTGAATTAAAAAAATAGCCGAGGTTTTTTATTTTAATCAAATTTTTTACTGGTTTAATTGGCTCCGCCACCAATCTTTGCCTTACAGTTGTTTGATCCTGTTTTTCAAGGCTTTGAGTAATTATTTCAAGATTTTTAACAATACTTGCAGAGTACACTGGCCATAGTAAGCTTTTGTAGAAAAAATTGTCCAATTAAAATTTCTTCTTTTCTACTTATGTTACTAAAATTTTTTTCATTTTGCAAGGCAAAAAATTTGAGAGGAATAAAATTTTGTGAATAAAGCGAAAATGAAATTGTAATAAAGTACAAAATATCTTTAAACATGCATCATGCTTACAATCAATACATACATCATGAATATCCAATTGGTTAATATTTTTAAGATAAGTTAAAATTCTTCGAATCCATGCAGAGCATCTGATTTTTGACATCTAAAACCCGTTAAATTCATTTTTTCTGAGTTAAATCTACTACAACGATCCGATAAAGGAAGTTTTTGCCTTATTATAAGTCACTGTAGATCATGCATAATAATTAAGTCTATATACTGTCTTAGAAAATTATTTTTGACCATTTCAATAAATATTGATTTAAATAAAAGTTTGTGGAAGATAATAAAATTTGAAATTAATTTTTAGAGGTCACTTTTTGATTAACAAATATTTATTTGACGTCTTGGAAACTCGAAAAAATTTTAATTGACAAAAAATCAAAATTTTGTTTTAAAATTTTCAGAATTTAAATAATATTTAAGCTAGAAAATTTAGTATGCCAAGAAAAAAATTTTGAGCAACCTCTATAAAATTTTTAAAGGGCTTCTAAAACATAAATAACATATTTTATAAGACTAAATGAAAAAAAATTAGTATAAAAAAAAAAGAGCACAATGCAAAAGCTATTTTGGAAAAAAGTATTAATAAGTCAATTAGGTAATTTTTTACAAGTGGGATCAACCCATGCTAGCCTATGTTAAATTTTTAACTTCCCGCTAAGAAAATAAAAAAATTTTCGAAAATCGGGAAGTTATTGTTTTTTTTTCGATCAATTTTTTTTTAATTGTTTGTTTTTTTGTATACTTTTCAAAAAAAAAAATATATATCAGAAACATCAAAAAAAGATAAATTATAAATTTTATCCAAAAACATGAGCCAAAATTTTTTCCAACTTTTAAAGGCAAAAAAGCTATCGAAGTCTTTATTTTTTCCTTTCACGATATTTCTTATCATAAATGCGCCGTAAAAACAAGCAGAGTAAAAAGAAATTGGAAATGTTAATTTTTCATCTAGTTATGACCCAAAATGGGATTGACCCCACTTGTAAATAATTACCGTCAATTAATTTGTCAATAGAGCTGAAACTTAAAAATATTAATAAAACTTGTTCGTTCTTTTATCAAAAAATTTTCTGTTACTTTACAAATATTAAAAAATTAAAATATGTAATTACTTTTTTTAACTAAATCACTAATAATAAGTTAAAAAAAAAAATTCTCTGAAATTTAGAACTTTATACATCAGCTTAAAAAAGTTCCGATTTTTTACAAAAATTTATTAAAAAAATGAGTGAAAAATTTATTTTTATTAAGAATTTTTTTTATCAAAAAATGTCATAAGTTGGTGATTAATAAATCTACAATCAACAAAATAATTATTTTTGTAAGAAATCTACTAATTCAGAAGTTATTCAAGGTCACAGTAAATGTAAGATATAATAAATTTAAGTTTTTTCATTTCTACTACGTCGTAGTGGCAAAAACTTTGTTTATCAAACACAGTTTCTAATTGTGAAAATGATCATAATAAATTACCATAAACATGCAATTAAATAGTTTATGTTAAATGATATTTTTTTAAATAAAATCAACGTACGTTATCAGAACCTCGGGCAGCTTGCTGAAAACAAATTTGTTTTTTTCAATTTTGTGAAAAATTGATCAGTATCTCAACATATTCACCCAGACATCGACTCACACACTAACATATTCACGACTATCGTAACAAAAATTTATTGTGTAATATCAACATATTTTTTTTGTTAATAAGTATTAATTAAAGATTTAGTCCACTGTAACACCATGTTCCAGACTATCCTTCACCTGACATTGATCACATTAATTTTCGGAAAAAATATAAAATTAATTGATACGTTAAATATCGATACTACCATTCTTATACGTCGTATTAAAGGTCAAATAGTTTAATAACAATTTTTAAATAAATATTTTCATCCGTTGAATCCCATTTAATCAATGTTAAAAATTAACTGTTTTTACCGTCTGCTGTAAAATTTTCTAAATGTGGGATACGGTGGATTAAAATGGCAGTGTATCGATATATTTCTGGCTTAAAATTTTCAACATTAATTTTGTGTTGATTTTTAGATAACATTTTCCAACCTATTCTCCAGACCATTCTCCAAATTTGCTTAAATATTTCTTAAGAAATATAACAAAGCTAAGTGTACCCATCACAGAAAACTTGAGCCCTCACCACCGACTAAAATGAGTTAAAGAATAAGAAGACGTCTTCTGCTAACCGAAGACACTTCAGTAAGATAGTCACGAGTTTGGATCAGTAACGTCCAAATACAATTTTTAATCAAATTCTATTGAAGTATAATTTTTTATAATTAAATAGAGCTATACTACAAATTAGTTTAGTGAATAAATTTTATTTTATTTTATTGATTCCAATTTATTAATCAATTACAGATAAAATATTTTCAAATTATTTAGCAAGATATGTTTTTTCAATTAATTTTGTCAATAATTTTTTTGTCATAATTTTCCGTTTAAATTATTATTATTTATTTATTTATAAGTCGCTATATGACTATCAAGGTTTTCAGCGACTACTGTACAATTAAATTTGATGGGTTATTTACATTAAAAATTTTAATAAGAGACTCGATTTGCTAACAATTTGAATTCAGTTTAAATTGTATTTGATTTAAAAATAAAAATAAGTAATATTTTTCATAAGTAGTTATTGCTTTTTAATAATTATAAACTATGAAAAAAAAAAGAAATCAAAAATCTTTTATTTTTTGTCGGAAGTATACCCGTGTAAAAAAAAATCGTCTTAAAATTGTCTTAAAATTGTCGTTCGTTTAAGATCTTAAACGTGACACAAACTAAGACTATTTCAAGACTCTTTCAAGACGCCAAAAGAAAAATTCCAAGAGCAGATTTTTGAAAATTTTGTTCTCGAATTTGTTGTGAAAATTAATTTTTAGATGATTTTACGACTTTCTAACCGCAATATTTTTGAGTAAGATGTTTTTAAATTGAATTTAAAATTGTTAAAAAATTATTATCTGACAATTTAAAGACTTTTTTAAGACGTTCCGTTTCAATGTTCCGGGGCTCTGTCGCTGTTAACCCATCTTAAAATAGTCTAAATTTTTTGTTAAAATTTTTTTAAGACTAATTTAAGATAATTGTGAGACAATTTAAAGACGCTCCATAATAATTTTCCGAAGCTGTCACTGTGATGTCATCTAAGTGACTATTTTAAGATTATTCAAGACTATTTAAAAATTATTTTAAAACTTAAATCTTAAAATAGTCTTAGAAAAATCTTAAAATAATCCTAAAAAAATCAAAATAATTATTAAAAAATCTCGGAATTTTTTTTTTTAGCATCTTAAAAGAATCTTAAAATAGTCTTAGTTTGTGTCACGTTTAAGATCTTAAACAAACGACAATTTTAAGACTTTCAGATTTCTTTAAGACTATTTTAAGATTTTTCAAGACTATATAAAAATTATTTTAAAGCTTAAATCTTAAAATAGTCTTAGAAAAATCTTAAAATCGTCTTGAAAAAATCTTAAAATAGTCTTAAAAAAATCAAAATAATTATTAAAAAATCTCGGAATTTTTTTTTTTGGCATCTTAAAAGAATCTTAAAATAGTCTTAGTTTGTGTCACGTTTAAGATCTTAAACGAACGACAATTTTAAGACAATTTTAAGACGATTTTTTTTTACACGGGTATTGATAGATTGATTTACTTTAATATTTAGATAAAAAGATAAATAAATAAAAAAAATGAAACTATAAAATAATATCAAACTAAAATAGTATAATTTTAAAGATTATAAGAAATTTAATTTAACTAAGAATAATCTGATTAAATGATAATAAAAAAAATTGATTAAATGATTAGATGATAATAAAAATAAAACATCTAACGATAGCAAATAATCAAACATCTTTTGTTTTAATACTTCTAAGCTATTTTAATCAAATACTTTCGGAAGGTATTCCTGCCCAAGACATAGTAATAATTAAAAATAAATTTTTCAAATTTAGGATTAAAAAATTAACATTATTTTGGCCTAATATTCTTTCAAGTCACTTAAATTTATCACTAATAAATAATTAAGTTTACTAATACACACAAAAAACAAATTTCTTGCGCCAAGAAAATTTGAAAGAAAACGAAAGTTATTTTGGAGCAAGAAAAAATTTTATTGGCTCAAAAAACTTTGACTTCATTCAAGAAATTTTCAATCTTTCTTAATATTTTCTTGAGCCAAGAAAATTTACACTCCAGTCAAGAATTTTTTTTTAGTGTAGATAAAAATTTATAAAAATATGCAGCAGGAAGTATGTTTCATTGATTTACACATTCAACAAAGTTTGAGTGTATATTATATAAAAAAAAAAAAAAAAAAAAAAAAACAACATTTTATATGAAAATTATCAATGCTATACAAGCATGAAATTATAGCATTCGATGCTTGTAAAGATTGACCATTTTGCCCCGCCGTCCATTTTATGGCTTAAAATAAATTTTATTATTTTTATATGAAAAATCATATAAATTCTAGCTAATTTTGTTCAAAAGTATCACTACTAATGAACAGAAAAATATCTCAAAGGTATTAGAAGTACATTTAATATCAAGAAGCCCTAAAAAATTTTTGTAGTGTATAAGTTAACGAAATTTTTAGGGTTCCACATGAAAAATAGAAACCTTATCCGATTATGATCATTTGTATCTACTCGTCCGCTGTCGCGGTTTATCTTCTATAAATCTACTATTGTAGCTAAATTCTACTTTATTAAGCGTATTTTATTATATTAATTGAAAATAAGTTTTTATACCTGATCGGGTGATAATGAACTGTCTGCTGATGCATTACGTTCTTGATTCGCTGCTGTCCTTTCAGTTTTACAACTGTTATGATATTCAAGTTTAGCCTTTTCGACTTTTTGCAATAACTTTGACCAGGGTTTTTGAGCCTTTTTAAAGGCATCTTCCATCTCTTTACGTTCTTTCAAAGTCATCATCGACTGAAAAATTTTAAAAAGTATGTTATTAATTTAATTAAATTAGTTTTTTTTTTTTATATATTGTCTCACAACCATTGATTATCCAAAAAAAAATCAAAAGAAGAAATGTTATAAAATTAACCCTCAAGAGCAACAATTTTTTTATTCAAACACAAGTTCTAACTATTTATATCTTGCAATTGAATGGATCAATTTAAAAAGGTTAGTTAAATTTATATCTCAAACACCGGAAAAGGATACAGAGAAAAAATAAAATTTTCTTGATTCAAAAAAAAATTTAATTTGGGCCAAAGATTATTTTAATTTTAATCTTTCTTATTAATTTTTTTAGTTCAAGTAAATTTTTTTTGTTAAAAGAGTTTATAGAAAAAAAAAAAAAAAAAATTCAATTAAAAACCTTAAAAATGAAACTTACCCAGTGTTCTTTTAAAAGGGTAATGAAAGCTTATTTTATAAGCTTATTCTACCAGTGAAAAATAAAATTCGTGGTTTTATTAAAAAGCAATGTGCAGGAAAAGGACTGGAAGTAACTTTTCAAAATTTGATAATTATTTACAAGTGGGGTCAATTATATTTTTGGCCTTAAAAAATAGATGAATTGATGGATTATCATAATTTTTTTTAATCATCTTTGAAAATTGGAAAAAAATTTTGGCTTTCATGTTTTTGATAAAATTTCTATTTTATCTTTTTTTGATGTTTTTAAAATATATTTTTTTTTTTGAAAAGTAGATAAAAAAAAACGAACAATTTAAAAAAAAAAAAAAACAAGTTGAATACCATAATTTTCTTAAAAATTTATAAATTTTTTAAATAATCAACTTTTTTTTTATGTATTTTTCAAAAAAAATATATCAATAAAATCAAATCGAAATTTCGTTCAAAAAAATGGAAAATTAAAATCGTTGACCCTTGGGGTCACTTGTAAATATTTACCCAAAATTTGTTAATTTTAAATCTTGACATATTTTCAGCAAACTTCTCGAGATACTAATTAAGCATTGTGTAAAATAAAGCTGATTGTACAAAATTTATTTGAATTTATTATTGTACAAAGAAAATAAAAAATGAAATGACATTAAAATTAGCAATCACTAAAGAATTTTTTAATTTTTTTCAACAAACAAATTTGTTCAAAAAAAATTATTTAAAAAAAATTGCATTTTTTATTTTTTAAAATTTCTACATGTCAATTTTTTTTTCTAATTTTTTTCGCTATAATTTATTTTAAAAAAATGACAACAAATACCTTGTGATATGTGTCTTTTTGCCATGTTTTAACTTGGTGAACAATATCATTTGACAAATTCTCTTTGACACGTAAATGAAGGTCACAAAGTCTATCAGATTCAACCAATGAGCTCTTCCACGCAGCTTCAGTAGTGCCATATTCTGGGCCTTTTTCTATTTTTTCACTCCACGATTTGGACCAGGCCTTCAAGGCTTTGGCATAATTTTTTTCAATCTCTGAACGTTCTTGAACCAGCGCTATCAAACTATCACATAACTTGTGTCCGTCTTCAATTCTCTTGGTCGTACGCTTGTAATTACCTGGCTCCCAAAAAGAATCTGATGTAGCTATGAGCATATTGTCATCGCTGTGGTGTGACATCTTAACCTAATGCAAGGAATCTCGTTTGCCTAGAAAAAGAAGATTACATTGATATTAATTATTTAAATTTTTCAAAGTGCAAACTTCAATAAATAGCTCATAGAAGAATACAAAATTTATTTTTTATTTATAATATCACTTTTTTTTTAAGATAAAACAATATAATTTAAAATACAAATTAATTAATAATAATAATAAAATTAAAAAAGCACTTTTAATGTAATTTAAAGAAGAAATTTGAAACTTACATTAAATGTAAAAAAAAAAAAAAAAAAAAACTAGTCTTCTTTTGAAGACACTCCATTTCTTCTAAAAATATTTTTAATCTTTATGAAGTTAGAAGCGTCATTAAAAGTACTCTTATTATACATTAATGTAATGATTTTTGTTATTTTAGTAGAGTTGTGATTTCTGATATAGAGAGTTTCATTAAAACAGTATTGATGTATTCTACTTTATACAAATGCAATAATACTATTAATGATTTAAAATGCGCGCGCTTCATTCTACATTATTTGTGTTATCGAAAGTACAAATAGTTGCCAGATCACTTTATTAATATTAATTGACCATAAAGTAACACATTGAAATAAAAAAAATAATTATTATTATGATTATTTTCAGTTTGATTTTTAAAGTAAAAAATTTTAAGTACAAATCAATTGCTTGTGTTGCAAAATGCGAAATTTAAAAAAATTGTATAAAAAATTTATTATAAATAACTTCCAGATTTTTAAGTTGTAAGGGAAGAATATTTTTCAAAAAATTTTTTTTTGATACAATAAAAAATATTTAAACTGATAGAAAAAATTTTACATATTTTAAATGGAAGGTGAGCATGAAAATTGCAAACTCTGTTATTATGAAGTTCAAGTTCTAAACAGTAAAAAATTTTATATGATGGATAATTTTATACTTTCTAATAATTAATAAATCAGTATTTATCAACTTCCTTTTTTTTTTTTGAGACTTTTATTTTAATTAATCATTTGATTTTCCCTTTTCTTAGATTTACAAATATCTTTTTTTCAGAAAAAAAAAAAATTATTTTGTGATAAAATTATAAATAAAAAATTTTTTTTTTTTAAACAAATTATTTATCAAAAAATTTCACATCTAAAAAGTTCAAAAAATTATGAGTGTAATTTTTAGACAACTAATAATGCGAAGCATAGAAAAATAGTTTAATGTAAAAAAAATTTTCTTCTTTTTGTTTCTTTAATTGTTAAATATTTTCTAAATACAAATTCATTTGTTTAAAAAACTGAAGAATAATCAGATATATACTGACTTTAGTATCATCGATATTAATCAAAAAATTATAGAAGACCTAGTATATTTCCTATAATTAATTCACAATAATATATAATTTATTATGCAATTCTTTTAAGACGATTCCGACAAAATTTCGATAAAATATATTAAGTTTCATCTTTTTCAATAAAAAGAATTTCATATGAAATTCATATCTAAACCCGTATAAAAATGTATATATTTTTAATGCATACTTGTTTAGCAACCAAACAAAAAAGTAAACTCATTGACGGACGTTTTTTATGGTCATTCTAATTACTATTTCACACTGACTTTCATGTACATCGTTTTATAAGGAATAAGTTTTCATTTTTCACTGGTTTAAGACTTTCCTCGCTTCATCTACGAAGAATATATCTTGATTAATATATTACATGTGTATGTAAGAGAAATCATCTATTAACTTTTTAATCTAATTGAAATTTTGATACAAAGAAAAAAAATTATTTAAATTTTAAATTAATATTAAATTCAATTAAAAAATTTTTATCTAAGTTTCATTGAATTTGATAAAATTGATGTACTTATATTTTATAAAAACATTATTAAATTCTACAAAAAAAAATTATGATACTAAAATTAGCCGACGTTGCACATTTTTTATTTTTTTAATTAATTAAATTACAAGAAAAAAAAATATTGCGTATAATTTTTCTAATCTTCTACATATGAAATTTTTTAGTAATAATTTTTTCAATAAAAAAAAAATTATAAAAATTTTACAGATGTCGGCTAATTTAATTTTCATGATGAACTAAATAATTTGCATATTTTCCCAGAGGTACAGTTATTTTTACAATAAAATATGTCTTCAATAATAATCTAGACTATTCAAGAAAAAAAAAAAAAAATGAAAAATAAAATAAAACAATAAAAAAATATAAACTTAAAAAAATATAATTAGTTCATAACGTTGGCTGTGTTAAATATTTTAATTTCTAAGGTAATTTCACGCTCACCTTACTTATTTTTTATATTATCATGTGTCTGCTAACTTCAAGGTTATAATTAGCTTCATTACCTTAAGTTGATTACTTTAATTATTGAAGCTATTAATTAACTCAATGTAATTCAAAACCATAATAAATGTTAGATCATAATAAATAATACTTTATAAATCTTATGAGAACAATAAAAAAGTAAATTTAAGTTAAGTAAATGGTATCTGCAATGATTTGTAACTTATCTCAAAATTTTGAAAAGTAAATAAACCATATGTATACATACAGCAAGTAAATGAGTTTAGATATGGTTATATTGTACTGATTATTATAAATTAGTAAGCTTTAAAACTATTTGAGTGTACAAATGACCTCATACTGAATGTAATAAATTATGAAAATAGTTCTGACATCAACAGAACAAGAATGCCATTTCCCAGGAAGTTTATTATTTAAATCAAGGACTTTTTCATTAATAACTCCTGAGTACTTCTAAAAAAAAAAAGTAAACACAAAAAATAAAATAAATTATATTGAAGGCACGTGCACCACCGAAATCTAAGAGTATTATTATTATTATTATTATTATTATTATTATTATTATTATTATTATTTTTATTATTATTGTTGTTGGTGTTACTATTATTTTTATTTAATATTACTTGTATAGTTCCACAGGTTGAAATATTTCAGCTCAGGATTTAGACTGTTCCGTATTTCCAATAATTCACAAACTGATTAAATGACAGACTTGCTTTGTAATTAATGTCACTCACGTATTGTTTCAATCAACGATAAATATACCATTATAAGTAATTTTTTTGCTATAATAAACCGACTACTGACTTGTCTACCTGCTAAGATAGTGAATGGGCGTGGCTTACTAATCGAATTTAAACGAAAAACTTCGAATATTTCCGAAGATCTTCTTCATTACATTATTTTATTTTATTACATAATAAGAAGATACGTTGTTAATTTTTATGATTTTTATTTTATGTTTGTTTAATAAAATTTATACCGAAATATTTTTATTTAATCTACAATCATTTTCGGTTTTAAACTCTCGGACCATTTATGTACTATAGTTTTAATTTTGCAATTGGTAATTTAACCTTTGTTGTTATTACCGTCGGTATTTTACTGGATAATTAACCTAAAAACTTGTTGTGCACTAAACTGTATGGTACTGAAGTTAGCTGACAGCTGTCAATTTTTTTTATTTTTTAAATTAATCAATTCTATAATTAAAAAAATTTTCATTAGTAATTTTTTTTAATATTCACATGTAGAATTTTTTTATTAAATTTTTTTTTCATAATTATTTAATTGCTATAAAATTATAAAAAAAATTTCTAATGTCAGTTAATTTCAGTGTCTTAAAACTGTCACTTGTCATCACTTGTAAATTTGTAAATTGAGCATGAAAATTAAGTTAGCCGACATCTAAAAATTTTTAGAATTTTTTTTTTATTAAAAAACTATTACAAAATAATTAAAAAAAAATTTTCATTTGTAAAAAACTCGAAAAACTGAAAGTGCAATTTTTAAAAAATATTTTTTAGTTCTAATTCAATAATTAAAAAAAAAATTAAAAACGTCGGCTAACTTTATTATTATAAATTGAGCGGTAATTAAAAAAATTTTTAATTTACATTATTTGATTATTATTCAATTAATTTTATTATTTTTGTAATTATTTATAATTATTTTTATCCAAAAAATTTAAACACTTGAAAAATTTTTAAAATAAATTGAGCGGTAATTAAAAAAATTTTTAATTTACATTATTTGATTATTATTCAATTAATTTTATTATTTTTGTAATTATTTATAATTATTTTTATCCAAAAAATTTAAACACTTGAAAAATTTTTAAAATCAGCTGTTAATAAAATTTTCTCAACACTCACTTTAAATTGATGAAAATAAATTTAGCAGATACTTAATAATTTTTAGAATTTTATTAACAAATAAAATATGATAAAAAAAAATTGACATGTAGAAATTTTAAGGAATTATAAATGCAATTTTTTAATAATAATTTTTCAGAAAAAATTTATTTGTTAAATAAAATTAAAAAATTATCAAGCGACTGTTAATTGATCCCACGTGATAATAGTACATTTATTTTTCTCCTAGATGGCCGTGTAATAAATTTAGTGATCTTACGTTGTAACATTTTTTTAAATATAATTTTTTCTCTTATGTCAATAATATTTTTTATTATAATAATCAAAAAAAATTTTTAAGTGTCAAAATTTTTTTGTCAAACTAATTATAAAATTAAAAAAAAAATTTTTTTACACTCCCTCTATAGAATTTTTTGAAAATCAAAAAATTTTTGATGAAAAACTGCCTTAGTCCGTATAGATATTTTAAAATGGCGTCGACAACTCAGAATTACTAAGCACTGTTGTCACATTTTATTGTACAGTGTTTCCAATTTTCCGTTTGTTTACATATTAAATTCAATTTGTCAATTTAAATAAAAGTATTTTTATAAAAGTTATTAATTAATTAATAATTATTTTGAAAATAATAATGTAGCGAGAAAAATTAAAATATAAAACATATATTATTTAGTGTTAACAGCAATGACCTTGACTACTGTCATTTTTGTGTTTTAAAATTTTTTATAAAATTTTTATTTATAATTACTGAAATTATATTCTTCGACAATAATTATTAAGAAATATTTTTCAAGTTATTTATTTCTTAATTTTATATTTTTAAAATATATATTTTCCTTAAAAAAAAAAATAATCATAATAATAATAATAATAATAATGATGGAAGTAACAACTGATCAAGAAGCGCAGGCAGTTCTTCTTAACGGAATGGAAGGCACACAATATATTACAATTCAGCGTGGTGATAATGAATCAATAAATAAAGTACCATTAATAACACTTAATGGTGAATTAATATCAGAAGGAATGGTTGTTGATATGATAAATGCTGGAGTAGGTACTGAATTTAATTCCGCTGCTCAATATTATGAAGATGATCTTCTTCCACACGAATTAACTGAGGTAATATTTTAATCTCATATTTTATTTATGATGAAAAATTTTTTATGGATTAAAAAAAATTTTTTTTTGTTCTTATAAAGGAGGACCGCAAATTAGCAGCCGCTTTGGTGGCAGTTCAACTTCAGCAGCAGCAAAAGCATCAGCAAATGCATAATCAAACACAGCATGATGATCCGGCTTTACCAGATGTCAGTCAATTAGCAACATTATCACCTGTTAATGCTTATACCATACAGACAATTGTTGAGCCTGAACCGTCATCAATTTATTCAGCAATTCAGTCGTTTAAGCGTATCAATCATCACGTTAAACAGGAGTTTATAAATGTTAAAAGTGAATATGATATTGATATATCAGCTGAGAGTAGCGAGGATGCTACAACGCCTATATCTGGACCCAAACGATCGTTGCCTCATAAAAAGCGGATTGCGAGAAAATTAAAACAACAGAACAAAACAAATTTAAAAAGAAATTCTGGAAAAAATAATCAGGATGTTATTGTTTATAATAATGCTAATGAAGGTCTAAGCCAGTCGTTTAAATGTGAATTATGCAATAGTAAATTTAATACACAATTGAAGTTTTTTGAACATCTTAAGGTAAGAAAAAAATTTATTTTTCGTAGATTTCATAAAAATTATTGCAGCTGTCCTCGTGACGCAAATTTTTTAAAATTTAGCCATTTTCTGACTCAGTTCGACAAACTGAGTCAGAAAATATAGTTCGTTTAAAAATTTATAGTATGTATTTATATACAATCGTGGTCATTAATTTAAGTATGTTTTTAATACTACTGGAAAATAATAGTTTGTAAACTAGAACGTTTATTAACTCTAAATTTAAAAATTAGTTGATAATGTCATTTGTAAAATTAGTCGCAAATAAAAAATGATATTAATGAAATTAGCGAAATGGAAATTTTACCAAATATAAATTCAGTCATTTATAAAATAGTCAAAAACAAAAATCTGTGGCTACGTGAATTTAGCCAATTCTTACTGCAGAAACTTATAAAATTAGCCGATTGTAAATTTTATGAATTGTAAAATTAGCCGTTTCTAAATCTCGCGTAACTCTTGAACGAATCAACGGATCAAAAAAAGATTTGAGGCATTTAAAAGAACTTTCATAAATTTAGTTTTTCTGGAAATTAGAGCAGATTAGACCGACCCATTCAAAAGTTATATGAAGTTTAAAAATTTAATGTGGTAGGAAATTAAAAAAAAAATTTTTTTTTTGATAAATTTTTTAAACTTTGATCTCGGATATCTTTGAAATGGTTAATGTAAAATCGCTTACACATATCAGATTTTTTTTTGTAGATCATTCAATTTTCTACAAAAATATGTATAAAAATTTGATTAAAAAATTGATCAATAGTGAGATATGATCTTTTTTATAAGAGACTAACAAAAAATGTAAAACTGTGATGAGCATAAACTTCCTATCAATATTAAGAGCTCAAATTTGATGAGCATTTTGTAGAGGTGCCTGAGAACCAACTTTTCAATATTAGAAGTTAAAAAAAAAATAATCGATTTTTTTGACCCACCCTAATATACCCGTTAAAAAAATTTTCTTAGTCTCTTAATTATATAAATTAATTTTTGACATGTAACCTCATGGACATGTACAAAACAAAATAAATAAATAAACAAATTTTTTTTATCGCGAAATTTGAATCTATTTGTAACTATACTTTGAAAACTTATCATAATAAATAAACTACTTTAGAAAAGCATATGGAACATTGAAAAGGCACTAATTCAGGGCTCGACCTTTCCAATGATACTTAATTTAATTAAAAAAACTCATTTTATTATATAAAATACGCCGGAGGCAAAATTTGCCTCGTTCTTTTAATTATATAGATTATTTTATTAATAATTTTGCGGTCCTAAAGTTGAACCAATTTTTTTTTACAGAATCATTATGAACCAGTAAAGCAAGAATCAAGGATAGTACAAACAACCAATACTAACAGTATACCAATTTCTGCACCAGAAACTGTTCAAAATTTAGCCAATACTGGTATCGAAGAATTTAGCGAGCCCGAAGACTTAATGGAGGGGATTAGAGGAGTTGGTAAGAAAATTAAAATTTGAAATAATAAAATTACACATTGATGAATAATTACATTACACTGAAAATGACTTGCTTTCAATAGTCAATTCTTTTCAACACTTTTTAGTGGAAGAAACCGGAGCACGCATTGATGAAGATTCAGAAATAAATCCACTTGCAGAAGTTAATCACAGCTCAGCTCTTTGGTCCATATCTACGAATAATACTGACCCAATAGGTCATAATTTAAATGAATCATCGATAGTTGATGATCAAGACTCATCCGATAAATTTGATACTGAAACTAGTAGCCCTAAAAAAAAAGAAGACTAGCAAAACGCGCAAAACACAAAGTAAGTACAAGGTTTATAATTTATTTTTTTTTTGTTTTTAATGATCAGTTTTTTTAAAGTTTCGATATTTACAGATAGTGAAATGACATGCCCACAATGCGGTAGAACGTTTCATCATAAAAACAGTCTTGTTTATCATATGAGATCTCATAGCGGTGAACGTCCTCATCAGTGTGAAATTTGTGGCAAAAGCTTTTTTGCTGCTAGTGCTTTAAAAGTTAGTAAAATTTTAATTTATAGCACGTTATTAAATATAAAAAAAAAAAAAAAGAGTATAAAAATTTTTTTTTGCTCCAATCATTTTAGGAATGTTTAAATTTACTGAAAAAATTAAAAATAAATATTTTTTTAAATACGCCAATTTTACTTAAAAAAAAAAAAATTTTTTAAGTAAGAAGGGTGTACATGAAAAATTTTTTTTTCTAACTTTCTAAGCCAGAAATTAAACTTTTGCAATTTTAAAACTTGAAAATTTTCTGAAGTAAATTTGATAAAAACTCAAATTTTTAAAATGTAACTAAATTCAATAATTTTTTCAATTTTTATATTCAGAAATTCAAAACTTTCATTTCTAATGTTAAAAGTTAAAGAATAAAAAAAAATTTTTTCTACTCTTAATTACGGAGGCAAAATTTGCCTCGTTCTTTTAATTATATAGATTATTTTATTAATAATTTTGCGGTCCTAAAGTTGAACCAATTTTTTTTTACAGAATCATTATGAACCAGTAAAGCAAGAATCAAGGATAGTACAAACAACCAATACTAACAGTATACCAATTTCTGCACCAGAAACTGTTCAAAATTTAGCCAATACTGGTATCGAAGAATTTAGCGAGCCCGAAGACTTAATGGAGGGGATTAGAGGAGTTGGTAAGAAAATTAAAATTTGAAATAATAAAATTACACATTGATGAATAATTACATTACACTGAAAATGACTTGCTTTCAATAGTCAATTCTTTTCAACACTTTTTAGTGGAAGAAACCGGAGCACGCATTGATGAAGATTCAGAAATAAATCCACTTGCAGAAGTTAATCACAGCTCAGCTCTTTGGTCCATATCTACGAATAATACTGACCCAATAGGTCATAATTTAAATGAATCATCGATAGTTGATGATCAAGACTCATCCGATAAATTTGATACTGAAACTAGTAGCCCTAAAAAAAAGAAGACTAGCAAAACGCGCAAAACACAAAGTAAGTACAAGGTTTATAATTTATTTTTTTTTTGTTTTTAATGATCAGTTTTTTTAAAGTTTCGATATTTACAGATAGTGAAATGACATGCCCACAATGCGGTAGAACGTTTCATCATAAAAACAGTCTTGTTTATCATATGAGATCTCATAGCGGTGAACGTCCTCATCAGTGTGAAATTTGTGGCAAAAGCTTTTTTGCTGCTAGTGCTTTAAAAGTTAGTAAAATTTTAATTTATAGCACGTTATTAAATATAAAAAAAAAAAAAAAGAGTATAAAAATTTTTTTTTGCTCCAATCATTTTAGGAATGTTTAAATTTACTGAAAAAATTAAAAATAAATATTTTTTTAAATACGCCAATTTTACTTAAAAAAAAAAAAATTTTTTAAGTAAGAAGGGTGTACATGAAAAATTTTTTTTTCTAACTTTCTAAGCCAGAAATTAAACTTTTGCAATTTTAAAACTTGAAAATTTTCTGAAGTAAATTTGATAAAAACTCAAATTTTTAAAATGTAACTAAATTCAATAATTTTTTCAATTTTTATATTCAGAAATTCAAAACTTTCATTTCTAATGTTAAAAGTTAAAGAATAAAAAAAAATTTTTTCTACTCTTAATTAAAAAAATTTTTTTTTCTTAAAGCAAAAACGGCGTATCTCAAACAAAATTTTAATTTTAATTTTTTTAGTTAAATTTTATTGGAGTAAAAAAAACTTTTTTGCTTTAAGAACGCAAAATATTTCATTCTTATTTAATGAAATGACCAGTGAATAGGATAAAAGACCCCATTACTGACACTTTCTTTGATTTATGGTACTTATTCAATTAATGAAATCATTAATTTCCATAATAAATATATTATTTCTAATCTTTGAAACCTTGAGATCAAAAAAATTTTTAATTTTTATTCCAAGGAGAAAATTTTTTCATTGAAAGAAAAAGTGCCACTAATAGGGCCTTTTACCTTATTTTTTATTATTATTAATAATATTAAAAATTGTTCAATTAGGTTCACAAACGCTTACATAGCGGAGACAAGCCATATAAATGTGAAGACTGTGGTCGTCATTTTCGGCAATGGGGAGATTTAAAGTACCATTCAATGAGCATTCATTCGGAACAACGGCAGTTCCAATGCGAATATTGTGGGAAAGATTTTGCTCGTAAATACTCATTAATAGTTCATCGTCGAATTCATACAGGGGAAAAAAATTATCGCTGTGAATATTGTAATAAAACATTCCGGGCAAGTAGTTATCTTCAAAATCATCGTCGTATTCATACAGGAGAAAAACCCCACCCTTGTACTGTCTGTGGAAAACCTTTCCGCGTGCGAAGCGACATGAAACGACATATGCACACTCACACAAGAGGCCGAACAGAACGGCCAGCTAATCGTACCATTACAGGTAAAATAGTTAATGAAAAAGATAAAAATGGGGTTCAATCAAGATCATTAATTCAAGATCTTGTTCAAGAATTAAAACTTGAGTCACCGAATAGTATCGTTGAAATCGTCCCGCCAGATGATAATCCTGAAAGTATTTTGCCTCATGAAGGTGGTTCTCAGAGTTTAGACTACAATGTTACTGATTCCACTGATGCTAACTCTGATCGTGATCCACTTGAAGCTGTTGACAGAACATCCGATTCTTTGTAAGTATTTTTTATTTAATAATTAGACAATTAATATTTATTAATTTATATTTTCTTTTTTTCAGACAATATTTTTTTATGTAAACGAACGTGCAGCAAGTAATTCAAGTTATAAATGACTGTAAAAAAAAAAATTAAATTTAAATTTACGTAATATAATGTAAAATTATTTCATTAAAGTTAAAATTTAAACATTTTGTACATACTTGTAAGGAAAATATGACTGAAGAATGTTTAATGTTTAAACTCTTTTCATAGAATAGCTTAATAAATATTATTATTATTATTATTATTTTATAATAATCTGTTTGAATAAAAGAATAAATTAAGGTAAGAATTTTTAAAAAATGTACTTTAAATATAAATAATTTTTTTTTTGCATTAATTACAACGTAAATAGTAAAACGAAAAATGAATAACATTTTTATATTAAAAGAATTTCAAAAGAAGAATATTTTTTTTTTTAATAAATTTACTTCTTGTGTGATTTAATATAAGATTTAAATTTTTTCTTTAAATCACATTAGTGCTTTTTTAATTTTGATTTTCTTATTATTATTATTATTTTATAATCTGTTTTAATAAAAAAATTAAAGGTAAGAATTTAAAAAAAAAAGTACTTTAAATAAAAATAATTTATTTTTGCATTAATTACAACGCAAGTAATATAACGAAAAATAAACAACATTTTTACATTAAACTTCTAATGCGATCTCGCAATTTCTGAAAAAAATTCTAATATATTTTGAATAGTAAATTCAAGAGCTATTTGACTGTCAGGATAACATCGTTGAATCAACTCTTCGATGTAAATATACTGAGCAATAAATTCACCCTGCATTTCACGCCAAACGACCTGTAAATGATTTCAATTAGATAAATAATTATATAATAAATACTTTATTTATAAATATTTGTATGAATTACTTGTAATAAGTTTTCTTCTTCACATAAATGTTTTTCAACTTTTCGATACAAATTTTCTAATCCTTTTTTAACTTCTCGAGCTGGATATTCTTTAACAACTCGACGTAATTCCTGTTTACTAAATGCCATTTGGTAACTTATTTCAGATTCTTTAACTCCAGCACCAACTTTTGCTTGAACGCCTTCAAAGAACAGCTTTAAAAAAATAATATAAAATATTTATTTCTTTGAAAACAAAAAAATTTAAAATTATTAATAAAAATCAAAAAATAATTTTACTTATTATATACATACATTAAGTTTTTCTAAAGGACGACCAAAATATCGAGTAACATATGCTTTTAATGCATCTTGGTATCTTTGCTTAGCACTTTTTCGCTCCTGATCCAAAACCGATATTTTTAATTGTGATAACAGATCATATAAATGATGGAAATTTTCTGTAAAATAAATAATTAATTATTATTCTACATTACTCATTGAGTATTTGGAAAAAACAGACTATTTTTCTCTTCTATAAAAACTTCTTGTCACACTTAAATAACACAAAAAATCAGATAAAAAAATTAGCCTGTTTTTCATAGTATTTGGGTGATTCTCTGTAAGGATGTTTTTTGCTGTCCCAGGCATTTTTTTATAAGAAAAATTGTTGTTTTGTTACAAAAAAAAATTTATTACGAAAGTAAAAAAACATTTCTATTTCGAGCATTAAAAACTAAAATAAAATGAATTTTGATTTTTTTTTCTATAAACTTAATTAGTTAACTAACAATTTTCTTCAATAAAAAGTACCGAAAATTAATTTGTTCCATTAAATTCATTAAACCAAAGTTTGTCCCAGGCATTTTAAGAACAGTTCCCTGCCAGAAGTTCAAAGTCAAAAAAAAAATCCAGCGTGTTATTTTACCTTTTGTAAGGTTTATAAGGATCTAACTAGCCTTAAGTTAATAACCATAGGGCTGTTAGCGCTTTATCGCCATTTTATTTAGTGTTAAAACACCGTTTGTGCTGGAAAAATGTGTCTGGGCCCTTTCAAAACTCAGTCCCCTGGCAACTATTTTTATTAATAATTTATTTGTAAAATTGAATCCATAAGTCTTAATATTATTCTAATTAATGTAAATATTCATTGATAACTTGAAGAGCTTTGAATGCATTAAAATAGTTTGATTGATTTTTCTCAATTTGATAAAAAAAAAAAAAAAACAGTCCCCTGGCAAATAGTCCTCTGTCATGTTATATGGCAAGATACACAAATATCGAAAAAACAAAAATTAATTTGGCTGTTTATTTATTATCATTAAGCTGATATAGTTTTGTAGCTCTTGTTAATTTTTTTTCTAATAAAATAAAAAATAATTTGGTCGGACAATTTTGTACAGATTTAAGACGTCCTTACAGAAAATCACCCATTTATAAAATAAATAAAAATACCCATTTTAATAACTTCTTGCGGTGTTTTATGGTGCTCAGTACTGTGAATATTAATAGCTTCAAACATAGTCGCAACTAATTTAGTATAAGATTTTTCCAAGTCAACTTTTCGATCTGAATTTTTGAATATCTTATCTGTAATTCTAGCAAAGGACCCAAAATTAGCAACATAAGGCAATATCCCACACTTATTCCTCCGATTAACTTTAGTGTCTTTTAAAATAGACTGCTGCTGTAGCTGCATAAATTTATCAAAAGATCTTTTAACTTGCACCAAAGCCGATGCAAAAGTCATCGACAAAAATGATCCGGTGTCCTGTGCCGACATAACATGCTGAGACAATCTCACCAGTAGGTACATGCACCAGAAGCTATCAATTTTATCCAAAAATGAAATAAAATTATTCAGCTCTATTTCTAACGACGGAAAAATAGCACCCATTGTCGCGCGAACTTCTTCATTAACTTGTCGCTCCAATTTTTTGCTAACTGTTGAGGTAACCGATCCAGGACTTACTGCTTCATTGCTCGTATTATCACCCAGACCAATGGTCTCTTCATTTTCGGGCTTGGATGGTGAAAGTACAGAATCTAATTGAAAAAAAGTAACACAAAATGCTTGCTCGGCCAAACTAATTGGTTGCAATTGAGACAATACACGATTTAATATCGAGTCTAAAATTACTCCGTCATTTTGTGATGTCCATACTTCATTACTTAGCAAGCAAATAGGCGCGGGTGTAAATAAATCATCATCTTTTTTTTGTCCACTTTGTTTAGATGAACTTAAGCTAGGCCGTGAATTAATTAAGCATGTTTTAGCTTCTTCAAAAAATATCTTTAAATCTCTTTGATACAATTTGCTCATTGTGTTGGTGTAAACTTTTATCAATTGAGAAAATGTTTTATTGTCTAATGCACGGAGCAATTGCATCAATTCTGTGTAAGGCTCTAATTCACGATGCAATGATGAGTGAGTTGGTAGAACTAAATCTGAAGTAGAGGAAATTTCACCGATGTCATTGCCTAAATGAATAAATAAATTATTGAGGTGTCGAGCAACTAAAAGAGAAAATTTAACTTTCAATTTATCTAATCGTCGCTTTTGTTCAGTCACTGCGCTTAATTTATCAAGACCAACGGGCAGTGATACTGAGATTGCCTTCAATACTGCTTGTCCTGCTAAAACTAACTCAGCTCTGCCACCTGGCAGCTCTGATTCGTTTATTATTTTTTGATGCTCATTCGATATATCTAATTGAGTTATTATTGTGTCCAAATGCTCTAATAGTAATCTAGCGTTACGATTTGCGGTGTGAATAGCTTGGTTCTTTTGGCCTACTCGAGCCATTACTTCACGAATTCGTCCCAGAGCTTCATCATAAGCTGTAAGTCGGGCTTCGACTACAGAAGCTTCAACTATTGCAGCTTCAATGCCGTTCATTAGTTGAATTACTTGAGGCTCTGATGCTAAGACTGATTGGACATTTTCACCGTCTAATATTGACAGATCTTTTGAAAGAGTTTGCATAAATAACTCGGCATTTGATATTGCATAATTGCAGTCTAATATCAATGTTTCGAGATCTGTTGCTTCTTTGTTAGTTATTGGCTGGTAGTCTGATGAGATTACTGGTGTTAATAAATCTAAAACAATATAAATAATTTATTATACTGAAATTAAAAGACGTTTAATTTAAAATTTTTTATGACATTAAAGTTAAAAGTCACTTGATTTTTTAAACAAAATTATTTTTATAATTTTTTTTTTTGCCATAATTTATTTGTTACAAAAATTTTTAATATTTCGTTTTTTTATAATTAATTTTTAATAAAAATCAATAAAATTGTCAGATGTCTTATAAATTCTGTATCATCTATATTATTAAGAGAATAAGCGAAATGTTGTGACCAGGATAGTCATATAATGAAATCGGTTTTTTAAGTAAAATTTAATGTCATTGCAAAAGCTTTGACTTGAATTTGTACCTTTTCAAGGTTTCATAAGTATTTAGGCTGCATTCGAAAATGCTCTATCTCTAGATGCATAATTAAGAAATGACTTTGTATCTTGAGAACTATTGACATTTTTAAAGATATAAGCTCATCCCGATGTTACACTCATCGAGACCTTTTATTTGAGTACCCACATCAATTTTTCATATATTTATGTTATATATATATATGTATATATGAAAAATATATCAAAATGCATGTGGGTACTCAAATGAAAGCTCTTGATGAGTGTAACATCAGGATGAGCTTATATCTTTAAAAATGTCATTAGTTAAAAAATTACAGTGCAATTTAACAAAAATCATTATTTAATAAAGCAAAATTTTATTTATTTATAGTCCAGAAGTCATGGCAGTCACATAGTCGCTAGTAAATAATTATTATTTTTAATAAAAATTAAATTAGCCGAAATTGGAAAATTTTCATAATTTTTTTATTGAAAAAAATTTTTAAAAAAATTTTACATGAAGAAAATTTGAAAAATTTTAAGTGCAATTTTTAAAAAATATTTTTTTACTTATAATTTTTATTGATTTAAAAAAATCAAAAATTGTCAAATGTTTGCTAATTTTAGCATTATTTATTTTTAATTACTTAAAATTTATAATAATAAAAAATAGGATTTAACCTGGAGTTAATGTGATGCTGTCACTTTCAGTAAGATTTGTCGGATCAATCAACCATTCTTTAGATATATTTTTAAATTCTGGCCTTTGAGACAAGCTACATGAAAAAGTGTATAAATTACTAATAAAAGTCCGGCATTCTTGTGATGTAGCAACAGTCCACCGATAAATTTTATCAATATGTAACTCAATATCCATGGAATCTGTTTTTATTCCATCAACAACTTGGACGTCAGTGAGTAACCAGGACTGTTTTTTTTTAAATACATTTTTATCATTTTTTTTTATTTGATAAATCATTAATGTTTCTGGTACATCTATTGTTGTTACTAAGCATAAAAAACTTGTTTTCTTTTTTTTATATGATTTACTAACAAAACAAACACTCAACAATTTTTCATCACTTGGAGTAAAAATTTCACGTTGTAACGTATGACGTATTGCAGCCATTTTTTAATATTAATTTTTTAATAAATAGATACTTTAGATAAATGAAAATACTTTAAAAAATTTTAACTTATTTACATATAAACATTTAAATAATAACTAATAATAAAAACTAGGGTGTTTATTATTTTATTATTTCGTCTCACATCACTTGACATTGCAGCCGTGACACCAACCAAAACACCGATCACCGACGCACCGAAACTGACAAATGGTGTTGCAAGAGTTGTAAGGTATAATCTAGGTATCCACAGATTCGGTAGAATCTGGCGCCAAGTTCCGTTCAAATCCGTTGTCAACGGAGCGCCAGACTACCGACTGTGTTTACTGTAAGCAGAACGGTATTTTGAGGTTGCAAAATTTTATTTAATTCTACGGTACTTTTTTTTCTTAAATTGTATATTATAACAGTAATTCATACTTTATTTTACTGTTATTAATTAATTATATTCACTTATAACAATTAATCTACTTGAAATTACTAAATTTAATCAGCACAAACTATAGCAACGCAAAAATTTCGATCCTGACTTTTTTTCGATGGGCAAAGTGATCTGCCACAGACTAAATAATTCGAGAATACATAGTAATCCTTCATTAGATGGGAAACTACAGTTAAAAAAAGATATTTCACAGCTTGCATCTACACCCGCCAGGGTGCGCTGGAATTATTTTTACATAAACTATAGCTTCAAGGGAATAGTTTGCTATAAAAAAATGCAGCCAACGCGAGATTTAAGTTGGTACCAATTGTAAATTTTTATTATAATTACAAAAAATACTAAAATCCGAACAAAAACAGTTTCACTGTAAAAAAATCGCGCCAAGTCCACGTTCATAAGACTATTAAGAAAAAAAAATTAGTTTTTTCTTTACAAAAAGATATAAAATAAAAAAATTGAAAAATCCAAGTAACCGATATGATTGTTTATGATTTTCGGAAATTAAAAAAAATTTTGTTGTAAATTTAAAAATTAAAAAAACAATTTTGGAACGTACTTGGTGTGCGTCATATTGTGCATTTCAATTTTTTTAAAGTCCTAGTAAATAGATTTTACGAATTTAATTAAAAGTAAAATATTTCGCAACAACGCACACTAAATACGTTCCAAAATTGTTTTTTTAATTTTTAAATTTACTACAAAATTTTTTTTAATTTCCGAAAATCATAAACAATCATATCGGTTACTTGGATTTTTCAATTTTTTTATTTTATATCTTTTTGTAAAGAAAAAACTAATTTTTTTTTCTTAATAGTCTTATGAACGTGGACTTGGCGCGATTTTTTTTACAGTGAAACTGTTTTTGTTCGGATTCTGTATGTCTGCTGATGATACAACAGAGAAAAATTCATATTAAAAAAAAATTAAGCTGAGCAAGTAATTATATAACAAACTAATTAAAATAATCAATTGAAGCTCACTCTGAACTTTAAACTGTTTCATTGGGAGATTTGCGTAGCTCATCTTCTCAGCTGAAAATCAATATATAATGCAAATTTATAACTGAGATGAAAATAATGATATTAAAGTTAGCACTCATCACTTGACAATTTTTTAATTTTATTTAACAAAAAGATTTTTTCCAAAAAATTATTTTTAAAAAATTACATTTTTTATTTTTTTAAATTTCTAAATGTCAATTTTTTTTCTTATTTTTTTTTTGCCATAATTTATTTCTTATAAAATTTTTAAAATTATCTAATATGTGCTACATTAATTTTCATATGAAAATAATTACACTGGAGAATTTGAGTAGCACAAATTTCCAGTAAATAAATTGTTGTTATAATAATTTCTACATCTCTCAACCCTTATCTTAGTTAATTAATTACTCCTGGAAATTTGCGCAGCGCAAATGCCCCAGTAAAATTATTTTAAACTCAAAACAAACTATGTTAAAATTCAGAGTCAGATTGCTCGAGATGTCCTTAAAAATATTCCTAAAAATCTGAAAAATTTTCAAGTATACGGTGACTTTCTTGCGACTCTGAAGGGAAAAAACAATTGGTGTAAATTATATGAAAATTAAGTTAGCCGACATTTCAAAATTTTTATAATTTTTTTTTTTTATTGAAAAAATTATTACAAAAAAATAAAAAAAAATTGCACGTCTAAAAAACTTCAAAAACTGTAAGTGCAATTTTAAAAAAAATTTTTTTGTTCTAATTTGAGTATTAAAAAAAAATCAAAAAATTTAGAACGTCGGCTAACTTTAATGACATGTAAATTAGGGTGGCGCAAAAAAACCGACTATTTTTTTTTTTTTAGTCTCGAGTGAAAAAATGTTAGTTTTAGATGTTTCAAGGGTTCTCTCCAAATAACAGCTCAAAAAAAAATTTTTAAGAGGTCGCGCCAAATTTTTTTTTAATTTCAAAAATCGTCAAAAATCGAATTTTTTTTTCTTAATTCCTTTTCTCGTTACGTCATAATTTTACAGACCAAAAAAAAATAAGTTCCTGAAAATTAAATTAGCCGACATCTGAAAATTTTTAGAATTTTTTTTTTATACTATAGTATTTTTATGATGCTAAAGTTAGCCGACAATTGTACATTTTTTTTTAATTTTACAATAAATCAGTTACAATAAAAAAAAAAAAGTGCTTCTAAAAATTTCCATTAACAATTAGTTTTAATTTTCACAAGTGGAAATACATAGCGACTAATATACAAAATTTATATCGTATTAATGAGATTAGGCTTGACATTACAAAATGTCTTTTTATTAAAGTTACAATAAAACATTGATATATTTTCTGAAGAGTAAAATGCTAAGTTTATTCATTTAAATGGTTTTTTTTTTATAATTGTTTTCATTACAAATATATTATTTTCTTCATTATGATCTATAAAATTTCAATAAATTAATTATTTATTAAATATATAAATGAGTGTCGAGTTAAATATTACGATTTGGTAATTCGTGTTTTAACTTAGTTACTAATCATTTTTATACACATTCAACAATTTTAAATAAATATAAATATAACATAAAAAAAAAAACGAAAAACAAATAATAATAATAAAAAATTTTTGGTAACAGTAAATTGCTTATTATTGTACTAAATAAATTCAATAAATTTTTACGTATGCAGTCAAACTAAAAAAAAAATTGATATAAAAGGTTGTTCCTTTTTCTTTAATTTCATATCAAAGGAGCCCAATTGCTGCCGACGACGAATAAAATAATTAGATAATACACTGAAAGAAAAAATGTATTTAAAAAAAAAATGGGCATTATCGTAATACGAAATTAATTTCTTAAAAATTTTAAACAATTTAATTTCTTATCAGAAGAAAATTTTTTTCCCTGTAACTTTTTTGTTGGGAAAAATTTTTTTTTTTCAATTTTTATTTCTTCAGCTAAGAAATAAAATTGTTCAAAATTTAAAAAAAAATTATTTCTTATTACAACATTTTTTTTTAAAAGATATTTTTTCTCAGGGTACTTCAATTTATATTATCGATCGAAAAATTGAATGACCTTAATGTGAAATTTTTTGAGAATTTTTCTATTCAAAGTACGATAATTTCTTCAGTTTTATGGAATGTTAAAATCTCAAGATTTAAGAGTAATACTCATATTTTTTGACTAGATATAATTATAAAAATTTCATATAAAATAATAAGTCGATAGTAAAGCACTCTTAGAATTTACACTAGAGGCGGTGTAAAATTTTTTAGAAACAAAAAAATTTTTTTGGTAAAAAAAAAAATAATTTGTTATTTGGAATGGTTTAAGGATTTATTATGATCATAGATTAAATAATTTCAAGCTATTCTTATCATACGAACCAAAAATAATTTTTCTAAAAAATATATATTGCTTTTAATTTTGCACGCCTCATAGCGCAAAATATTTGAGGTAGTGCAATAATCTCAGATTTTTAAAGTCAATCAATTTTATTTATATTGTAAAGAGTTATCGTAATTTTATGTCACTTATCGGCACAATCGGATCTCCCAAAGTATTAATTAATCTAACTAAAAATGAATTATTTGTTCTAATATGCCTACTTTAATAAAACCTTAATATTAATTAACTTAAAATAATTTAATGTAATCACACAAGCAGCACTAAATAAAATTATATTAAAATTAGCAATAATTTAATTAAAAACTAGAAAATTATATAGCAATAAAAAGAATATAATAGTTAATTATATTCATATATAAATATTAATTTCATAAAGCAAGACTATTAAAAAATTTTGTTTAAATTTTTTTACCCATAATCTACGTTTAAAATATTTAAAATAAAAATATTTTGTCTTTAACAACTGAGTATATTAATTATTCGAAAAAGATCCTTACTAGTCTTAATCTATTGCTTTAGAAAAATTTTTAAATACTCAAAATGCAAAATATTATTCTTTCATATTTTAAACTTAGATTCCTGCTCTCAGACTTAAAATACAAAAAACTTGTATAAATAAATTACATTGGACTGGTAGTAAGTCCATTACGGTGTTGTAAAGAATTATGTCTACTATCAATTATTTGTCCTACATCCATATTAGAATCTTCGACTCGAATTTCATCAAAGCTACTTGATAAAAGTGGTTCACTGGACTTTTCATCAACTTTAGCTTCAGCAACCCATTCTTGAATTTCAAGAGTATACATTCTTCGTTGAAGTACTTCACGCGTACGAGGCCGAGATCCAATATAGTTTGTGGTATTCTAGTTAAATAAATTATGAGTTTAAATTTAATTAATTAATTCACTTTAAATTTAGTGATTTAATTCAAGAAAATAGTCGGGCTTTTTTTACTATCATTAAATGGTTACATGGGTTTCACGGTTTCAAAAAATCAATTTTTTTTATTGTCTTATTAAATTCTACAACATCTCTAGAATATTGTCCTATCACGGAAAAAAGTAAACTGTAATAAATAATAGTCGATTTATAATAAGTAATGATCAATTGCTAAAAATTACCATTTCAAACAGTAAAATCATGATTTCAAAAATTATTATGTAATATTTTCTCATTTAAATGCTACAATTGAGAAATCTCGCCGGAAATGACGTCACAATAGCAGAGTTTTTAATATTTTTTTTTTCAAAAATTTCAGTAATCCCTTATTAAGCAAGTATCTTTAAGACAATAAAAAATTAAAATAAAATATTTCATTTTTTATATTAAAAAAAAATTGTTAAAAATAGGCCATTTTTCTCCGGAGGAAACCCATGTATCCCCTTAAGCAATATTCAAAAAACATTTTTATAAGGAAGATTTTTATATTGAAAAATCAAATTTTGCCGCATCAGATATTGTAATTATTTTTAGACCTTGATTTGAAAAAATAAAATTTTTTTTCTCTAATGCAATAAATTCAGTAAAAAAAATTAATTTTAAATACTTACATTTACCATAAGAGAAGATCTTAATTTTTCCAAAATGTGAAAGTCCTGAATAATTGTTTGTAATTCATCCCATTTCAATTCAACTTCTTCATGTAACATTTTCTCCTCTTTAAAAGAAAGTAAAAATAATTATAAATTATTTTTTTTATGTTTTAAATAGTAATAAAGATTATACTAACCATCTCGTTTGGACGTTGATTTTTTATACTGTATTCGAAATCTAAATGCTTCCAAAAAACTTGAAACGACAATCGTTAATACTATCATTGTGACTAAATAAAAAGTCATAAAATAAAATCGAGTATAAAATCCAACTATCACTGCATAAGCATTCATTAAAATGAACCAATTATTGACGACTGTTAATTCAAATAATGTCATTTCACTTGCCATTAAATTATCGAATGTATTTAAATAATAATAACCTAAAGTAGTACTTCCATTTGCTGAGTATTTGTAAAAATCTTCAACTGTTGTATTTCTGGGAATGAAATAATAATTATTGGCCATTAGTAATATATTAAATTGAGAAAAAAATTTTATTTTTAAAGAAATTCAAAATATTGTAATAAAAAGTAAATTTGTTAAAAATTTTAAACAATTTTATTTATTGGCTGAAGAAATAAAAATTTTTTTTCACAATAAATTTCTTGTTAAAAAAAATATTTTTTTCCAATTTAGAAATTTTTTTTTCCAAAAAAAAGTTACTTTAAGAAAAATTTTTATTTCTTCAGCTAAATAAAATTTTCTGCAAATTAATTTTTTATTACATTGCTAATTTTTTTCAAAATAAATTTTTTTTCAGTGTATCTTAAAGGAATAATTATTTTAAATATTATTACTTACATACAACAATTTCGCATATCATAACCGGCAAACATTTCCATTCCAATAATTGCAAAGAAGTAATACAAAATGAGCATTACAATTGCAGTAGAACACATCAGTGGTGAAAGTATAACCAATGTACCAAAAACATCACGATAACGTTTCTTTATTTTAAACAACCGTAGAAGACGAAGTGGTCGGAATATTACGAAGAACATTGCATTTGGAAATAATGATAAGCCACAAGCAGCTATTAATGGCATTACTGATGCTCCTAAATCGAAAAGATTCCAACCTGAACTGAGATATCGTCGGATTCCCAATCCAAGAACTTTAGTCATTGCTTCAGTTACAAATACTGTATCAATTTTAATAATATAAAAATTCATTAAAATTTAATTTTAAGACATGATTGTATTTTTTAGTAGTTATTTATTATATTATGTCATATAATAATACTTACAACTGGCAAAAGCAAGTGTATCCCAATCAGCAGCAAATTTATGAGCCGCTACTACTTGGTTGGGCGATGATTCCAAAAGTCTACAACCCATGGCTACTCCATTTAAAATTATAGAAGCATCTGTAACAAAATAAAATAATTAATATTTGAATAATTACTTAATAAAGTATCGAAAGTCACTAACTTAACAAACATTTTTTATAAAAATATGAATACCGCTCGTTTATGTTATTTTTGAAAATAAATATTTTTTATGTCATCAATTAATGATTTTCAGTTTTTTAAAATAATCCTAAGAAAAATACGATTGATATTCAATAAAACGTTCGCTTGAACGTCGGTCAGCATAGAGTTTGTATGTAAAATATACAAATTTTGAATGCTAATGTTTCAACATTTAGTGCCGCAAGGACTATATAAAAAAAATCCTGCGTATAGAAGATACTTATGAGGATAATTATTCAAAATTTCAACAAAATTTTAAGAAAACGATTTTTTTTCGGAACGTCCTTAATATTCTTAATGGATTTTCAGCCAGATTAATTATGGAAATTTCCGTAGACTCATTTTTAAAGACCGAGTTAATATTTATGATAATTACTGCAAATTGTCTAAAATAATAATTTGATTAGAGCGCATAAGAATTTATTTTGCAACCTACGTAATTATTGTCGGAAAGTATAATACTGGTAGAAAATATTTATTAAAAATTTTCAATTTTTCAAACTTAAATTTTTTTTATTAAATTCCATTTTTGTTTCAAATTTTAATTTTTCTTCAAAATTTAAGTTTTTTTTACAAATTTGATATATTAAATATTATATATTATTATTTGATATATTAAATATTACAGTAGACTATATTCTCTTAATTAAAATAATCATTTATAAATATTTATGACAGTATTAAAGATAACGGGATTTTTTTTTGGCATTATAAATTAGATAAAAATCAAAGTAAAATTTTCAGACTTTTATCATGTCATAAATGAGTATTGTTATATTATTGTTGACAATTAATTCAAAGAGTCATTGTTTCTTTCTTGGATCTTAATATATACCTTCACTTAAAATCTCATTAGAAGTTTCTGGAAACTTATTAAGAAAAAATAAATTAACCTTAACGTGCGGGCATTTAATGATCTAGCATAATTCGCTAAATATGACCTGGCTAAGGATCTTTCATACTATGGGCTTCTCACTTCTATTTCCTCTAACCCTACAAAAGCAGAAGAACCAATGGCAAGCGCTGGTAGACTGAAAGAAGGGATAAGACCCTTAAAAATTTTTCGTAGAAGGGAGCAAAAAAAGGTTACCTTCTGAATTGCTTCAAGAACTCAAATCATTCTTACGACAGAATTCGAAGCGCAAAAATCTTCAAATTCAAGACCAATCTTTCGTAAAGTACAATTGTGTATTATTCAATTTCTCAAGTACAAAAATGGAAGTGAACAGTTGTGATTTAGAAATGATCAAGAAGTTAGTGAAATCCGGAGATTTGAGTGTTAACGCAATATTTTCTTGGGATCAGTACAATGAAGTAACTCTCCTTCAGTTCGCAATCTTTAATTCGAGCGACGAACTCATTGACTTGTTACTGAAAAATCACGTTGATTTGAACATCAGCACTCCTTTTTTGGGGACGGCGCTCCACGTGGCGATCAGGGAAAAGAAGCTTGACGTCGTGAAGAAATTAGTATCTTCCGGAGCTAACATCAACATAATGCCAAACCATTATATAGTTCTACCACCACTTCTCCTATCAATTCAATATAATACCAATGACATCACCGAGTTTCTTGTGAAGTCAGGAGCCAATGTAAACTTGGTACCCTACAAACGCAAAGTACTATTTGGGTGTTACAACTGGTCTCCTTTAAACTTGGCAATTACAATGATGAATATTCCTATGATCGAATTGCTATTGAAGCACCACGCCATCATCGATCGAGGATCCAAAAAAATACGCTCTTCTTTACAATTGGCTGTATTAAACATCAGCGATATTCTCCAAATTCTGGAGAAGTTTGGAGCGAAATTAAAGATAATCAAAAACGGGGAATACACTTTGGATTTCAATGAAGCTGTGAAGAAAGATAAAGTAGAAATCTTTAAGCTTTTTGTCAAAAAGTGTCACAATTTTTTAGACATTTCTAATTTGCACGGTGTTACGGTAGCTTCTCAAGTTGTTCGGTTAGGCGGTAAAAATATTTTACGATATTTACTCGACTGTGGGATAAGTGTTAATGTGGTTGACAAGAATAATTCAAGTTTGCTTGATGTCGCCATGGAAATAAATATTCTCCAGACTCTCAATCATGAAAGAGCAGATCAGAGTTTGGAAATAATAAAAATTATCGAGGATCACATTATTAAGTTATCCGCAGCCGGTTTATATATTAACGAGAGGAATTCAAAAGCTGTAAATAGTGAGCATTTTAAATCGTTCCGTGAGAAGTGCGAAGAAGAAATAAATGAATTAAAAACCAGAAAAATAAGCGACACAAATTTTAATTATTTCGATGTAGTAGTTAAAAATGTACATAGATTAGCTGTAGGATTAAGATATTCAGATTTTTGTTTTATCGAAGACGTAATATTAACTGAATTTAAAGTGTATGGTAGCATTATAATTGAAAAAATGAAAAGAGCGGTTGAAAGAAAAGAGCTGCTGAAAAATGCAGCAGAGTTGTACAATATTTTTTATAAGGATTTACCAGATTTAGTTATTAGAATTATTTTTAGTTATTTGAACGATGAAGATTTAAAATTATTAAGTCACTAATTGTATGCATGTATGAATGTATGTAAATATTATTGTAAATCTATTCACATAATCTAGATTAAATATTTTTAGTGTAAATAATAAAATATTTTAGTTATTTAAACGTAATTGATTTGATTTTTTATTCTTATATTTATCCCTACAACTTAAAGATTTTTTATCTATCATTAAAAAATTGTGGGATAATATAGAATGAAATTTTTTGTTCTGATTAAAAAAATTCAACTATAAATATTTATCTTAAAGTCTGATATAAAACTTAACCATATTATAATTTTTTTTATAGTTATTTCTAATCACTTTTTCAAAATTTCAAGATATTAATTAATAAATTATAAGACACTTATCACATTTAAGTAGTGGAAGGGACACACTAATAACGATCTGGTAACAACACTTTTTGTTTACCCTCGAAATAAATATGAAGATTGCATGCGCTAAAATTTAAAAAAATAACTTACATACATTTTTATTCATGAAATTAAATATTGTCATTCATTTTTTTATCAATGAGGGGGTCGTATCTCCCATCCACTTTGTTAGACATAAACAATTAAATTATTTTATTTAATTTTAGGATTATAATTATTATTGTTTTGACATTAATTATTATCGTTATTTTTTGCAATAAGAAACTCGGCATTCAACATTATTATATGTATTAATGTTTCGACAAAAAATGTTTGTGCCATATCACCATAAATTATTTTAGATTATTACCAAAATGGTGATAAAATATTTTGGCAACTAGTGAGACACATAATACAATATAACTCAAAGATTGAGAAATATTTAAAAGCTTGTCTGTAAGAAGCTTAAGAGTTTATCCCAAATATTTTCAGTTATCTACCTTTTTCTAGAAGTAATTAAGAGATTAAGAACCCATGACTTTACTAATTATTCTCTATCTCTATCTCTCTCAATTTTCTCAATCAGAATACTCCAACTTCTATAATTTTTGCATACCTTCAGAGTCTATACCTACGCCTACGTAAGTCCCTACTCTCACCTAGTTACATCTAACTCCATGTACTCCTATTACGAGTATTACTATTGGTACCCTTCTCCAAAAAGAGTAAAGACCGGGTTACCGGTAAGCTTCACACCATTACTTCGCAACTACTATTTTCACGTATGTAATAGTCTACGCCCGTTACTACGGAACTTTGTGGACAAAGAGTGCCACTGGAAATTTTAAAATAGTAAAAAATCGAGACAAATCAGACGAATCTAACAGTGCAAAATTCACTGAAATCCGTGAATAGGAACTTCTGTTATTAACAAAAAACGTTTTGCAAGTAACGCCTTGCTCGACTTTAAATGATTCCCATAAGAATATTTTTCATAAAAGATTAATTTAATTTATATAATCAAAAAATTCAATCTTTTCCATATCAATTGGTCACATAATATCACCAAATATGCTAACAAATAATAGCGCAAAAAAATAATTTATTAATGAAAATACTTGCCTAAGTCTGTATCAGTTACCGACGTGGTCTGCACAGATCTCGAGTGGGAGAAAAGTTGCGCGCGCCGCCTGGTCTCAATTGAAATTTCCCAAAACTTGGATGAATTTATTTTGAGTAATAATAATAATCTCCATTTTACTTGTATATATTAGGCATATTTTTACAAGGCTGAGTAGATGGTAGCTGTCGCTAGCGACTGTGCTGCCGTCTTGTGGGTATACTGACTTATTGGACCCCAGCCATCCGTTTTCACTACATTATTATCAACACACACATATAATCAACGTCTTTCTACACATATTATCAACGTCTTTCTTTTACACATTCGAGTTTTCGCACATAACTTTATTCTCAATGCGGCTGTGGACCGACTTGTGCTTTCTGTACTGTATTCACCCTATTCCTCACCCCTTTCGATCGGTTGTTGGAATAGTGGCGATGGGGAAACCACAGAGAAAACCCATGCCAGTACAGTTCGGCTACCGGAGCGACCCCCGACGGTTGGTGTTGGTACTATTCGAATAACCGTCGGGGCTCGAACCCTCGCCTCACGGTATGATATGCGAACGAACTATCGGGATAATGACTTAGTCCGCTCGGCCAACATGCCGCTTTATTTTGAGTAATAATTTTTTTAATAAAAATAAATAAACAAATTCAATATCAATAAATGTTCATTGCAATCTGCATATCTATTAATACTCTAACATTTTTCAATAAATTTAAATTAAATTTTTAAAGAATGAGTTGGCAAATTAAAAAAAAATTTAACAGAAAATTTTTCACGAAAATAATAATAACTATGTTATTATTACACTTCTGTGTAATTAATAACAACTAGTTTAAAGTATAATTTTTACAGAGAACAATTATCAACAAAAAGAAAATGAAAGTATAATGGGAAAAGGAGACAAAAGAGCAGGTTTTCAAATTATTTGACCTGAGTCCTAATCCTTCTATTCGTTTCCGAATAAAATAAATACAATCCATAACTGAAAACCTGTTAAGTTTTAAATTTTGTAATTCATGATACCATTAGCTTAAGGAGAATTTTATGACATTAAAAATAAACAAAATTATTATTTTCGTGAACTCTCGAATAGAAGGGATGATGGAATGTCCATCTGTTGGCTTGAATTAGATTCACTAGTGATTTGTGACCTTAGGCTGATCAAATATTAATTAGTTAATAACAAAAGTTCCTATTCACGGATTTCAGTGAATTTTGCACTGTTAGATTCGTCTGATTTTTCTCGATTTTTTACAACTTTAAAATTTCCAGTGGCACTCTTTGCCCACAAAGTTGCGTAGTAATGGGCATAGACTATAATATATTTAAGTATTAATAAATTGAAATATTAAATCAACACCGAATTCACTTAAACAATTCCCTTACTTCCAAAAGAAATAAATTTTATGCAGAAAATAATTTTTGGGCACAGATAAATTATAGTAGGCTGTATTTTCTTAATAAAAATAATCATTTATGAATATTTATGACAGCATCAAAGATAATGAGATTTTTTTTGGCTCTATGAATAAGATAAAAATCAAAGTAAAATTTTTAGACTTTCTTTTCATACCTAACTATTAAAATGTTATTATCATGTCACAAAAGAGTATTGTTATATAATTTTTGACAATTAATTCAAAGAGTCATTGCTTTCTTCTTGGATCTTAATATATACCTTCATTTAAAATCTCATTAGGAGTTTCTGGAAACTTATTAAGAAAAAATAAATTAACCTTAACGTGCGGGCATTTAATGATCTAGCATAATTCGCTAAATATGACCTGGCTAAGGATCTTTCATACTATGGGCTTCTCACTTCTATTTCCTCTAACCCTACAAAAGCAGAAGAACCAATGGCAAGCGCTGGTAGACTGAAAGAAGGGATAAGACCCTTAAAAATTTTTCGTAGAAGGGAGCAAAAAAAGGTTACCTTCTGAAGTGCTTCAAGAACTCAAATCATTCTTACGACAGAATTCAAAGTGCAAACATCTTCAAATTCAAGACCAATCTTTTGTAAAGTACAATTGTGTATTATTCAGTTTCTCAAGTGCAAAAATGGAATTGAACAGTTGTGATTTAGAAATGATCAAGAAGTTAGTGAAATCCGGAGATTTGAGTGTTAACGCAATATTTTCTTGGGATCAGTACAATGAAGTAACTCTCCTTCAGTTCGCAATCTATAATTCGAGCAACGAACTCATTGACTTGTTACTGAAAAATCACGTTGATTTGAACATCAGCACTCCTTTTTTGGGGACGGCGCTCCACGTGGCGATCAGGGAAAAGAAGCTTGACGTCGTGAAGAAATTAGTATCTTCCGGAGCTAACATCAACATAATGCCAAACCATTATATAGTTCTACCACCACTTCTCCTATCAATTCAATATAATACCAATGACATCACCGAGTTTCTTGTGAAGTCAGGAGCCAATGTAAACTTGGTACCCTACAAACGCAAAGTACTATTTGGGTGTTACAACTGGTCTCCTTTAAACTTGGCAATTACAATGATGAATATTCCTATGATCGAATTGCTATTGAAGCACCACGCCATCATCGATCGAGGATCCAAAAAAATACGCTCTTCTCTACAATTGGCTGTATTAAACATCAGGGATATTAAGATTCTCCAAATTCTGGAGAAGTTTGGAGCGAAATTAAAGATAATCAAAAACGGGGAATACACTTTGGATTTCAATGAAGCTGTGAAGAAAGATAAAGTAGAAATCTTTAAGCTTTTTGTCAAAAAGTGTCACAATTTTTTAGACATTTCTAATTTGCACGGTGTTACGGTAGCTTCTCAAGTTGTTCGGTTAGGCGGTAAAAATATTTTACGATATTTACTCGACTGTGGGATAAGTGTTAATGTGGTTGACAAGAATAATTCAAGTTTGCTTGATGTCGCCATGGAAATAAATATTCTCCAGACTCTCAATCATGAAAGAGCAGATCAGAGTTTGGAAATAATAAAAATTATCGAGGATCACATTATTAAGTTATCCGCAGCCGGTTTATATGTTAACGAGAGGAATTCAAAAGCTGTAAATAGTGAGCATTTTAAATTGTTCCGTGAAAAGTGCGAAGACGAAATAAATGAATTGAAAACCAGAAAAATAAGCGACACAAATTTTAATTATTTCGATGTAGTAGTTAAAAATGTACATAGATTAGCTGTAGGATTAAGATATTCAGATTTTTGTTTTATCGAAGACGTAATATTAACTGAATTTAAAGTGTATGGTAGCATTATAATTGAAAAAATGAAAAGAGCGGTTGAAAGAAAAGAGCTGCTGAAAAATGCAGCAGAGTTGTACAATATTTTTTATAAGGATTTACCAGATTTAGTTATTAGAATTATTTTTAGTTATTTGAACGATGAAGATTTAAAATTATTAAGTCACTAATTGTATGCATGTATGAATGTATGTAAATATTATTGTAAATCTATTCACATAATCTAGATTAAATATTTTTAGTGTAAATAATAAAATATTTTAGTTATTTAAACGTAATTGATTTGATTTTTTATTCTTATATTTATCCCTACAACTTAAAGATTTTTTATCTATCATTAAAAAATTTATATTTATTTTTGTAAGAAGATGACTGGAATGCTATAGCACTTTCACATTGAAAGGTAAGAAGAATAATTACATAAATGAAAGGTAAGTTCGAATTTTATTAAATTTTAAATCTGTGTGCTAGTCAAAAAATTAGTAAAGTTTTAAGTCGAGATTTAAAAAAGACATTAAAATATCTTTAAAAGCCTTCGTCAGAAAATTTTCATTTTATTTTTAACGTATTTTACGAAAGTTGATTGATTGAAATAGAAGTTTTTTGTTTTTTAATCATCCGATGAGGTAGTCAAATAAATCGATATATGCGCAATTCGCCAATAGTCTCTATAAGCTACATGATAAATTTCAATTTTGTAATAATTTATTAAACGATAATCCTACATCAGATTTATTCCAAAAAATTAGTTTAGACGTATGAGATAGCAATTCATAACATATCAAAAAATTAGCTTCCGATTTTCAAAAGTGCATTAGTGTCCGATCAAACTTAAAAATGCAATTTTATGATACATCCAGCGATGCGGAGGAAAAATTTCAGGCCATTAAAACTAATTATTATTGAGCTAATTCTCTTTCATAAAAAATAATGAATAGATTCCAGGTAAAATTAATAAATTTTTTTCGAGTCAAATTGAAATTTAATACACACACACACACACACACCATCGCGAAAATAGTCAGGTAACCTTCCTACGACCCCAAAACTTCGAGACCTGATAGAAACACAATTTTCGAAAAAACGGGGTAAAACCAATAACTTCCCGATTTTCGAAAATTTTTTATTTTCTTAACGAGAAGTTAAAGCCAATCAATTTTTACTATTTTTTCAAAAAAAAATTCTCATATCATTAATTAAAGAAAACTTACAGACAAAAGTTTCAAAATAAGGCCATCTGATTGCAATGTGAGCTCCATTGCAAAGCATTTGCAAAGGTGGCCAAGCCGTATGATACCAAGGTATCCCCGAGTATTGTGGTTCCCATTCTAATGTTGTTACATCATAAACCATAAGGAATTCTTCACAACTTAATGCACCGCTATTAGAAGAATTTAAATGGCGAAACATCAAAATGATATCTAGCGTACCTAAAAATCAAACATGTATTAGAAAAATTTTTTCTCTCAGTGTGTGGTTAATTATCAAATTAATAATATACTTTTTTTAGGAGCATAATAGCGCATTAATCCCTCAAACTGTTTAAATTTCATTTGATCAGGATTTTGTTTGGAAACAAGAAGTTTAAATGCATGTTGACATGCTCGTCGTTTGTGCAGAAATAATTTTTTAAATTTATCTCGCTCGGCAGACGTAAACGTTTCATTGACAACAGCTAACATGAGATTCATCATGACGTAGAGCATCATTGATAAATAAGATACAAAATATATCGCATACCACTTGCTTTTAGAAAATGAAGGCATCATTACATCTGGAAAACTGTAAAAAAAAAAATTGTGTAACAACAGATATTAAATCAAGACTACACTAAGAGAAAAAATGTCTTTTTTAAAAAATTGAATATTGTTGTGAGAAGAAATTAATTTGTTAAAAACTTTTAACAATTTCTTGTTGAAAAAAAGTTTTATAGATTTGAGAAAAAATAAATTTTGCATGAAAATTCGCAAATTGTCTATCTAACATTTTTTTTCCCAAATCAAAAAATTTTTCTTTAGTTATTTTCTTGTTAAAAAATAATTTTGGATGAAAATTCGCAGTTGTCTATCTAAAATTTTTTTTCAACAAGAAAGTTATTGTAAGAAAATTTTTGGTAAGTATTTACATTAACATTTTCTAATTTTTTTTTTTTTGATAATAAAATAAAGATTTTGATAGCTTTTTTGCCTTCAAGAGTTGGAAAAAATTTTGGCTAAAAAAAACGAAAAATTAAAAAAAAAAAGTTGAATATCACAATTTTCTAAAAAATATATAAATTTTTTTGAAAATTTGTTAAAATTGTGATAATCAATTTTTTTTTAACTATTCATTTTTTATGTATTTTTCAAAAAAAAAAATATCAATAAAATCAAATAGAAATTTCGTTAAAAAAATGAAAATTAAAATGGTTGGCCCCACTTGTAAATATTTACCAAACTTTTTCAGCTAAGAAATCGAATTTTTTAAAATTTTCAATAAATTAATTTCTTATTACAACATTGTTAATTATTTTCAAAAGAAATTTTTACTCTCAGTGCAATATCATAATATCAATATATCACTTACTTAGCCGTTGTCAACAGAACAAAAAGACTAACAAAACTGTCTTGTAATGTCGCAAAATTGCGATTTGTTTCAGAAAACATAAAGTAACCCAGTACCATATAAACAATAATAAAAAACAACAAAAGACCAAGCATATCTAAAATTGGCGGTAGGGTTTGCAAAATTTGTCTAATAAATCTTCGTACTCCGCCACAATATTTGGTATCAACTAAGAAAATTGGTCTTAATGCTCTAGTCACTCTAAAATGGGATGATTGTCGAATAACAACAATTACCGCTTCCAAAAACATTATCGCTAATGTAACACACTGAAAATAAAAATTATTGATTATTTTTTTGTAAATAAGTCTAAAAAAAGCTTTTATAAAATTTAAAAAACCTTCAGCATAGTTCGCTTGTGTTTTAAGATAGTGCCCCAACCAATCCATCTTAATTTCAATGCTAACTCCACGCCGATTGTTAATAATGCCAATAGTTCAATAGAACCGTGTAGCCAAACTGGCAACTGAAATAAATTATTTTATTATTATTAGTACATTTGAAATGTTAGAAAGAATGAATCTTTTGAACAATGAGAGTTTTTCTGATAATTTATCGAATATCAGTAATAAATAAAGAAGCTCATTCTTTTATAAGTTTTCATTATTTATAAAATTAATTGCTAATATAAATTAATTACTTGAAAAATTGAAACCGCTGGTTCTTCAACAAAAGCAAGAGCTAGTAGTAGTAAAGAAGTAAAAAGATCAAGGCCATAATACCAATTGTTATGAACTAAAAGATATGCTGGTAAATCTTCTGGATGTCGAGGATGAGAATCAAATTTTTCATTATTTTGTCCTTCCTAAAAATATATAATTACAATTAAATCAATGTCAAAATTTTCTTATCTATGTTATTAAAAGAATAAGAAAAATTTTGTTTCCAGGATAATCATATATGATAAAATTGGTTTTTTTTATAGTGTCATTGTAAAGGTCTTGACTTGAATTTGTGCTTTTTCAAGGTTCCATAAAATTCTCACCGATGGTCAATTTATTATAATAAGTATTTAGGCTGCATTTGAAAATGCTTTATCTCTAGATACTTAATTAGGAAATAACTTTGTATCTTGTGAAATATTGACATTTTTAAAGATATAAGCTCATTCCGAAATTACACTCATTGAAACCTTTCATTTGAGTACCCACATCAATTTTTCATATACTTTATATATTTATATATATTATATATTTGTATATATAAAAAATATATCGAAAATGCATGTGGGTACTCAAATTTACAAGTGGGGTCAACCATTTTAATTTTCATTTTTTTGAACGAAATTTCAATTTGATTTTATTGATATATATTTTTTTTTTGAAAAATACATAAAAAAATGAATTAAAAAAAAAAAAAAATTGATTATCACAATTTTAACGAATTTTCAAAAAAATTTATAAAATTTTTAGAAAATTGTAATATTCAACTTTTTTTTTATGCACTTTTCAAAAAAAAATATATCAAAAACATCAAAAAAAGATAAAATAAAAATTTTATCCAAAAACATGAAAGCCAAAATTTTTTCCAACTTTTGAAGACAAAAAAGCTATCGAAATCTTTATTTTTTTCTTTCATGACATTTTTTATCATAAATGCGCTGTAAAAAGAAGCAGAATAAAAAAAAACAATTTGAAAATGTTAATTTTTCACCTAGTTATGGCCCAAAATGGGGTTGACCCCACTTGTAAATAATTACCTAGAATTTATATATTATTGACAATATAAATATAAATCTAAAAAATACCTCTAAAAATATCGCAGCTTCATGATAATTCATTTCCCAATGTATGTCAGGATCATTGATGGTTTGCTTTGCAAAGACAGTACTTTCGGCGAGATCATCGATTTCAATATCTCTTGGAGTTGCTTGATATGAGTCCGGTATCGTGTCATTTTCGAGAGTGGAAGCTTTCGGTTGATAGTCTGAAGAAGTGCAAGACAATATAGATCCATACTCTAAAAAAATTAAAGAGGGCCGGAAGAGTTTTGAAATAATTAAGAAAAATAGAGATAATGATGTGACTTTCTGCTACTGTATCATGAATTTAATAAAATCTCATTTAACATAAATTTTACCGTCTATTTTTTAATATTTAAGGTATGCTAGAGAATTATTAGTGAATTAAATACAAAAAAATCCGAGATGTTTGTATGATACAAAAAATATTTGACAATTTTTAGAAATTTAATTATTATAAAAAACACTAAAAATTTTGCAAAATAAATTAATGCCATTTTTTGAAAATATCTTCTTAAATGACACTGAAGTTGACAGACATTAGAAAGTTTTTTAGAATTTTTTAGCAATGAAATTATAATGAAAAAAAATTTAATAAAAAAATTCCACGTGAAAATTTTTAGAAGCATTTTTTTATTGTTATTCATTTGATGATACTAAAGTTAGCCGACATTTTTAATGTTTTGATTTTTTTTTAATAATTAAATTAGAAAAAAAAAAATTACACTTTCAGTTTTTAAAGTTTTTTACAAGTGAAATTTTTTTTTTATTTTTTCGTAATCATTTTTTCAATAAAAAAAATTCTAAAAATTTTTAAATGTCGACTAACTTAATTTTCATATTCATTTGTTATAAAAATTAAAAAAATTGACAGGTGTCAGTTAACTTCAGTATCATCTTCTTAACACTTAATTATTTTTTAGATAAAACTTAATTTAAGAACTGTCAAGCTAATTTCATAGTCATATTTTAAATTTCAAACAATTGACTCGACTGTCAATTATAAGAATTGTTTACAAGTAGTAGTCTATAAAAGATTGAGAATCATGTTGACATTTATATATATTTATTATTATTCAGAAAGTTTAAGATGATATAACTTTAAAATGATTGATAAATGAAACTAGAGTAGTGTCTACAGTAGATTAATGAAAAAAAAAAAATAAATAAATAAAATTATTAGAGATCACAGAAGAATTATTGTATATATGAAAAAATGAATCTAAAAATAAGATCAGTCTTAAAAATATTACTTACTAGGACTAGTCCTAAAGTTTTCCTGAACATCATCATCAAATCGTTGATATTGACTAGAAAATCTGGAGTCGTCTGATGAATTCATTTGACAAAATCCTCTTGTAAATTAGCAATAAATAATACCGTTAGACATTCACGAGACAAGCATTGTTGACTTATTCCTTTTATTTTCTGTCAGCACAGTTACTATCAGTTACACTGAAATTTATGTTGTTCGCATTTATATATTTATATTCTACATACATCACTATTCATATGTGTATGTTACCTACAAAATAACATGGAATGTTTAATTATCAACTTTGTATCATGTACACACACATATAAATTTACTTATACGCACTTACTGTCTTACTGTTTATGTAAACAGGGATCGTCCACAAAAATACGGAGTTGTTTTCCTGTCAAAGTTCGTGCGCTCCAGTCTTGAAAATTTATTCATAAAAAAACTAATTGGTTACGTTCGCTGTTTTCTTCCATGAAAATTATATGATACTGAAGTCATCTGACATGTAATTATTTATAGGATTTTTTTTTCAATAGATAAATTATTATAAAAAGAATTTTGTAAAAAATGTGTCAAAAAATTATTGCTGTAATTTTTTTAAAAATATTTTTTTAGTAGAAATTTATTTGTTCTAAAATTTTAAAAATGACAGATGTCAGCTGACTTCAATCTTATAAAATTCTTCTCTTTTCAATTTAAAAAAGGCGCATGCGCATTTTAGTTTTTTTAACAAAATGTTCTTGCGCGCACAAACACAACCATTTGCCGTTTTCGCAAGTGTTTTTTTTTTTTATCAAACATTTATTTACAATTAAATTTTTTAAGTAATTGACCATGAAAGAATTTGATATGTTTATTTAAACAATTAAAATCATTTTTTTTTTAATGTCAAGTGTAAAAGATCAAAATTTACACGCATGCGCTGTTTTGATTCGATTATAAGCATGGCTGCGTTTGTTTTTTTTTGTAGGTATATAGGGCACCAAGTTATTGTGCAAGTTCTGCTAGAAAATAGTTTTCAAAATATTTAATTGTTTAAAAAAAAAATTAGTAAATTCTAATAAAATGTAATTAAAACAAAAAAAAAACAATGCTAAAAATTTAAAATTTTATAATAGATATAAATTAGTCAAATCAAGTCTTATAAGTTCTATTATTGTTTTTTTTTTTTTTTTATAAATAATATATATGTTTCACATTCACGTGGAGTAAGTTATTTTTTAATTTGTTTATTAAATGTTATATATCATACTTAATATACTCTTATTTTTTTTGTAGGTTTATATTAATGGATAATCTAAGGGCTGTCTTGTTCATTAAATAAACTGTCATAGAAATTTTAATTATGACGTGGTACTTCCCGATAAAATACAAGTTGTAACCGCAAGGAAATGAAGTGACATTGAAATTTTTTATAAAATAAATATTTACACAAAACATGCTGTTGAATTAATATTACTACATGGTAAGTAATAAATTATTTCGATAATTATTGGTAGGAGGATTTACAAAAGACATTTAAAAATTTGTTTTTTGAAAAATTATACATTTTTTTTCTTTCAAAAGTAATTTAAAAAAAATTAATTTCTAACATGTCAATTTTTTTTTTACTTTTAGAACACAAAAAAAAAACACTGGTAGAATCAAATAATTGAAAAAAATTCTTAAATGTCAATCTTTGGATGTTTTATTATCAAAAATAAATTGCAGTTCCAAACAAATATGACACTGAAATTGAGAGACATCTGATAATTTTTAGAATTTTTTTAACTAATAAATTATAGCAAAAAAAATTATCTTTTTAAATTCAATCTTTAGAAGGGTGACCGTCTATTTTTTCTCATGCAAAAATTTCTCGCGACAAAAATTCTTAGCAATAATTTCTTGTTCAATATTTTCTTAGAGGCTTTATTTCTCATTGTCAAAATTTATTCGGTATTATTTTCTTATACAAAAATTCATTTAAATATTTATAGCTTATGTGTTGGTCTAATGTCGAATAAACGCACACAAAAACCATGATAAAAGGGCACAACACAATAACAAGCTTATGTGTTTAGAAATTTTTGAATGATAATTTTTTGTTCTGTGAGAATTTTCTAAGAAATTTTTAAGTGAGAAATTTTTGTGTCGAGAAATTATTACGGATTAATAAAGACACGTAGCCCTTTAGAAGATCTAAAAAATTATAAATGCAATTTTAAAAAAATAATTTTCTTTAATTTTCAATAAAAATAAAATAATTTTCAAGTGTCCCCAATTTAAATCATAAACAACAACTATTTCTCTACTCACTACAAAAAAAATTACTATTTATTTTCTAGAAAATGTTGTTTCCTCGAATTTTAATTCTCTTAACGAGTGTATCATTAATCGAATGCAAAAGAAAATACCAAAAAGAAGATTTAGCATCACTAAAAGAAGAAGTACGCTCTATGTTTGACTACGCTTACTCAAGCTACCTAAACTACGCGTATCCTTATGACGAGCTTCGATCCCTCAGCTGTGATGGTTACGACACTTGGGGAAGTTTCTCCCTGACTTTAATAGACGCCTTGGACACCCTAGCAGTAATAGGAAACTTCAGTGAGTTCCGTCGCATCGCCAACATCATCAGCACAAGAAATAATTTTGAAGCCAACATAAATGTTTCTGTCTTTGAAACAAACATAAGAGTAGTCGGTGGGCTCTTGAGTGCTCACTTACTGATAAAAAAGGCCGGAATGACCCTACCACCCGGATGGCCATGCAACGGGCCATTGTTACGTCTCGCTGAAGACATGGCGAAGAGATTAATCGTAGCTTTTGACACGCCAACCGGGATGCCTTACGGTACAGTAAATTTAAAATACGGCGTTCCAAGTGGAGAAACAACCATAACATGTACTGCTGGGATCGGTACATTTTTACTCGAATTCAGTACATTGTCAAGACTGACCGGTGATCCTCTGTACGAAGAAGTGGCAATGAATGCCGTTAAAGCGCTGCGTTATTACAGGTCAAAAATAGGCCTTGTTGGTAATCACATTGACATTCTAACCGGTCAGTGGACAGCACGAGACTCCGGTATAGGAGCAGGAGTTGATTCTTACTTTGAATATCTAGCCAAAGGGACACTTTTGCTCCAAAATCCCGTATTAGCAGAAATATTCCATGATTACAGAGCAGCGATTGAAAAATACATTCGCAGAGAAGATTGGCATCTTTGGGTATCAATGACTGAGGGGCATGTTACTCTTCCTGTGTTTCAATCTTTAGACGCTTATTGGCCCGGAGTATTGAGTCTCTTTGGAGAAACAAATGATGCTATGAAATCAATTCATAATTACCATCAAGTTTGGAAGCAGTTTGGTTTCACGCCGGAGTTTTATAATATTGCTCAAGCTGAAGCTGGGACTAATCGAGAAAGCTATCCGTTACGTCCAGAACTTATTGAGTCGGTGATGTATCTTTACAGAGCTACCAAAGATCCTTACTTGATTCAGGTTGGCGTTGATATTCTTAAAAGTTTGCAACACAGTGCAAGGACCAAGTGTGGCTATGCAACTATTAATGATGTTAGAGATCACAAAAAGTCTGATCGGATGGAATCTTTTTTTTTGGCTGAAACTACTAAGTATTTGTATCTTCTTTTTGATCCGGATAATTTTATACATGCCAATGGACAAACTGGGGAAATTGTTAAAACTCAGTGGACTGAGTGTGTTGTTGGGGCTGGTGGGTATATTTTTAATACCGAAGCTCATCCTATTGATCCTGGAGCGCTGGCTTGTTGCAAACCTTTTAAAAGTTTCTTCTCGAAAAAATCTAATTTGGAAAAACTTACTGACTATCGGGCTAAAGTTAAGGAGGTTAAATTGAAAAATGTAACGAGTGAAGATAGTTTGGAAGGAATTTATAAAAATGAAAATTTTAATAAAAGTAATAATAACAAAAAAGAAAGTAAAAATTTTTCTAGTTTTGGAAAAGCTGTTGTTACTAATGTTAATATTGTTTCGGGGGATGGAAATGGTGAAAATAGTAAAATTCAGTCAGAAGATTATAATTCGAAAATTAGTCTTGATGAAGACTTGAAAAAAAATGATTTTATTGCGCAGTCGTTACTTGAAAGAATTAGAAGTAATAATATGTACTCTGTTAATTCTACGTATGGAGAAGACTATCAGTTTTTGTCGTGTCAAGCTCAACCTTTTTTGCAGCGGATATCAATCATTGGGGAATTTTTTTAGATGAATTTTAGATTTAAGAATAGAGAAATATCAAAATATATTATTTTTTAAAATTAAAATAAATTGTTTTTTTGGTGAAAAATAATTTGTTTGGTATTCTACTTAAACTTGTTAAAAATACCAAGATTTGTAAAATAATATTTAGAAATTTCTTAAGTTAAAAAGGCATTTTGTAAATTTTTATTTTTTTTATTTTATTTTATTTGCCTTTGTTCTAACCCAACAGCCCAAGGGCCAATGACAGGGTTACTCAATTTTTTACAGAGTTAAAGATTTGACAGAGTGATACACATGAGTGATAATATATATCTATATAAACTAAAAATTATAAAAATTATATTTTAATCCTTATAAAACAAAATGACAAGAGTTAACTTAACTAAACTTAGTGTACTGAGTAAATAAATATTATTAGTTTACAGAATTAATAAATATTATTTTTTTAAGGGACAAATTTAATGTGCAATAAAGTAAAATTTATGTAAAATACAGAGTGACTGATTTCATGTAGAATAAAATAAAATATGGTTGAATTGATTTAAATCCTATTTTTTATGATACCGAAATTAGCAGACGTTTAAATTTTTTTTTTTTTTTTTATTAATTAAGTTAAAACTAGAAAAATATTTACAAAAAATTTTTTTTTCAAATTTTCTACACGTAGATTTTACAAAAAATTTTTTTTAAATTAATTTTTCCATAAGAAAAATTTTATCAATTGTCAGAAACTAATTTTATTTTCATTTTTTTTTTAATTACACCTTTTATTTTATTTATTTATTTCTTTATTGCAAAAAAACGCCGATCGGCAATATACATTAATAGTAACAATAATATATTTTAAGTGATGTTTGAATTTAATAAAAATATAAATAATGAAAATGATTTATCTTCTACTATTCAGAAAAAATCAGTTAGCTTACAAAAAAAATTTTTTTTTTTAAATTATTTATGACATTAAAGTTAGCATCTCTAATTAATAATTTATTTGAGTACTCACATCGCGAAAAACCGTGAATTAAATCTACTGGGGCAAATATTTTCGCAATTAAAACATGTGGGTACTCATTTTTTTCGTCTTTAAGCCTATAATTTATTTTGAGAAGAAAAATAAATTTTTTTTTAACGCATATCGTATTTCTAGACAAAAAAAAAAAAAAAAAAAAAAAAAAAAATGAAAATATAAATAATGAAAATGATTTATCTTCTACTATTCAGAAAAAATCAGTTAGCTTACAAAAAAAATTTTTTTTTTAAATTATTTATGACATTAAAGTTAGCAGTCACTTGACCATTTTTTAATTTTTTTTTTACAAACAAATTTGTTCCAAAAAATTATTCTTAAAAAATTGCATTTTTAATTTTTTTTAATTTTTACATGTGAATTTTTTTTTATAATTTATCTGTTAAAAAAATTCTTAAAATTATTAAAAAAACTGCTAAATTAATTTTCATTTCCAAAAATTTATTTCGGAATTTTTTTACATTTTGCGATAATTTTTGATAAAATTTTATGAGTATTAATTTAAAAGATATTTAATAATTTTTAGAATTTTCTTAACAGATAAATTATGGCAAAAAAAATAAGAAAAAAAAATTGACAAGCAGAAACTTTAAAAAATAAAAAATGCAATTTTTTGGAAAAAATTTTATTGTCAAATAAAATTAAAAAATTATCAAGTGAGTGCGAACTTTAGTGTCATTAAAATTTTTCAAATTTAAATTTTATTTCCGCAAAAATGGCGCCAAAATGACTGACATTACTAATTTGATTTTTCTTCGACAGATGTCATGATTCAGTTGGCTAGTTTCCAATGCCAATATAACCATTTTATTGTTATTGCTAAAACTTTGTGATACACTCGATACTCATAATTTTATTAATTGTATAATTGTATTAGTAATGAATGTTATTTTGATTTTTTAATTACATTTAAATGTATTAATTTAATTGTTTGAATATTTATTTTTATTTAATTATTCATTTATCTGCTTGTTATAGTGTCGTGAAATGTTTTCTTTACGTGATAAATAAAGTAATGTCATCAGAGCAGTATTTTTTGTTTTTTAACAGGTAAATCGAATACTTTTTAATTATATAGCAAAACTATTCTAATTAATTTCATAACTTCTTGTAATTATCTTGTTTACGAGATGTTGCTACGATGGAAATTTTTTGGTAGCAAAGGTCCACAATTTTATAGCTGATCAAAATAATATTTAAAATTTTTTTGGAACAACTTTTTTTTCCTTATTGAGTTTATTAAAAAAAAGTCTAACAAAAAAAAATTTTTTCTATTTTTCTACAAAAAATTAGACTAAAAAAATCAGAAAATGAAAATTTCTTTATTTTTTTTTTATGCAGAATATAAATAAATAAATTAAAGAAATAAAATTCAACATAAAATTTTTAAAACATTAAAAAAACTTTAAAACTAATTAAAAAATCTATTTTTGACACTTCTGACAATTGGTATTATAAATGGGTCATACTATTAAATACTTAAGAAATATACACTTTTGATGATACCCAAATTAACAGACATCTGTCAATTTTTTTAATTTTTAAAATAATTAAATTATTGTGAAAAAATTTTATTAAAAAAATTACAATACTAAAGTTAGCCGAGTTTTTAATTTTTTTTTTTTTTCATTTATTTAATTGAAACAAGAAATATTTTTTAAAAATTGCACTTTAAAGTTATTCAAGTTTTTAACAAATGGAATTTTTTTTTCTTATTTTTTTGTAATAATTTTTTTTATTAAAAAAAATTATAAAAATTTTTAGATGTTGGCTCATTTAATTTATGAGAATTAATTTAGCATATATTAAATAATTTAAAAAATTTTATAGCAAATAAATTGTGGCAAAAAAAATTGACATGCACAAATTTTAAAAAATAAAAAATGCAATTTTTTAAAAATAATTTATTGGAACAAATTTTTTGGATGAAAATTAAGTTACCCGATATTAAAAAATTTTTAGGAATTTTTTTATTGAAAAAATTCCAATTATAAAATTAAAAAAAAAATTTACTACATGTAAAAAAAACTTGAAAAACTATTAGTGCAATTTTTATAAATATCATCTTTTAAGTTTTAATTTAATTTATAATATTTTTGATGCAGGTTAACACCTAAAGATCTCGAAGAAGGGTCTCCAGTACCGCTGCGTTATGTTAAATTTCAAAATGTAATGAATTTACAGATATTTATTAAAGATAATCAAGGTGGTTGTGAAACAACCCAAATAAATCATTTAGCAATTTATGGTTCACCAATTGTGACAACAAATATGGGAGATTTCAAGCGTGTAGCTGGAAAAAAAGGAGAAAGCCATTGATCATCATAAATTTATTTTCATTTTTTTTTTAAATATCCGTTTCGTCAACAATAATATCATCACAATTATTAAATTTACTAAATTTTTTAGTTACAAATTAGTTGAAACAAAATTCATTCTTTGTTGCATTTTAATATTAATTATTAATTAATAAAAAAAAAAACGATGATGATGATTTTACAATTATGTATTTTTAATGAGTTATAAAATAAAAATGGTAATAATAAATAAATTATTACGATGATACTTTATGTATCCTCCATATTCCACCGCAGCGACATGACCGTGCCCAACGCAAGTCCCAGGCTCTTATTGCAGCAGTGCGAGTCATATTTAGTACTTGAGCTTTTCCTCCGCATCTTTAAATTATATCAAATCATTAATATATATTATCAAAATCTATACTTAATACTGTATAATATAAATGTGAATATTTAACCTGGTACACTGTTTAACAACAAGCGGTTGTTTACCCAAATAAACATGCCGAATAATATCAACACTTTGGCCACTATGCATACACCCCTCAATTTGATTTAATTCTGGTACAAATAACAAATGTTCCGGCTCGGTGTTGAATTCTAATTGCAATGGAAGACTTTGATAAAATAACACTGGAGATGCGATTGCTGTTATACTGTTAGCTTGGTGTAATATACTTTTTTTCTATCATTTATTTTTAACAAAAATTAAAAAAATTTTTAGTTATCTGCTGATTTCAGTATCATATTTTTTGACATTTTATTACCAAAAAAAAGGTGGACCTTACTTCCAAACAATTACCTTAAAAAATAAATATTTCAATTTTATTAATAAATTTGAAATGTAAAATAAATGCAGGCTCATTTTGCTTTTGATTGAAATTTTTTAAGCAATAAATTTTTTTAAGTACAATCATAACAAAATATTAATTTATATATTGTATATTATTATCTAATAACTGACTTTTTATCATTCTAGGATAGTATATCATTGAAGAAATGATATGACATTATACAAAAACACTTTTTCAACAATAAAATGGCGGATATTTGTAGAAAATGGCGAATATGGATATTGCCATTATTAACTACTCTTTATGCCTTATTAATATGTATCCTAGTGCCAATATTATTGAGAAATTCAATAAGAAATGGGTTAAAAAAACAAGATCAAGGTGCTTTGGTCGGTGGCGGATTTGTGCTTCTGTCATTACCAATAGCATTTTATGAGATAATACAGCATATGATTCATTACACGCAACCGAAACTCCAAAAGTATATAATCCGAATATTATGGATGGTACCAATTTACGCAGTAAATGCTTGGCTGGGATTAATTTATCCCGAAGGCAGTATTTACGTAGATAGTTTACGTGAATGTTATGAAGCTTATGTTATTTATAATTTTATGATGTACTTGTTGGCTTATCTCGATTCTGACCATCAATTGGAACGTCGGTTAGAAATGTCTCCTCAAGTGAAGCACATGTTTCCCTTTTGCTGTCTATCCGATTGGCGAATGGGAAAAGAATTTGTACATATGTGCAAACATGGAATTCTTCAGTATACAGTAGTCAGACCCTTATCAACAGCTATTTCTTTGTAAGTCATTAAAATATTATTTATTATTAATTAAATATGATTTTTTATCATTATTATACTTTAATAATTAATATGTATTTTATAATTTTTTTTTCAGTATTTGTGCATTAAATAATGTCTACGGTGAGGGTGAATTTCGTGGAGATATCGCATTTCCTTACATGATTGCGCTTAATAATTTATCCCAATTTATAGCAATGTACTGTTTAGTTTTATTCTATCGGGCTAATTCAGAAAGCTTAAAGCCAATGGAACCTATTGGAAAATTTTTGTGTATCAAAGCTGTAGTATTTTTTTCATTTTTGTAAGTATATTCTACTGTAAACTATACTGATTGTTTAGTTTTATGATCTTCTTGTTTTTCGGTCAAATAATTTAAACATAGAGCAATAATTTTTTTTTTTTAATTTATTAAAATTGTTTTAATTTTTTTTTTTTAACTTTATTAAAATTAAAATTGAAAATAGCAGACACAACAATTTTTTTAATTTGCTTGAAAAATAAACTAAGTATCAAATATTATTTCTAAAAAATTGCACTTATAATTTTTTAGAGCTTCTAAACAGGAAATTAAAAAAAAAAATTCTTTCCTAAAAATTATTCATTAAAAAAATTATCAAAAAATTTTTAATTTCTAATTTTTTTTTTAAGTTTTAAAATTAAAAAAAAATGTAATGTGTCTAATTTTTCATTGACATTTTTCAAGCATTAGTTTTTAGAAACAATGCTAGTTATTGTTATATACTTCAATTTTTTTTTAGTAACAATAATTACACAATAAATAATTAAAATTGTTGAAAACAGGAAATATTACAAAGCTAAATTGTTAAATGCTAAATTGTTTATAATTTACTTTGGTAAAAAAAATTTATTTTTCATTCTGTTCTACGAAAATTATAATTCATAAATTTTTTATAAATTTATACCAAATCTTTTGATCATATATTTTTTTTTTTTTTTTTTTTTAAATTTGTTCAGTTAGAAAATTTCAATAAAGAGCAAGACAAATATAAATTTTTAAAATTTTCAAACTTAAAAATATAATTAAAAAACGTATCCATAAATTTTTCTAATTTATTAATTTATCCGTCATAATGAAGAACAAAATGATTAAAATGAAACACTTATAAAAAGTATTCTAAATTTATTAATTTTTTTAATTTATTTTTCTTTTTACAGTCAAGGCGTGTTGATTGCAATGTTGGTATACTTCGATGTAATATCAAGCATTTTTGATACTGATAATACCGATGATATTCGTCATATATCTTCAAAACTTCAAGACTTTCTTATATGTATTGAAATGTTTTTAGCAGCAGTTGCGCATCATTTTAGCTTTAGTCATAAACCATACGTTAATCTTGCACAAAGTCAAGCTTGGTGGGATGCATTCAGGTAATTGATTAATTTTATTTAATGATACTAAAATTAGCCGACGTTCAAAAATTTTTGATTTTTTTTTATTCATTAAATTAGAATTGAAAAAAATATTTTTAAAAAATTGCACGCATAGTTTTTAAAATTTTTTACTTGTAAAATGTTTTCTTTTAATTTTTTTTTAATAATTTTTCAATAATATAAATTACACAAATTTTTAGATGTCAGCCAGTTTAATTTTAATTTTTATTTAAATAATTATCGCAATATAATTACTAATAAGTTGTTATTTTTAAATAATAGAGCAATGTGGGATATATCAGATGTACATAATGACATTAAAGAACATTTAGGAGTTGTCGGATTATCATTAAGTCGGAGAATTCGTGGTCGTAGTAACTATCAAGAAACTTGGGGAAGTGCTACTGAACGTACCTCACTTTTACCAGATCAAATTCAAGTTATACCAGGCTCCAAAAATTTACCAAGTTGTTCAGTAACTGAATATGACCCAAGTTATTTTAATGAAAATTCAAATAAGCCTAACGATGATATTACAGACGCTGGTCATGCAGGACATGTTAATTTTATCGATACGTAGCGATGTTTTTTTATGCAATTTAATTTAATTAATCATATGAAGCATTTTCCAACAAATACTTTCATCACAAAAAATTTTTTTTTTTTCCTAGCTAATAATTTTATTTTTTGAAATCATTAATCAAAAGAAATGAATTTTAGTTTTTTTACTTTCAATCATTTAACAAACAAGTAGAAAAATTAAAAAATTTATAAAAGACATTGAATTTAATCAAATAATTTTAAAGAATTAAAGAAAATATCAGATGTTTAAAAACAAAATTTTTTTTTTACATCATTGTAATATTTAAAAATTGAAAGCAATATTTTTACTCTACGATATTAACGATATGTTATTTTATATTATCATTTCTCTTGTTATAAGTACTAAAAGATAAATATTTAGTTGTTTAAATCCGGTAATTTGATATTTGTCCAAGATGCTTCATAAACATAATAATAATAATAATGTGTAAAACAATGATGGATTGAGCTCAACTGGCTGATTGCGTGTATTATATATATATATATATCAGGATATAATAATTATATAAACGAAATTTTTATCATTGTACTTTATTTTTTGATAACTTTAAATTTAATTTATCAATTTAATTAAGATAATATTGTAATATATATATATATATATATATATATATATATATATATACAATAAAACTTGATATACTAATAATAATTTACCAAAGTATGTATAAATAATAAAATTATTAATATAAACTATTTATATATAAAATAAAACAAAATTAATATTTAATTTGTCGTTTTTTTTCTATATTCTATAATTATAAGTATTCTTATAAGTTGATTTTACGATATTAATATTTTAATTACGATTAATTGCTTAGTTTTATTCTATATTATTCATTTTTTTTGTTAAATAATCTATTTCTTCATTAAGAATTACCGGAATTATAATACTCCTTTGATAAGTTTTAATTTGATAACAAAATTTCATGAGTTTTTAGTAACTTGAGAAATTTTTTGGGAAGATACTATTGGAGGAGATTTATAGAAGAAATAATTAAAACACAAGGTATAATAAAAATTAATTTATTTAATTAAGTATTAACATTACATTAACAATGTTACTTAAAAATCTGTTTGTGATTGAAAGTACACTCTTTCATGATACTAAAATTAGTAGACATTGAAAATTAAAAATTTCTTTTAATTGAATTAACGCCAATCAGCTTTATACAGTGAAATTAAAATAGATATACGTACAAGAGAGAAGTAATAAATTTGTAATAATACAAATAATAATATAATGGGAGAAATTACTCAGTTTATGATAAGTAAAAATTATAATAGAGATAACATGATATTCAGCAATTATTTAATTTGGTTTGCGGCTTCGAGTTTAATATTGGAGAGACATCGAAGATTAGTTGTTCGACGAGTTGGTCACAAAATGAGGGTCTTTAATTGCACTTGAAACAATTTTATAGATCCATTGAAGAAGTCGATATCTTGGTGAAGTTTATGAACAGTTGTGGCAATTCTGTTGCAAGGACTATTGATAACGTAGTTTTTAAGAGACGATTTTGTCTTAAATCATGCTTATTGTCGATAAACTCAAAACTACTGGTGATGTCTGGGGCTTCAATTAGTCCTGTGAAGACTTTGAAAAAGAAGATGCAGTCGGTAAATTGTCTTCGTTTCTCGTAGCTGCTAAGGTGGAATTGTTTTCTTGCTACATCGGGAGATGTATAATGTTCAGACTTCTTGGTGATCAAGCAGGCTAGGTTTTTTAATGAATTAATTTTTGTTTAAAAATTAAAAACAAAAATTCTACATGTAAAAATTATAAAATGAAAAAAAAAATTACAAGAGTAATTTTTTATAAATATTATATTAATACTAATTTATTTTTATAAATTAGTATGTCTACTAATTTTAGGATAATTGCTTATTTCCTTATTAAACATGATGATTTCATATATAAAACAGAGAAAAAATTTATTTTGAAAAAAAAAAAAAAATGGACATTGTAATAAAAAATTAATTAGTTAAAAATTTTTATAATTACATTTTTTAGCTGAAGAAATAAAAATTTTTTTTATACTTAATTTTTTTATTAAAAAAAAGTTTTATAGATTAAAAAAAAAATTTTTAATTTTTTTTTTCAAAATAAATTTTTTTTCTCAGTTTATAGGAAATCATAAGTATATAAAATAATTATCAATCGAGATATGTAGGAAGGTCTATCATCATAGACCATTCATCTTCTATTATCTCACAATATTCTTCTTCATCATCAAATTTACATTCGTCTTCACAATAATCTATTTTTGAATAGTATCCACCGCATTGATGACATAGGTAAGTACTTTCTGGTTGTGCTAATGAAAAATTACAAACTTTACAATTGTACTTTCCCCGTGCGTTTTGGTGTCCACAAAAGTCACACAGCGGGTGTGTTGTAATATCCGGCAAGAGTTCAAAATCCATACCCATAACTCGTTGCATATATTCTTCACTTTCATTACTAGGATAATCTTGATAATATAAATCATCAAACAATTCCCACAACTGCTTGACCACTTTGAAAGGCAGCGGCATTTTCTCGTAGAATTTTCTTTGAGCTTCTTTTTTATGAATCCAATAGTAAATTTTACCAGGATGCAGTAAATTTTTTATTAAACAGGTGAACAAAGCATCAGCACACAGTGATGTTAATTTTAAAGGACTAGAATTTGAATTTACGCGCGCAAGCGCGCGCTTTGACTATAGAGTTTGCATATATTTTCATGCTTATGATATATTCAACCAATCACGTTACGAATAGTTTGATGCCACATACATTTCATCTCAATTTTATATTAGGACTAGAATTTAATTTTCGCGCGCAAGCGCACGCCTCATATTTATTGTCATGATGTATTTATGTGTCGTTTATGTATATTATATTAACTTTCAACCAATCAGAATGAGAATATTTATTTTTCGACCAATCACATCACGAATAAATTGGTTTCACATACATTTCATCTCAATTTTATATTAGGACTAGAATTTAATTTTCGCGCACAAGCGCGCGCCTCATATTTATTGTCATGATATATTCATGTGTCGTTTATGTATATTATATTAACTTTCAACCAATCAGAATGAGAATATTTATTTTTCGACCAATCACATCACGAATAAATTGGTTTCACATACATTTCATCTCAATTTTATATTAGGACTAGAATTTAATTTTCGCGCACAAGCGCGCGCCTCATATTTATTGTCATGATATATTCATGTGTCGTTTATGTATATTATATTAACTTTCAACCAATCAGAATGAGAATATTTATTTTTCGACCAATCACATCACGAATAAATTGGTTTCACATACATTTCATCTCAATTTTATATTAGGACTAGAATTTAATTTTCGCGCACAAGCGCGCGCCTCATATTTATTGTCATGATATATTCATGTGTCGTTTAACTAGAACTAGAATTTGAATTTACGCGCGCAAGCGCGCGCCTTGACTATAGAGTTTGCATATATTTTCATGCTTATGATATATTTGACCAATCACGTTACGAATAGTTTGATGCCACATACATTTCATCTCAATTTTATTATGGGATTCTTCAGTCGTGGCTTCTCATACAGATAAAGGTCAAAATTTTCTTTGTCGTCAAAAACTATCGCCATTTTTTACCGGCACAGCTGATCTGTACTCTATTAAAATTAATACAGCAGATATTTAATAATTTTTTTAACAAATTAATTATGGCAAAAAATTGATGTAGAAATTAAAAAAAAATAAAAAATGCAATTTTTTGGAACTAATTTGTATGTTAAAATAAATTAAAAAATGGTCATTCGACTGCTAACCTCAATGTCATTAATTTTGTATATACCTTTAACACAAATTTCGGCGTTCTCTCACGACCATTAAAATTAAAATAACTGCGGTCTCTGTTATTTACAAGAATATTTCCAAGAATGTCTCTCTCCCCCTTCTTTTATTCCGACACTTTTTTAACTGTGCGCGCGTGATCGATTAAATATACGCCTAGCGGCTGAAGGAATAACTAAAAAAGTTACCTGTCAGATCGTGCAGCTGAGTGAGATAGAGTGGGTATGTAAAAACCAATAGGACTTTGTTTGAAAATTTAATTTAGTATTACAAAAAAAGATTAAATAGTTTATTTTCAGTTTTTTAAATTAAAAGATAAATAATAATAACATTATTAAATAAATTGCTATTTGATGTTGACAAACAATTTAGCACATTTAGGTTAGTTATTGATTTCAATTGATATATGTTGATGTTAGGTTGGTGCAAAAAAATCGACTGATGATTTTTTATGATACTGAAATTAACAAAAATCTGACAATTTTATTGACTTTTAATGAAAATAAAGTTAGCAGTCACTTAACCATTTTTATGATACTGAAGTTAGCAGACGTTTAAAAGTTTTTTATTTTTTTTATTAATTAAATTACAACTAAAAAGATATTTATAAAAAATTGTACTGCTTATAGTTTTTCAAGTTTTTTACATGTGAAAATTTTTTTTTTTAATGTTTAATTGAAACTTTTTCAATAAAAAATTTCTAAAAATTTTGAAATGTCGGCTAACTTCATTTTCATACCATTTTTTATATAATTTTTTTTAGCAAACAAATTTGTTCAAAAAAATTATTTTAAAAAAATTGCATTCTTAATTTTTTTTTTAATTTCTACAGGTCAATTGTTTTATATTACAAAAGTTAGCCGACGTTTTTAATTTTTTAATTTTTTTGTAATAATTAAATTAAAACAAAACAATATTTTTTACAAATTGCACTTAAATTTATTCAAGTTTTTTACAAATGAAATTTTTTTTATATTTTTGTAATAATTTAAAAAAAAAAATTCTATAAATTTTTAGAAGCTAATTTAATTTTCATAATTTTTTTGCAATAATTTAGTTGTCACCAAAATTCTTAAAATTATTAAATATCTACTAAATCAATTTTCACTGATTTTTATTAATAATTAATTATAAATTTTTTTTTTTTTTTTTTGTAATTTCCACTTTTAATTTTTTTTTCTATAATACCTAGCTGTGGAATTTTTTTTCATAGTAATCTAGTTGTCATGAAAATCCAAAAAATTGACAAATGTCTGTTTTATATTTCACAATCATCAAAAATTTAAATAAAACTTTTTGATAATTGTGAAAAAGACAAAAAAAATAGTCTGTTTTTTTGCACCATCCTAATCCTAATATTTAATGAAACGTATTAATTTTTATTATATTTTTTTTCAGTGGTTAATAAAGTCACAATTAATTAGTAATGATTTATTTGATTGGCTAAAATTTCCAACTACCTTGTAACTTCAACCTAAACTTCACAAAAAATGATTCATTTTAAGTGCAGACAAGAGTGTTATCCATTTAGTAAAATAAAAAGATTCATTATTCCGGATGAAAAAGTACCATGGCATGCAAAATTTCCAGAGTACAATCCTCCTTATTACAATGCTCCAAACAAAAGTAATTTAGCGGATAAAAATATTGAAGATCAATCTTTTAAACCTGCCTGGAATGCAATGGATGGTACGTAAAATGATTAACAATTAATTAGTCATCATCTATATTATTAAGAAAATAAAAAAAATTTTGTCTCCATCCTGGAGATAGTTATATGATAAAATCGATTTTTTTAGTGTCATTGTAAAGGTCTTGACTTGAATTTGTTATTTTTCAAGGTTTCATATCATCCTCACCGATAGTCAATTTGTTATGAAGTATTTAGGCTGCATTCGAAAATGCTCTATCTCTAGATACATAATTAAGAAATAACCTTGTATCTTGTGAACTATTGACATTTTTAAAGATATAAGCTCACCCCGATACTATACTCATCAAGACCTTTCATTTGAGTACCCACATCAATTTTTCATATATTTATATATATTATATATATGTATATATGAAAAATATATCAAAATGCATGTGGGTACTTAAATGAAAGCTCTTTATGAGTGTAACATCGGGATGAGCTTATATCTTTAATAACGTCAATATTTAAGAAACTACAGTGCAATTTAACAAAAGTCAATAATTTAATAAACCAAAATTTTATTTATTTATAGTTCAACAATCACGACAGTCACATAGTGACTGCAAGGTTGCTAGTGTATATTAAACCAAGGTAATAAACAAAGATAATTATACAGAAGTGGGGCTCCACCTATTTTTGAGTGTAAAAAATCGAAAAATTGATCTTTTTGAA